CCGGAAAACATCATATGTAGCCGAAGCCATATGCGAGGCCCCTTTTACTAGATTAAACTTGCCCAGCTGTTCAACTAAACCAAGAACGTCTTACCGAGACGCATGAAGAATGCCGCTTGCAAAACAAGGAGTTGACCCATTGACGAATTGAGATTTTGACTGGTGTTCAAGTGTGATGCTTGGGCGATATGTTCAAAGACGGACGCGATACTTTCACCCTGAAGCAGTACGGTCAGTATGCAGGTCAACCACAGACTCTAGATTATCGTACATAGGATAATTCCAGCTTTGCCTCGCTCAACAAAGATGTGCCAAGGAGGGTCCACATCTCATTCTCTCGGGCCTTAGCCTTTAGGAAAGCGAGTGCTTCTCTGTCGCTTCCAAGCATCCCGGTATTTTGAATAACATTCAGTGCATCTGGATATGCTCTCCGACAGTGGTACAGCCAGCTGATGCAGTAATTCAAACAGTGCATATCTTGGGTCTCTCTAGCAATAGAGATTGTCTCTTGCATGGCAGAAATTGCTTCTCCGAGACAACCAAAATCGGCCTGAAGAATAGATAGATTTAGTAGGGCGTATTGATAGCATGTACGATCTCGACTATGCACGGCATAATCGAAATATCGATGAAGGTTATCGAAAGAAGACGGAAAATCTCCTGCTCTCCACGAATCTAAGTACCTTTGATAAGTTTTAGCAGCTTGCTCCAGTAGGGGAATTTGGACATTCTGTCCTACTTTACATAGTGCGAAAGATTGGGTAAAGCCACGCCCGAAGCAAGCATCTGCTGTAATTTATTCCGCATTTCCTTGGTGACTCGTGTGCCTTTGCCTAAACTAACGTTAGTGACGAGAATACCTGGAAAGGAATTGAGACCATTTGTTACTTTGCATTTCTTGAACTTGAAAGTCCAATAGCTTTTCCATATCCTTCGTACTCATGGCAACTTTGGCGTCCTCCTCAGTGTCGTCTAAATCGCCGTAAATAACTTTGGCCAGAGGACTGTCCAAATCCAAGCCAAGTTCGACGATATTCACATCCACTTTGCTTTGGTTATTCATTGGGTTCCTCTTGGCCCAAGTATGGTATGTTGGCATTCTGTACTTGATAAAAGCACGCCACAGGGCCACTGAATCATGGAATTGAAGTCTGGCATATTCAAGTTGCGCTCTCCGTACAAACATGCCCAGGGGAGAAGTTCGCGAAAGCAACATTTTGCCTGGTTCAGGAACAATTCCCATGCTCCGTTCGCGTATCTGTTCCTCCCGTGGCTTGGTTATCAAATCCGATACCAAAGTGAAGAACTCCTCCAGAGAATCTACGCAATCCAACTGCCATATCCTCTTTAAGAATAAATCCCATACTGTGCGGCCAGGGATCGACGAAGCTAGGCTGGATGTGACCTCTTCGAATTCTTCGAGAGATATAGTATGGGCGTTCTCTTGATCAATTGCGCGTCTTCTCGCATCTAGAGTATCCAACGGGAGTACATGGGTCATAAAAAAGGACAGTAACGCAACAATTGCTGAGTTTGGGACCACTCCTTCAGAATAAATCGAAACCAGTGCAAGCAGGGCGATTTTCGAGGGAGTTAGATAGCGTGCCATGGTGACGCCGGCCGGTTCAGCAAACGGTTGACTTTCGCTTCGTATTCACATAACTAATCACCGGAGATGATTTCTGAACCTGCGCGGAGTCCCGCAAGACTGGTTTCGCAGAACGATTCTCCGACCCCCGAGCAGTCACGTATAGTTAGGATACTGACGGCAATTCGACGTTTTCAGACAAAGAGAGCGGGTTGCCACAAGAACTTAGAAATAGAATTGTTCCGATAGACTGGGAGCCGATATCGTTTTCTGGGAGATTCTGCAGTTCTCGAGTTCGACTGACGCCTTTGGATCCCGGTAAAGAGTGAACTTTCAAGCAGGTCCAGAACGTGAAGCTCATGGCGTGTATGATGAAAGGTGGTGGAAAATCGCTGGTCTAGCTAGTCGCAAACCAAAGAATTTACAAAACTCTCTCTCTCCAGCTGCCCCGCGACAACCGCCCCGCCAACCTATAAATCAGCTCTAGACGCCCCAAGGTCCGTTTCGAGACAGTGTTCTCCGTACTGTTTGTTGCCTTTAGAATTTCATTGCTTATTCTGTTGTGAGGAAGGCTTGCGAAAAGTTGTTTCACCTGCATGGCCGCCATGGACAGCCAGTCGAAATCGGAACCTTTCATGCGCAGTGATCTTCAGGACATCTTCCCGTTGGTGGCCCAGGGTAAAGTCAGAGAGATCTACGAGCTTGACGAGAAGACCCTTCTCTTTGTTGCTTCGGACAGGATTTCGGCTTACGATGTGATTCTGGAGAATGTGAGCCTTGTTCCCCGAGCCCACCACTTGAAATCACTCTCTGAGCATGTGGCTAATGATGCACCCAGGGCGTTCCTAACAAAGGGGTTGTTCTCACTCTCATTTCCGCCTACTGGTTTAAGTTCCTCAAAGCTGCCTTACCTACTCTCGAGACGCACTGTATCGGCCTTAACCTGCCACCCCAAATCCCGGTGGAGCTTCGACCCAAGTACCAAAACCGGAGCATGGTCGTGCGCAAGGTCAAGGTCTTCCCGATTGAATCTATCGTCCGCGGATACATTGCTGGTTCAGCCTGGAAAGAGTATAAAGAGTCTCGCACCGTGAACGGAATTTCCATGCCGTCCGGACTGGTTGAGAGTGGTCGCCTCCCAAAGGCATTGTGGACTCCAAGTACCAAAGCAGACCAAGGTGACCATGATATCAACATTCATCCCAAATACGGTACGATTCTATTTAGGCGCATTGTTGGTTCAGAGCTGACAGTTGATAGCTGGTAAACTCATTGGCCAGAAATACGCCGACCAGATCCAGAGCATCTCTGTGACTCTATACAATGTGGCCTACGCACACGCCTACTCCCGTGGCATCATCATCGCAGATACAAAGTTCGAATTTGGCCTCGACGTAGAGAATGACCAGGTTATCCTCATTGATGAAGTGCTTACTCCCGACTCTTCTCGATTCTGGCCAGTCAGCAAATATGAGCCCGGCCGACCCCAGGAAAGTTTTGATAAGCAATTCTTGCGAGACTGGCTAGCCTCCAATGACTTGGCTGGAAAGGAGAATGTTGCTATGCCAGCTGATGTTGCGAGAAAAACAGAACTGAAATACCAAGAGGCATACGAGAGAATCACCGGCGAAATCTTCGAGGATGGCTTGCCGTCTGTTTTGGAGGGTGGGGTTCTGGTTAAATAAACCGAAAAACGAATCCTACAACACTCTCATCAGAAATTACCGGGAACAATGGTTTTGCATGACATGCTGCATTAGAGGTTTACGTGCGCCAAAAAATGGATATACGGCTTTTTAACGGCGCATTTGTCGGAGGGTTAGGCTTTGTTAGCTTTGATGGAATTGGCATTTCGATTACTCTGTATGGGCTTATTTTCTACATTTGACATTGTATATCAACTAAATTGAAAAAAAAAATGGTTTTGTATGTACATACATGTTTCCTACGCTATATTTCCATGTTTAATATTTATAGGAGGACTTCGCATAAACAGAAAACCAATCTTCTCCTTATAACGCCTCATGACGATGCATATAGTACAATATACACTGAACAACCAGCCAATGCGCATTTATCCCATTTTGCCCTTCATTCCCCTTTATCTTTCTTTAACTCTTTTAGATGCTTGAACCTATCCACCCCCTTGGCCTCAGCATCCACCAGCGAAGGCTCTTCCTGACTAAACTCCGCTGCGGAGGCACCAAAAGCATTGGGCCCGCATATTTTCTTCTCCTCTTCCATTTCTTCCTTTGACAGTCCATTCGTTGCCCACATACGGTGTATTCTCAAATCAAATGGACCCTCCACACGATCCGTCAATCCAATGCCGACGGATTTGACTCTCTGCCTCACCATTCCTGTCTGAGGCTCGACAACCATACCGTGATTCGTCCGGACAAAGTCACTCCACTTGATTAGTATCGTTTCCCAACCTGTCGAATCAGGATTTGGTGTAGTGGTGTGTGTGGCGTGTGTGCTTGTGGTAGGAAAATCAGCAAGTGCCGCCGGGAGATCCGGCGTGGGCTCCGGAGGTGATTGGGACGATATTCTATGGTGATGCGTCCCAGAGCCGGTGCTGATGAATATCTGTTTCCACAATACTATCCGTCTGTACGTTGACTGTGTACCTCCCTTCCATCGGATTTCACTCGCAGCGCCAGGAAAGCATAGGGATCCAAATCCCAATATAATCCACCGAAAATCCATCGGCGATCTTGATTGCGAAATGCAGCATAACCCGTCCTTTGTATTCTCCAATTCTGGGGAAGCTTAGTTGATATTGAGCCATGAAACCGGGCGTGAGCTGGAGAATTCAAAGTTGGGTCGGCGGGAATATAGTCTAAGCTTGCTGTGCTGTAGCCGCCCACGGCTCGGTCGGCCATAGTTTTGCATCCCTTTACTGTGTCTTCGTGTTCGAAATCGAGTAGATAGTATGGTTTCGTTGGTATTTGAAGGGTCTCAAAGTTCCATGCTGTGCGGATTGACACCATTAGCTTCTATTCTTCGACTCCCAAAACATCCAGGCGGCATCATGGACAACTTGACCAGTTCAAACAAAATGAAGGCACTACGAAGATTTGTACGTACCCAATTTGGAGAGGCGGCTTAGTTCCTGCGTTGTCCTCTTGACGACGCTCGGCCCGCGGGCAAGGCACTTGGCTGTCGGAATCATTTGAACGAGCCCTTGTCGCTTTAAACAGGTCTGGAGGGTAAGCTATGCCGGCCTTTCGTTAGGGTTTTTCGATTGAGTACGGAGTAGGGCATCTAGTTAATGCATCATTGCTGAGAGCTCTAGTCGTTGAGCTTGGATTTGGAATAGTTTCCCTGACATCAGCGCAATTAACTAGTCACGTGAAAGATGCGGCAACCTGGAGACCTGGAGCTTGTTGGACAAAAGTTTTGAAAGGAGCTATATACATATATTTACATAAAATAGACAACATAATGAGGAATTGGATCGGAGGCTGGAGATATTGAGGATATTTCCTTGAAGTGAGGTGGCAATGTCGTCCATATCATGCATCATAACTGAAGGACCTTGGGCAAAATTGAATATTGAAATATTCCTAAAACCCCGACCTTGTAAAACCTTGCAATAACCAACGCTCATATCCAAAAATATATGCTGCAGTCCTAATAACCATCAAACCGAATCAAGAAACAATGACGCTAGTGGTATCCTGGGAAGCCGGGAAGAACATTGGAGGACTGATGAGGGTGGAAATCACGGTAGTTTAACCTGTCTTGTTCCAAAATAGGTCAAGTTCACAGGTGTATCATTGACACCTACCATAGGAGCTGCCTCTCCTAGCATTTCCCATGGTTTTGGAGGGTATGGGCCAATGGTTCGGCCGTTTTGTTGAAAATGAAGGTTATTTGTGAAGGAATCAGGATCCTCGACCAGAGCAGCCGCAGATGTAGGGATCGATGGATTTTGAGGCGAAATGGGTTGTAAATGTGGTAGGAGACTCGTGACTGGTGTATTTGCCGGCATGCCCGATCCAACATTGGCTGCAACGGGTTGAGGTTCTGCAAACGGACCAAGAAGATATAGGAGGCGAGGATCGTTGTCGGGATGAAGGAATGCGGAATATTTTTCCCTCAAAAAGCGGGCACATTCATTTCGCGCTTCATCCGGAAGGGTATCGGCGAGTGTGGAACAAACGTCAAGTGCCTGAAGCTGCAAACTAGGCCAGGAGCTTGGAAGACTGAGCAAAAGATGGCTGTCATGCGTGAAATGGGAGAAGGAGGAATTGAAACTCTCAGATGAGCGGCTGGCAAACAACCACGACCGCGAGATACATATAATCCGGATTAAGAGACGAATTTGATGATTAAGTTCCGCTTTGGAGCTTTGGTTTGTTGGAAGAAGTGATCGATGCAGGGCCACCAAGCGAAGAAGGATGAAAAACCAGACACCGATTGAGGACTCTCCCGACAAAACAATGCTGTTTAGCTCTGGTGTTAAAATATCCGGGTCCTTTTTAATATTTCCTAATTCTACAGTCCGCTGTAGAAGGGATTGCATCTTGTCACCGAGATCGTTGCCCATTGATGATGGGACAAAATTGTTTGGGATTGAGTAAGACAACTCTTCCACTATCCGGAGGAAGATTAATGCTGTCTCCTCATTCGAAGAGTCTGGAGAATGAGTTGAAAGGAAAGGGAGCCCTAGGAGTTCGCATTCGGCGCGCTGCCTGATCTTTACAATCATCAGAAGGCATGTTTTCTCTGTAGTTGCTAGGAAGAGTTCTTACCAACTGCGCTGCATTGATCGGCAACACATTCAAAACTTCAAGCCAGCGACGTTCACCTGCGCGGACATCAGACTCTGCAGTTTTAAACAACAAATTAACAATACTACTTCTGGTAGTATCCCCGTTTGATTCGGTCTCGAGTAATAGGCGAAGTTTGGTCAAGCAATATGATAGCGAAAAATCGTCAATTAGCTCAACAATGCTTTGAGTCTTCTGTTCACCGGCTGCTTGCTGGTCGTTAGTGTTGCCGAAATCGGAAGTTGAGGAGTACCAAATATACCTTGTGATCTTGATCCTAGAAGAATATCCAATGCTTGGTGGATAGCATTCACACAGTTTGGGAATTCTTCCACGATTCGACCGGCGCCTTCGGGACCAAATGTATTCAAATTTTGCACAATTATGTCGCATAGTAAAGGTAGGATTGAGGGCGTCCATTTTTCCACAACCTGATAAATGTCGGTTGTTGAACACCCCGTTATTTCTGCGAAAGTCTCATTGATGAGGCCCAAGGCGTTATAACTGTGCTGCGTTATATAGTCTTCTCTGGCAATTTTGAATCGGTAAGACACCTAAGTCGAATTAGGAATATAACCATAGACTCAATACCAGAGGGAAACTTACAAAATCGAAAGGATCATGTTCATGAAACTTTTCCTTGCAGAGAATATTGACCATATCAAGGCGAAGCCCTGTTATGTTTGGTATCGATTGACGATGCACATCAGAATCCAGAAGTCCGTTTACAAAAGCGAAAAATGAATGGAGTGTGACACAACCAACGCCAACCAAAGGCGGGAGAAAGGCTAGTAGGCAGGGTCGCGATGAAGAATTTAGCACTGTCACGATCCATTTGATTAGTATCCGATCAAAAACCTTTGGGTTGAGCATCCGCAACTGGGATAAATATCGCGCAGTTTCTTGGGGCGAAACAGCTTGTTCTGAATCCTGTTGGAATTTTTGGGCCAGCATATCGAATATACGATTTATGTTTGCTTCGTCCAAGGTGGTCCCTGAATTGAGTAGCTGATGTAGGGTTTCGATGAAACCCGATTTGGCTAGATTAATTGAGTCCACGGTATGCTCAGATGCCGGAGAAGAAGCCGCTGCCGAGGAGCTTTTATCGAAACGCGAGAGGTCGCGGCGAAGCATTATCATGGCAGACTGCTCATGCGGTAATTTTATCCCTACTTCAAGAAGCGAAGATATCAAGTCTATTATCGAAAGGTCCGCCTTGTTGGCGTTGCTATAACCAGCTAGAATGCTTTTGAAGAGATCTGTTGACGCGCCGATGGCTTTGAATGGTTCGGTGTGGCAATTCAAAGTGTCCGCAACGGAAATTAACACAGTGATATCATCCGAGCTCGATGCTTGTTTTAGAATATCCGCCAAAAGCGACAAATCTCCCAAATTCTCAATAATATCTCGGATTTTGAAAAATTGGGCGGGCGTCAGGGCCGAAATCTCGACTGCACGGCCTGTAATGCCATGGTTTGATACAGTTCTAACAGGTATTGTAAGTAAATTTGTGAGCGGTATAAGACACGGCAAGTATACCTCAGATATCGTTTGCGATGCAGCATGACGTGTTCACGTATCCATTGTCCGATTTCAGATTTGATGGTCCAGCCCAAACTCGATAAGTTTATCGGTGGAGATACTTCAACAGAATCGCCAGGAACCGGTTTGGTAATAACATCTGATAACTGACAATATATGTTGCTTTTGATACTCAGGGTCTGCTGCCGTTCGGTATTGATTGAGAACCCAGCCCTTGTAAGAAGGGTGTTTCGGAGATTCCACACATGGGAAGGCAGTCGTCGAGATGGAAGATGAACAAGAAGCTCAACATTTGGATGCATGGGCTGCCGAAAAAAATTAGCTTATCGAGGCGGTCAATGCTGTCCAGAGCCACTCACCTTGTCATTCGTGACGGCCCCTCGAGCCACGAGCCACTGTAAGTACTTGCCTACCGCAAAAGACTGGGACCGGACAAGTTCAGATATGACGTGATATATATTCCCTTTCTCCAACACTGAAGATTCAGCCTTGTGCTGAAGGAAGGAGACAATAGAGCTGTCTGTATCAATGCCGGATTTCCTCCATTTCCGTAATAGCCGCACGGTAACATATATCCGGGTAGACCCGCGTCGGAAATTCGTTGATGACCACTCTAGAAGTTTCGAAATCAAACTATCATACTCGAGGTGCATGTTAAGGCACGCTGACGAAATGGCGTCCATATCGTTCATGGAAATGGCATCGTCAAGCAAGGAGACGACTCGTTGAGCAGGTGACTCGCCGACGGTTTGACGACAGATTTCCGATTTGACAATCCTTTCATTTCTCTCGCATAACTCGCTCAGCTTCGGGTTGTCATTTAAAGATTCAGGTTGAAAACATGTTATCAAGGTGTTCTTGTAAATTCTCCAGGATAAGGGTAGGACGAAGCTGGATGGATGCGATTCGGCGAATGTTCTGATTAGCCACGACAGGCGATCGGCGATCTGCCGTTTGGGGGCTGAATGCTCAAGCGCCAGGACCTTTGAGATTGAATTAGATTGATATCTTAGGAGAAAATGTATAAAAGCGTACCGTTTTCAATTTTACAAGCAACAGCTCTGCTAAGCGGCGTCCCCTTTTTCGAAATCGAACGAGACTTGTCCAATACGATCCCAGCATGGTCAACCATATAGGGAAAGTCTTTATAGAAGCCGTATCCAAAGACAGCAAAAACCATTCTAGGCACATATCTTGATCAAGTAACTGTTCCTGAAATAGGCGTGCCCCAAGCCTCACCCTAATTCTGGTGGTTAGGGAGATTGAATTTCAAAAGGAAGCCTGGTCATAGAACTTACACATATGACATAGCTGCACTCCAATTCGGAGTCCCGCAAGCAGCAATTATACCCTCCACATATTGTTGCACGTTGGCGCTCCAATCTCGCACCCATTTGACCTCCAAATTGTGCGCAACAGCTATGGATGTCCCCTTCCTCTTGAAAGCGCGAATCTCATTTGCACCTACACATTTTGCTAGCCATACTGCCCTCCCAATTGGAATACCTTTATTCACACACTGATCAAGAAGAATTTTTCCTCGAATTCCATGAGGTATGGTACGGCTAAGCTTTCGGAGTGGCACTGAAGGATTAGCTAAATCTCGCAGCCACGCTTCTCGCTTGATGTCAGTTAGAGTGACACGAGGAGGTGGTTTGAAAGTCGAAATATCCGTTACTTTACAATGGGATTGACGTTTATCGAGAGCCGATGTGAAAACCGAAGATAGGAGTTTCAACCCTGATCGGTGTTTGAACTGGGCATAAAGTGATAGCCTTGCAGTATTACTCTCGCTCTGTGAAATTTGAACTCGTTCATAAAATCCTTGCTTGGCTGTCTGATCGGTCAATGAATCTTCTGGATGATCGCCTTTCCAAGGATAAAAATCAAATGGCACTAGGAACGGATTAGCAATTGCTAAGATCAAATGCCTGACAATAGCACGTACTGTTTGAGCTGTGGATTGGGGCGATTCTAGGCACTTCAATATTGAAAGGGGTCGTTTGAACCTCGTTGTCCTCATCGTCAACGGTATGCACATTTGTTTCCGAAGAATTGTCAACCAGTGGTCGATACCTCCATGGCCGCATCGGCAGCGGTGGCAACAAGTCTGGCTGAACCTCATCATCGGGAATTTCAGGTTCTAATATCGTCTGGGACCCAAGCTCGCATACTTCTTCGTCAAAATTCCAAACAGGCCTACCTGTTCTGATGGGTGGTGCGGCATCCTGGGAGGCGAAGGGGCTTGAAGTGGTTCGTGAAGGCGGAACCTTTGAAGGACGTGTTGTCTCAGGAACATCTATTCTGAGGTCAAGCTTCTGTCGCTTGGTCGCCCGATTAGCATCGCAAGTTTCATAGTCACTATTTGTCAAATCTACAACCGTGCTATGGATGGGTTGTTCAAACGATGATGGTTCAGGCGGAACCAGTTGCTGTGAGTGTCCCCGGCCGACCAGTCCGCTGGAGGAATTACCACGATTCATTGAAGGGCAAGAAATCATAACAAATCATTCCGAAATGTGAAGATTAGCGACGTATTGCGAACGTCAATCCATCCCTGCGATGCCCAATTGAGGAGTTATGTAGCATTCGGGCAAGCCGTTCGCAAACGCAGAGGTGACAACGGGAAAGATTGGATGGGAACGAAGCTATATCTCAAGTGGCCAAGCAGTCCGGCAGAGCCTGAAAAAGTGCACCGTCCTTGCTTCCTCCGGCTCAACGCCCTGAAGAAACGGAGTCAGCATCCAGCCTGTATCACCAAGACTACTAAGGTACGAAGCACCCCACGACTTACTTTTGAATCCAAGCTGCGCCGCTATAGGAAAATGCGAAACCTCAAACCATTATCAATGGCGTGCCTTAATGCTCAAAGCGAGCTCATGGGACAGGTGAGGCGTCCTCCATGATGTCCCAAGTCAGGTCCGATCGGGCTTCCCTTGCCGAGCTCTGCGAGCCACTCATGTTCATTACGGGGTGACCACGGAATACGCGTGCCGTACGCAGTACCGTGACAACTAGTAACTAAATATCACGTGATGCCTCTTCTCACGACCAGTGTTTGCTGTGTTTGATTATACGCCAGTCACCTGCAGTTCGGTGAAAGCCCGACAGGCTCCGGCAGGTCAGACTCGAGCCAAAGGAGAAAAGAATACAAAGACCGGCTGCAGCTCATGACAAAGGCGTAGAAGTGGTTCCTTTGTCCCTTGAGGTTCGGATTTTGGCGACGACCGCCTCCATTGTCAATGGCGGTAACAAAGACCGTAGTTATTTACAGATTGTTACTGCGTTTTCCGGATCCTTGCTGCTGAGGATTGGTTTGATATTACCATACCTTACGTAATTTATTTTGGCTTTGCCGAGATGATCAAGGTGTTAACATCATCGAGCTAACCACCATGACGTCTGGTCACCTTTCGTTCACGTCGAGTCCCAGCATGCAGCTATCAAGTCCGCTGTTGAAGGACATCTTCGAGTGTCACCGCTAGGGCTGCTGAATATATGTCGTTAATGTTTCTGTTTCCCGATGGGGGACTTGAGCTGTCCTTGAAGCAAAGCACCTGATGGGTTCTCTGATTGTGCTCTCACTGGTCTATGTCCTCGGCGGCGTTACCTTCATTCCTATCATCTTTGCTCTCCTGCTTCTCCACGCCTACCTGACGCTGCCCACGGCTAAAGATGCGCTAGAGCCAGGTAGCGGTGATTCCGATGTAATCCAACGACCGACCGACGACCCAATAGCTCTTCAGAGTGGAACAGATGTCCTTGCTGAGAAATTCCAGCGAACGCACGAATCTGACGTAGCAGCGGGATACTTCACCGTATGTCGAGAATATGTTCCAGGTGGAGTCAATGGAAAGCCTCCGGAGCGAACTACACCCGCTGGTGAGGTTATCACGCCTGAGAGCCCGAGTGTATACCAGAGCATGTACCGAAGCATATTCGAGAGAAAACAGTCCCCTACTATTGATCCCGGAAAAGCAAACGGCAAGAATAACAAGAAAGGAAGAAACGTATTTTACATAGTTCTACGGTGTGTAGTAGTTCCTTGCCCAAATTCCCTCGCAGAAGGCTAATTGATTTCTGGCTTTGTAGGCATGGGCATCTTATGCTGTACGATGACTCTGAACAAGTGGAGGTGCGCTATGTTATCTCGCTGTCCCACCATGATGTCTCGATATATGGTATAGGAGATCCTATACCAGAGGGTGAACTATGGATCAAACGGAATGCCATTCGCCTGTCAAGGAAATCTTCCCAACCCGATATAAATAACCCGCAACCGGCGACCCTCCCCTTCTACTTGTTCTCTGATAATCCCTCGGAGAAGGAAGATTTGTATTTTGCGATTCTAAAGAATTTAGAGAAGCTCCCCGAGTCGCCAAATTCACCACCAACCGCCCAACACTTTGAGGTCAAAGATATTGTCAATCTGGTTAAGCGCCTACATTCTTCGGAGGAGAACCTTCAGACACGGTGGTTCAACGCCTTAGTCGGAAGACTTTTCCTAGCTCTATATAAAACGTCGGAGCTGGAGAGTCACATTTGGACTAAGATCGCGAAGAAGATATCCCGTGTAAAGAAGCCGAACTTTATTACAAGCATTGTACTTCGGAAAATTAACGCAGGAGAAGGAGCACCCTTGATTACGAACCCCCGTCTTAAAGATCTGACTGTCGATGGCAACTGCTGCGTGGAGGCTGATGTTGCGTACAATGGAAATTTCCGGATCGAAATCGCAGCAACCGCTCGAATTGACTTAGGCACGAGATTCAAGGCCAGGGAGGTGGATCTTGTATTAGCTGTAGTGCTGAAAAAGTTGAAAGGCCATGTGCTACTACGCTTCAAGCCTCCCCCGAGCAACCGGCTTTGGATATCATTCGATACGATGCCTGAAATGGAGATGACTATTGAACCTATCGTCAGTTCGAGACACATCACATATGGTATAATCCTCCGAGCCATTGAGAGCCGAATTAGGGAAGTAGTTGGAGAGACTTTGGTGCATCCTTTCTGGGATGATGTACCGTTCTTAGACACATCTCGACAGCGCTATCGTGGTGGCATTTGGCAGGAGGCATCACGACCGATTGGCGACCATGGAATCACAGGTCCTTTCGACATGGAACCACAATCTACACCAATTCTCGCCGACGACCCCTTGGGTAGTGACGTCCAAACTGTGGGCGTCGTTTCCCTATCTCCCCCTCCATCTCCAGGTCCTAGCGAGCAATCGAAGAACATGCCTATCCTCGATAGTTCATCTATGGAAATTGATGGTACCCAGCCGGTGGACTCCCCCTCGTCCGCTAGACAGCCTTTGCCTTCGGAGTCCGAACCTCTCACAGCCTACCATTCTGCTAGCGCTGAACATCTTCCCTTGGACGTGGATGCGAACCTCGAGACTCAGGACGCCACTAGTACTATGGTCGATATCCCTTCGTATTCCAATAGCCTAGCTACATCGTCACTACATAATCGTTCAAGGCAACGCTCCGTCTCTTTCCAAAGGCCGCGTGAAGACTTTACAGACGGGCGCCCACGAACTGATTCGATTCTCAGCAAAGCATCTACAAATTCTATTCCTGAAAATAGCGACGAGGACGCTGGCATCGGAGCTGGAAACATGGCGCCACCCACAGCTAGGCCCGGGTCGTTTACAGTCCCGAAACCGTCAGAAACCAGGCAAACCATGAGCTCATTGGGATCCGCCGCCGCCGCCGCCGCTAAAAAATGGGGGTGGAATGTCCTAGGTCGGAACGATCCATCGCAAAAGCCGCCTGATAGGGGCGCAGTGATTCCGGATCATCCCATTGGTCGGGGCCGACCATTGCCTCCCCCAGGAACTCCGCTGCCCCCTCCGGAAAGGTCGAATTTCCGAGTCAACCCAATCTCGATGCCCAAGCGTAAGCCTTTGGCGCCGCACCTATTCTCTGAAACTGCCGAAAGAGATGAAAGGAACCTACCGGAGCTTAAAAGTCCGCGACATAGAAAATCAAGTTCGTCTGCCAAAACGGAAGATAGTCGCACTCAAGAAGAGCTCTTGATAATCAGAGCACCATCTGGCTCAGAGCCAAGCAGCCCAATGCCAGACGAAGTCAAAGCTGCCGAGAACGCTTCGCTGAAGGACAAAGGCATGGACAAGAGACTCGTCTATGACGGTAACTTACCCGCGACAGCCAATACCTTACCTACTGAGAAGAGTACGGTAAATATGAATGGCTTCACTGAGACGCATCCATTGAGTACTAGGGACCAGCCACTCACAGGCCAAAATTCTGCGGAGAATTTAATGTCCAAGTAACGGTTTTATCCCCATATGCCATTTTCATTTGACTCGAAGTCGGATCGATCAATATATTAGACCTCAGTACTCTATACAGGATAGACAGATAATGATACATATACGATTTGACAAATCGAAGTGATCGCATCACTTTCAAGTTAGTAGGCGCTTATTTCATCATCATTCACTGTTCAGTTTTCTCTTGCGAAAATGAAGCATTCCTTTGAACCTGAGATGATTTTCAAAGAAACTGACCATTGGCGGTGAGCAGTGGCAGAATAGACATTGCTTCTGCCTTCGACTTACGTAACTCTACGTCAGTTCATCCCTGAGATTCGCACGACTTCGATGGATTGAAGGTGATTTTGAAGCTCAAAAGAAAGCGTTCTTTTGCTGTTATTGCTTCATTTGCGTTCAGCTCACTTTGCGATTGCGCTTCCTTTCACTCATCAGGGCAGTTAGTTGCCCGCATTGCCTTTCCCCGAACCTTAGCTTCCATCCCCCTAACACCAATAATGTCTATGGCATACAATTCAACAGTCACAAGGAATATCGATATGAGCAGGTACTATTTTCAATTTAGCTATTTGAAACTACTTATCTAAGAGCGCAAGCTAATTCGAGCGCAATGTGAAGGACGGAGGCTGATTTGGCCGTGAACATTCGCAAAGCCACAAGCATCGGTAGGCCCTCTCAGATCTACGCGGCACCTCCAAGTTACAACTGACTGATGCGGAAACGCCTCTAGAGGAAACGGCCCCCAAACGTATGATTACCTTTGACTCGCTTCGCTCGATCGATGAATTTCGGCTAAATTGGTTTAGGAAAACATGTGCGGAGCTGTATCGTCTATACCTGGGACCATAAGTCGTCTGCTTCGTTCTGGGCGGGCATGAAAGTGTGAGTAGCGCGTACTTGCAATATTCTGGCTTTCCTATCACCGACACGAGCTAGACGAAATGGAACTTCGGCTAATATGGGTTACGTATATTCTAGGCAACCCGTTCTAGCAGACGAGGTACAAACGTTTAAAGCGCTGATAACGGTTCACAAGGTCCTCCAAGAAGGTCACCCGATAACGGTTAAAGAGGCACAAGCCCATGTTCCATGGCTAGATAGTTTAGTAAGAGGTGTTGCAGGCGAGGGCCTCCGAGGTATGCCAGCGTCGACCTCCTTACCGATCTAAATAGTCAATTCGAAATGGAAAGCGCTAACACCCATTTTAGGGTATGGCCCATTAATTCGGGAATATGTCTTTTATTTGGAATCTAAGTTGGCGTTTCACCGCCAGCATCCCGAGTTCAACGGTGAGTGCCCAGTTTCAAATTTGTCGACTGCGACCATCAGTGAGCTTTGCATTAATGTTGAACGACTAGGCCTATTTGAGTACGAGGAGTATATTAGTCTCAAATCGATCAACGATCCGAATGAGGGGTATGCTATGACATCCAACCAGTGTCTAGTTCGTTCGTTAATACTGTTCTAGTTACGAAACCATCACCGATCTGATGGCCCTACAAGACCAGATTGATGCCTTTCAAAAGCTTATATTCTCCCATTTCCGCAGCGGCGCCAACAATGAATGCAGGATTTCGGCGCTTGTGCCATTGGTTCAGGAGAGTTACGGTATATACAAGTTTATCACCAGTATGCTGAGAGCGATGCATACGAGTAAGTCTATTATCTTCCTATTTAAAGCCATTAACATGCTAACATAAGGCAGCAACGGGCGATGAGGAGGCATTGGAGCCTCTCCGCGAAAGATACGATGCACAGCACTATCGACTTGTGAGGTTCTACTACGAATGCTCCAATCTCAGATACCTGACTAGCCTGATTACCGTTCCGAAACTCCCGCAACAACCGCCAAACTTGTTGAGTGAAGACGAGGACCGCCCGGCACTGCCCAAGCGGCCAGCTAAGGAGGTCGAGAAAGAACCGACGCCGCCCCCGAAATCACTCATTCCAGATCCGGAACCTATCAACGATTTTTGGTCCACGGAAGCCAAGAGGCAACAGGAAGAGTACGAAGCTGAGCAGCGTCGGCTCCAACAGCAGTGGGACGATCAACAACGGCAACAACTGCTTGCCCAACAGCAGGCCCAGAGAGATTTTGAGGAACAACAGCGGTTGCAGGCAGAACAGCAGAGATTGGCTCAGGAGCAACTACTCAGGGACCAGTATCAACAGCAAACCCAAGGCCGTTTAGCGGAACTCGAACAGGAAAATCTAAATGCACGTGCGCAATACGAACGAGACCAGCTTATGCTACAGCAGTACGACAAACGGGTTAAAGATTTGGAAGAACAGCTTAATCAACTGAACTCTAACTATTCTCTGCAAAATTCGTCAAAGGATGACCAGATACGTGCTTTGCAGGAACAAGTCAACACATGGCGGTCGAAATACGAAGCGCTTGCGAAGCTATATTCACAATTACGGCAGGAACATCTCGATCTTCTCCAAACTACAAAGTCCCTGAAACTTAAGGCAGCTTCGGCTCAAGAAGCAATAGATAGGCGAGAGCGGCTGGAACGCGAGATGAAGACCAAGAATCTAGAGCTTGCCGATATGATTAGGGAACGTGACAGGGCGCTCCATGAGAGAGATCGTATCTCCGGCGGAAACAAGGAGGAGCTCGAGAAACTGAAGCGAGAGTTGCGCCTGGCCATTGAGAGAGCGGAAAATGCAGAGCGTGCGAAGGGCTCTGAGATCTCCGCCATGCTCTCGAAATACAATAGAGAAATGGCTGACCTTGAGGAAGCCCTTAGGGTATGTTAACGATTGCCTGTCACTGACACGTTTTAAAGGTGCTAATCGCGAATTTACTCTGCGTTATAGAACAAGAACCGTGCCCTTGAAGAAGCGCGCAATAGTACTGGTGAACGCGATCACGATCACGACCTTGCGTTGCGAGAAAAGGACGAGGAGATTGAAGTGTACAAATCCGGGATGGAACAAGCCTTGATGGAGCTAGAAGAGCTCAAATTAGTACGTATGCATGCTGGAGAGGCGTAGGATTTAGACCGCTAACATGTCAATAGAACCAAGGAGACGTGGACAAGGCCCTTGACACGCAAATTGACGACGTTCTTTTAAGCTCTGTGGCGAAAATCAATGACATTATCGACTCTGTTTTGCAAAGCGGCATCCAACGAGTGGATGATGCTTTGTACGAGCTTGACTCGACGATGCAAGCTGGTAACCAAAACGCCTCGCCATCATATGTGCTCTCGCAGATTGAGAAAGCGTCCGCCAGCGCTACCGAATTTTCCACCGCATTCAATAACTTCATCGCGGACGGCCCCAACAGTACGCATTCCGGGATTATACTCACAGTCAGCGTTTTCTCCGGATCCATCGCGGATGTTCTCAGCAACACCAAAGGCCTGACCCGGTTTGCCACAGACGATAAAAAGGCTGACCAGCTTATCAATGCTGCGCGGCAGTCTGCACAGTCAACGATGGCCTTTTTCCGATCTCTGCAGTCTTTCCGGCTGCAAGACCTTGAGCCTTTACAAAAGACAGATGTGGTGATCAATAACAATCATGAAGTTGCGGTTAACCTACAAAAGCTCTCCAAGCTCGTCGATGCGTTTGCTCCCAAGAGCACCAAGCTCAACGGTACGGGCGATCTCGGTGACCTTGTCGACCGCGAACTGTCCAACGCAGCAAACGCCATCGAAGCAGCTGCTGCGCGACTTGCCAAGCTCAAGAAGAAGCCGAGAGATGGGTACTCGACCTACGAACTACGGATTCATGATTCTATCCTCGAAGCATCGATTGCTGTGACCAATGCCATTGCAGAGCTTATCAAGGCAGCTACCGCGTCCCAGCAAGAGATTGTCCGAGAAGGGCGCGGTAGCTCCTCCAGGACGGCGTTTTACAAGAAGAACAATCGGTGGACCGAAGGGCTGATTTCGGCCGCAAAAGCTGTGGCTACATCGACTAACACGTTGATTGAAACCGCAGACGGAGTGATCTCTGGAAGGAACTCACCTGAACAGCTCATTGTGGCCAGTAACGATGTGGCAGCGAGCACAGCGCAGCTTGTGGCCGCTAGTCGTGTCAAGGCGACATTCATGAGCAAAACTCAGGATCGCCTGGAGACTGCCAGCAAAGCTGTGGGAGCAGCCTGCAGGGCGCTGGTACGCCAAGTACAGGATATCATCGCAGAGAAGAACCGTGATGAGACCGAGGCCGTCGACTACTCTAAGCTGAGTGGACATGAATTCAAGGTCCGAGAGATGGAGCAGCAGGTATGTTGCCGTTACTGATACTATTTCGTGACTCATACTGATTTACGTAGGTTGAAATCCTCCAACTGGAAAACAAGCTTTCGCAGGCAAGGCAGCGTCTGGGCGAAATGAGAAAGATATCATATCTCGAGTAGGATGGAAAACTCTGACCGAAAGCGGCTGTTGCCTCCGCTTCATACCAGCCATTTTTTGACCAACGCTGGAAGTATCGTTTGCCACCCTGCCACTCTGCTAGAGGCTGCCTGTATCTGTTTCCGTTCTGTCATATATATCCCCTTTTCGCCATCTCCACAACACCGGCGCTTCCTGCTTCAAGCTGGTCGAGAGCCTACTTCTCGAGCGTTGAGTGCCTGTCTAGATGATTCGACCCAGTGTTTCGTCATGTATGTAATTTGGATTTCTTTGTAGGTATCGAAAATGACACTAGTGTTCTCCCTCCTTCCAGGTTTCAAGTTGAGTGTACTCGGTTTTCTTTGTTTCAGCAGAGTTCAGCCAGCGTAACTTTGGGAGGCCAGAGTGGGGGGGGGCTGCATGATCCCTGCACCGATCCGGGAAACACAAACAACCCACACACCCCCCACATGGCGGGGTCGTTCCCGAAGCAGCCAATCGCAGCCATCCACAAGACCCTGCAGGTATTTTACCCCTCATGTGCACCAAACAAACCAATAAAATACCGGCTCTTGCCGCCGCCCGTTTCCTGTACACCAATCCCCAGCCACCAATCAACGCGGGACGACCACCACGCTGCCGTTACCGTCGCCTGACTGGACATAATACCGCTAGACGTATCGGAACTCTCCATTCCCATCGAAAATTTCCTCGCCCGTTTTCCTTTCAGCGGGGCTGGTATGTTACAGACAGCTCGTTATTTTGCCACATGTTCGCATCGTTTGGACTCGGCGATAGGCTCTGCGGGTGTCGCCGCCCGACAGGGTGGGGCGCCCAGAACGTCATGTTTTGTTTGCTTCGGAGCTTCCCCTTTGGTTGGGGAGAAAATTCTGCAGGCTGGGTCTTGGGGAGTCTACGTGGTTGGGGATGAGCGAGGGGAAAGTTTTTTTTTTCTGTTGCAGGTAGAGTGGGATTGCTGGGGTATTTCTTCATGCGACCGTCTGCAGAATTTGGATGTTCGTGAAGTGAGAGATACTGCGTTCTTATTTGTTACCAGAGTTTTGGAACGGCCCCGCTCTGATCAAGACTTTGACTCGACGATTGTGGAGGCGCTAATCGGATGCGTTTGATAGGAGATAACTTTATCACCACCACATCGAAACTTCTAAATTGAAAAGCGTGAAGCGGAATAATTTGTTGTTAGAAGGAGTATTAGAAATGTTGTAGGCTCTGAATTCTCGATAAACTGAGTGTTGAATTATTTATGTATTCTGATCGGTTTTCTACACTAAAGATTGCTACAATACAGGCTTTGCATAATGTTACAGGTTAACCGCTCGTCCCAAATTAAAACCGACCAATAGCCCAGCAAATTCTAGTCGTCCATGCGTAGCTATCATTCTCCATTGACCTCATACCCCAGAGCCAGACATGGTCATCCCAATTGTTCGTTGCAAAGGCATGAACTTCCGTCAAAATGCATGCGTTCGAGCATCAAGTTCATTCCTTACATGTTACCAAGTTCACCAATATCAAAAGCATCGAAGTCACCCTGAATGCGGTATGGGTTATAAACAACGACTGGTGTGCGAAGCGCAGGGTTAAAAAGTCCGTAGTAACCATCATCATCGGCATCGAAAGGGAATGCGTTCATAACATTGCGAAGTTCTTGGTCAAAATCGGTAGCCGCGTACGGAGTATTGTTGGCAATTGCAGCATTGTTAGCCATAGTTTGGGCTAAAGTAATTGAGTTGTTGATAACCGCCGGATGGATAACCAAAGCTCTATTGGTATTATTCCCAGATGGAACCGAATTAGAAGTCGTCATGGCGTTGCCGTCTTGCTGTGGTTCAGCGCTGTTGCTGGTACTTGTTGCGGGTGGAGAAAACTGGTTGGCAGTATTCAACGGGGTGCTGGTTGCAGAGCGGATATCCACAGCGTCATTCGGCTGAGCAGAAACTGCCATAGCCAATGCTGCCTCTTGGTGAACAATATTTTTTCCAGGCATCATGCCTTTGACATAACCGGTTTGGTAGCAGTAGTCGACAACATCGTCAGCGGAAAGGTTGGTAGTCAAACCATAAGGGTTGGTCGGCTTGTTGTTTGCTGTGACAAGGGAAAACTGTTTGTCGGGGCCTTGAATCAACTGCAAGCCCATGATAGCAAGATACTCTGCAGCGGGAACTATTCCAATGAATGGGCCATTCAAAGTCAAGAATGTCTCCAAATTGACTTGGTCCGAGTGCTTGTCGCGAATAGTGGAATAAGCCTTCGCGAGAATAGCCCATTTCCCTTTGAATGGGTCAGAATTCCAAAGAAGGCGAAGTAGACCTGATTTCACTTTCTGAGAGAGCTCAGGAAAAGCAGCCGAATAAAAGCCTACACACAGATATTAGAATGATAGATTCAATGATAGGGCGCTGAATAGACATACTTCGAAAGGCAATAAAAGAATTCAATGGTCTCAATTTTCCATTTTCGCGGGCACGCTTCCCACGAGAAGTAGGTCGGGTCATAGCAGGGACTTGCATCGAAGCTGGAGTGGTAGCTTTGTCGAGCTGAACGTTGTTGGGGGCGATAGGAACGTTGCCGTTAGTGGTTGTAGCCGCCGCAATTCCATTAGGAGCATTGGTTGCACCATTCATTTCCGACAAAAACTTCTGGACTTGCTCAGGGCTCAAAGTGGTAAAAAGATTGTTGAGGGCACGGTGCACTGCAGAAACTTCGGTTCCAGACATATTTAATACCTTGGAATTGTTCAGATAGATTGAGTAGTTCGGTTTCAAAATAGAAGATGTTAAACGCTGAGGATCTAAAAGTTTGGCTAACCAGTGTGAAGACGCCGGGGTTGATGATCGAAGAAAAGAAACGAGAAAGATGAAAATAAAAGAAACTGAGGATGAAGAAAAAGACACTTTAAAAAAAATTTTCAAGTAAAAGATGGGAAGTGCCGTGTTGCTATGGTGGTTGGGATCCCAAACAAAGGAATCAGGCTCTCAAGAACTATCACCCCTCGTTCATCTCGTAAAGTATTTGTTCCAACAACACAACTCAGTACAAGCGCCATACATTTAGGAACGTCGTTGCCCAATACAGCTTTTATTTTCCAGTCATTACCCAATTTCGTACCTAGTTACGGAGTAAATACGTTTGATTTAATTGCCATACAAGACTATCGATTTTACAGTCTTAGACTTATCATAACAAGAATTAATCCTCCTCATTACCATATGGAGCAGTTATCCCTAAGATTGTTTGTCCTCGATCGGCATATCAATCTTCCATGATCTGAATATCATCGCCGTTACTCCGCTGGGCTCATCGTTGTAGTCAGTTGGTTCATCTTCGAGGAGATCTGATTCTTGTTAGTCAAGTCCGTTTAGTTATTTTTAAAGAGACCTACCAATTACGTCGCTAAGACTTTCGAGTCTTTCTGTAATATTAGGATTTCTCCTCTCGGTGACATATCGCTGTTAAATTATTAATACATAAATCAGCAGTGACAATTTGATTAGGGAACACTTGCCTCGAAGTACGGATTAGGAGTTAATTGAGTCTTTCCATGTCAGCGAATAAACTACGATTTTGATATCGATTTCATTGCATACCCAAGTGTGTAAATGAGTGGATTTTGGAAAAGGAGCCGGCTCAGTCGCAATGTACTATAAAATGTTAGAATCAGACCAAACTCAGGTATCAATCTCTATTTACCGGTCCTAGAGCGGTTGCAGCAGCGCAGCGTAGAATGTCACCATCGGGAACCGTAGACTTGAGAAGTTAGCGTAGCAGGACACTTTCAGTTCTTCAAAGCCGCTCACCTCACGGCACTTCTTTCCAACTAAATACCTAGCTCTCAGCCATCTCAAATGGAGAGCAACACCGCCGATCGGCATAAGTCGGACAATAGCATTGGGTGGGGGATTCGGCAGCTTCACACCACTTCCAGGGCTACCTCTCAAAAGGAATTGCTCCCATGGTAGCAGATTTTCTTTATAGCTTCGTTGATTTAGAAAATTAAGGACTTTATCCATTTCTCTTGCAATGAGATTGTCCTCATCCAAATCGGCATCTTGCATAACCTCGAATGTTCCGCCAATATACTTTTGAAGCCCACCTACCAGGAGCTTACAAAATCGAGACTGGACTTCTGGCGCTGGATAAAGGGTTGGGTAAAGCTGAAGTCGGTGTAATTCTTGACTGATAGATTTCTGAAGACCGTGTGCAGTAATAGAGTCAACGGAGCCAGTGACGAGACTATCATAGGCTTTGTATAATGCAGAAAGAAAGTCCGCGCTGCATTTGCGGATTGCAATCCCATCGCCTATAATTGAGATCAATATCAGATACAGTCGCTTATAACAACTGTTTACTCACCACCAATATGACCTCGGTCAAACTCCATCCAAGGTTCACTGGCGTTAAATAATTCGGCCATAATTTCAATAATTGCAAGTTGGGAAATTGCTTGCAGTATCAAAGAAGCTAATATCTGCTATCAACTGAGAGAAGAAGAGAGCTGAGTCTGTTTTATGGTTGCCATATCAGGGAAACCGGTCAACAGAGATATTTCAACACTAGTCACTGCGTCACGCAATACATGTAATAACCAATACAAAGAAGGTTCCTGTAGGTTCTGTTATTTCCATATGATATAGCTGCCGAGGTCTTACGAGACTCGAAGCCTTGTGCTGGCTTTTCAACTGAGGTCAATCGCAGCTAAAACAACTAGAAACGTCAGGCGCCAGCTTTAAACAGGAAAAATAATATTTTGTACGAGGAGGGTCAAGTAAGCATATCTGATTTAAGAAAAGAAGACGAAGGGCATCACGATTGGCCCTTCTACGTGCAAGCCTGATAGTTACCATCAAAAGATGGGAAGAAGCCGTACAGATATGCCGAAAATCCACGTCAAGCACCAAAGTCTGCAAACGGGTATTCTTAAAATGTACAAGTTCTTTTACAGCGCAACATCTCTTTTATCTCTGATGTAGTCGACTAGGTCCATTCAATATCAATTGGATTTCCCATAAAAGTAATATCAAGTCGGTGACAGGTCTCATAGTTACTCTTGGGATTTCCAATCGCTACACCAAATAAATGTAGGGCAGCGCCACGGTGTTCCGATCTCTTTGTCGCCACTAGGACCGAGCGGTCTTGGACATATCCAGAAAGATCTCCCACAATTAGGGCCTGCTTTTTTGGTGACCAAGACAATACAAGGCTCATTGTGCCCTTCACACCTGGGAGGCGCCTTTCTTGTAAACAGCTTCGCCCATGATTCTTTAGCAGCAGGGTCCGGCGTATTTTCTGTTGAAATCGTCCTCCTTTCCTTGAAGGAGCTCTTATTAGCCAGGGGTACACAACCCGGGTCATTTAATGTTACATCGTAATTGGCAGCCTTGGATATTTGGGTTGGTGGGATTTGCTCCATGAAGTGCGCAAGTGTTTGCTGGCCCTTGGATAAATTGGATGATGTATCCACAAGTTTTCTTGAACGCTTAACAGGGCGAGGTGAAATTTTGTTCGCAGGAGTTCTCTTAGCAGTTTGGTAGTCTGCCGTAGATGCCCCCTTCACTCCGTCATTCCAGGCTGAATCAGGACTTTTTAGTTGTTGCAAACTGCGCGGATTATGTGGTAGATCTGGCGCTCTGCCCATGAGCTCACTTGCAGGAGTTGATTTTGCTTGGAACATCTCTTTTAAACTTCTGCGACGGTGGAATTCAGGTATCAATCTCCCCGAGAGAGGTAGTGAGGTCAGGATAGCTGGTTGCTTGCGAAGTCCTGCGTGAAAGACACCCGGAGGGTTCACGATATCCCAAATACTGCGGTCGGCATCACGATATCTCACTGTGTCTTTGATTAAAGCGTATACTGGACAGTGATCTGATCCCTACCACGAATTAGTACGTTCCCATCCAATTTCATATATCTACATACCATTAAACCTTCCTGGATATCAGACCATACAAACCAATCCTCCATATCCATACTACATAGCACATAGTCGATTCTTGCGCCATAATTTCCAGGACGAGCATTGATCCTTTGCTCCCAACACGTATACATCCCTTGTCGATTTGGGTGAAAGTTTCTGCATAAGTCAAGTAGGACCTGGGGCTTTTGTTCGATCTCATGTGTTCCTGGCTTACCTCCTTTTACAAGTTGATTAAACAATAGACGAGGCGGCGACGAGAGGAATTCGAGTTCTGTTAGCTTGCATTTGCGAATAGCTTCGATTGCATGAGCCGAATCCAATATGTCACTTGAAACATTCAAGTCTCCCATTACTATGACTCTTTTTCCAATGGCTATTAAATTCCTAACTCGCATGTCTAGGGCGTTCAAAAAATCAGAGCGGAAAGCATCGCGATTTTCGTCACGATTGGCAGGGCAGTAGACCCCCAATAAAACGAAGGCTGGAAATTCGAGAATGACGCAGCGACCCTCAGAATCTATAGTTTTAGGGTCGAACGAGAGAAGTTCAAGCTGCTCGAAGTTAGGATAACCTCCTATTTGGTCGTCTTTAGATAACTCTCGGTAGGGAGTCGTTGATCCTGGCAGGGAGAGAATGCCAGTCAGCCCTTCTTCCGCGCGTATTGGCGAGCATGTCGAGCAGCGTGTGTATATTACAACTCCGGAGTAGCCTGCCCTATTAGTGAGAAACCAAGATGTCCTGATAAACAATGGCATAATATATCATACCTTTCTTTTGTTTAGGGAGACTGAAAAAGCAGTCCCAGCCAGGAACAAGGACCATGTCATCTGTGAGGTCCTTTTTTTGTATCTTTGCTTCCTGGAAAACGACTATATCTGCCTCCAGAGTTTCAAACATCCTCTTTTAGACTTTAGATAAGTTGCTGTCGACTGTAAGTTTGTGAGAAACATACTTCAAATGACTTGTTTTCTCTCCATGGTTGATAGGAGAATGGATTGCTAAGAGTTGATTAGTATGTTTAAATACACTGAATGAGCCATTATGCCAAACCGTATGCCGTTAACTATGCATGCAAGTCAGTACGTCTCCTAAGCTATGACACCGAGGGTGTAAAAACCATTCCATGTTGTAAGCCGCAAAGGCATTGTGATAACAAACCAGTGCACCAGGTAGGTTTGAAATGGTAAATTGAAATTTGCATATAACTAGTAAAGGCGAAGGCTATCTGGGTATTTTACTACTAGTCAGTGGTCGATCAAGTTCCATGTGAATACTGAGGTTCTCTGAATGCCATGGCGGTGCCAAGGATCCAGCAACTCACTCGGGATAACTTCGAACCTGATCTTTAGAAGGAGTTGACTAGTTAACTAACTAACTAATTATGGCTAGTTCACTGAGTAATTACGTAATAGCTTTGTTTCCTTCAGGTTTGGCCCGGCTTTCCACTTCAAATGATGATCCCACCACTGCTTCTCCCTTATCCGACTTCAAATCTGCTTGCCAACCATGTTCCTTCAAAGGTCCATTATTCGCGTACCCCAACGAGGGACTCCTCGACTTTTGTACCCCCGGGTTCCTTTGGGCCTTCAGCGCCGCTCAATGGCATCTGAACGGACGCTCCCAAATCTGCCTGACAACAAATTCAACCGCGAGAGAGCAGCAGTCCAAGCCCATGCTGCGGCAACAAGCGGTTCGTTGAAGCATTCTTCTAACATGAAATATAAATTCTAATTGGGATAGATCTTTGGAGGAAACTCTCCATCTAGTAACATTGCCTATTCTTCCCAAACCGATGTGATACTAATTACGAGGCAGCGTGGTAATCCCAGCGCTTATTCTTGGGTCTATCAATGCGTATAACCTGTGGAATGAACATTGGGAGCATTGGGAACATATGCCACCATTGGAAGAGCGAGTGGAATATCCATATCAAAATATCCGCTCTAAGAATTTTTCTTGGGGCGATGGTGACAAGGTAATTATAATCCCCTCCACAAGAAGCTAAATGACTGGGATTGCTAATTGAATTATAGACTCTTTTGTAAGTCTCATTTTGAATTTGATATATTTCTTCCGGGTTTAGCTACCTGAAGAACGTGCTAATTAGGTCATAGCTGGAACTCCGATGTGAATTACCATAACAAAGACAAGGTAACCTAGGGTGCTTAAGTTGGCCTCTGTATATAATAGTGAATGGATAGGAGATGATTGTTTGACTTGTGTGCCTGCTAGCAAGTCATTCATGTATTGGCTGATATTTCAAGATGTGACCTGTCTTTCAAATTCTAGTTCTGTTTCCCTTCGTCTGTTTCTCTCGGTAATTGACTGCCAGACTCACCCTCGACGTATCAGGCTACATTTGGAGGTTAACGCATATGTGCAGCATTATAATCTCAAAGCATATATGATTTTCTCTGAGGTCGGTCGTCATTCATTTTCTTCTCTCACTTGTAATAGCCTGTTTTGTGGATATTTTTTACTCCGGTTGTACGGCGAATTCTTTGGAGAAGACTGCATAGACCGATTATGAGATACCTTTTCGGAGAGTAGTGGAATGTTTAGAACTGGGCATTTTGAGCAAATCATGCGACAGGATGATTTAGATAGGATAAGTCGAGAGTTGGCAAGGTTTTAGAGAGCAGGAGTCCGCAAATTAAATAATGTGAGCACCCATATCATATTTTGAAAACTACAAATTATGACGGAAGTGGTGGCATCGATGTTGCACCGCCTGCTTTTGCCGCTGGAGACGGGAAAAACAGCGGTAGATAAGCCTGGTGGAGCCCTGTTAGCTTCGAGATCGCCTATTGAATTGATAGCAAAGTATTTCGGCATGAATGCCTTTTGAGAAACAAGTATAGGCACATGACATACAACAATGACTGCCATAACTAGAAAACACCGAAGACATCAGCAGGTGTCTAACTTTGCCAGGAAGATTTGATTAAACATACCGGACATAATCACCGATAAATAAGAGGGTGTGGCAGCATTCTTTTTCTGCTCTGGCGACTCGGCCATCCATGTCTGGAGCGAAAATACAACCGCCGTCCTGCACAAGATGGATCAGAAACCTGGAGGAAAGGCGTGAACGATCAGGTTGAACACACCATCCGATCATCCTATTCGCAGCACAATTGGTTTTTTCAGTATAGCCCTCAAATTTAATCGAGACTTCCTCGCAACTATGTTGATGGGACAACAACGCACCGGCTCCGCGTAAACATCTGCATATCGCGTTAGTGCTGGTCCGAGAGATGAAGACGGCCCATTCCTCAACATACCGCAGCCATAGGAAGCGTGCTCGACAGGGCGCCTTGAGAAAGTTATCAGCAACCAAATACACGCTGCCGGAATCGCGTGCGAGGGAACCCACTAGCCATATCACCATCCTTCTTCTTTGACGAAGGGCCAACAAATGGGACCACTGCCTTTCGAGGTTAACCAGCGTATCCCGGATAAGTCTAAATCGCCAGTCAATAGGGGGATATACCTAGGTCAGCTCTCCGCATATCTTTTTTCGTCGCCATTGTGACGAACGCGCAGCGCATGACATTGATCGCTTTCGGCGTCTTCTATCTCCTGGGTTGGGATGAGCCAAAAGCTCACCCCGTGCACGTGACTCGCTGACACCCAGGCAAACAGGGCAAACCGGACAAACCGGGCAAACCGAGCGTCGAAGAAATAACTCCGACGTTCTGTGCTCCGTACAAACAAGCCAATATCAGAAATTGCTTCACGATCAAGTAGCCGGTTAATTGAAATCCTGAGACTTTGTGTATTGCTCCACGGCGGATTGCCCTATTCATGCAGAGTCCTTCTTCATACCCCAGACTCCAAACTCGTAAATGCTCCCTAATTTACAAGGCAACGCAACTATTTACAGGTAACTTTTATCCCATCCTTTTACGGGTTCAATTGAAGCCATTTGCGTTTATCTTCCTCCTTTACCCAACCGGGGCCTCTTGGCACAAACCGATGTCCTAGACGATATCTGTTTAGCGGAAGGGAAGACCAGCCACACGAGTGGAAAACCTACACTTCAATATACGTGTGTATGTTCGGGTCTGCAAGGGCTTCTAAAACATCGCGGATGAAGTAGCGCATATCGACATATGACCACTAGACAGGAAGACGCATTTCAGCGGACAGTGGTTCGAAGATAGACAACATGAATCTCTACTTACCCTCAACTCTCGCATGAACGGCATGATCGTCCACCCATCGAGACCCGCTTTGATTTGTTCCAAGTTAAGCCTTCCTAATGCTTTCATTTGCGGTTCTTTGGCCCATGTCCCGACAGGTACCTTGTGTCTCCTCTCTGTCACGTCTACAAACCCTGCGTCTAGGAGATGGTCTCGCGCCTGATCGACGATTCGAAACGTCTTTCCGCTTATCTCTCCGGCCTGGAGCATCAACCTCGACCACCGGCTGAGCGGATGGTCATATGGGAGCGAACCGTCGTCCGACTTGAACTCAACAGATATTTCTTGCTGGTCAATCCAGCCTCCAGGTTTTAAATGGCTAGTTTGGTTAGCTTGCTTCGTTGAATGTAGATACCTTGGGCAACAAAGAAACGCACCGATATATTGACCTATAGAGGCCTGGCCAATCAGCTACAGATCCGTACATTTGTCGTATATGGACCAGATCGAAGTGGTTTGGCGGATAGCACCAGTCGTCGCAAACATCGTCAATGATAAAGCTACAGTTGCTCGGTAGCTCGGTTGGTTGAATTGCTGAGAAGTCTATGCCGGTGACATTTGCACATGGATACTCGTCCGCAAAATCACTGGGACAGCATTAGGATCCTCTAAGAAGAATGGAGTAGGAAAAGAGAATGAAGCCCTTACATTGCCCATGTTCCATTACCAGTTCCAAGATCGATAACCTCCTATGTTAAGGATTAACATCCAGATCAAGAGGCGGTAAGGGAGTGCTATACGAACTCTCACGTCTGTGGGGACCGGTGCATCTGCGAGCCTTCCGTCAAGCAATTGATAGAACATATCATACCTGGCAGAGCGATCTCAGCTTCATAACTTGGTCTCCGTGCGATAGGAGCTACTTACGCGATGTCCATCTGGTTTTGCTGGACCTCATCGTTTGGCGCCCTAACCAGCACGTCAGTCTAGTGTGCTTGTTGAACACCATTGCAGCCACATACCAATATTCTCCCTCCTGGAAAGCATTATATCGCCGACCATAATCATATGGATAATCGACAAACTCAGAAGTCAGCTCTGTCGTGCTCAGACTGGCCTCGCAAATATTCCCATTAGCACTTGCGGCAATGACTCAAAGATCGAAAGCCTGTCGACTCACGTATCGTCTTCGCCATAATCGGAACCAAAACTAGGCTCCTTTGACAACTAGTCAGCCAGGCACTGGCCCGTGAGAACATTCGATATTGGGTTGACGACAAGTCCCGGGGAACTAACTGGAATAGCTGGAGCCGGAACATTGGCCACCGGGATCTCCCCCGACGGCCCAGCACGAATGGTCCAACAGGGCTCCGGATTAGGTACACCGGGACAAAGAGGAAAATAGTATACGCCCGAATCGAAGAGCAGCTCAACCACATATAAGTTTCGACTCCAGTCGTAGACAATCCGGGGAGATTCCTGCAGCTGTTGCACAAGGGGACGGGCCATGGCAGGCATGTAGGCTTTGAACGGACTGGAAATGTCAAAGCTCTGTAACTGAAAGATGCAAAATGGGTCGACGAAAGAACAAAAGGACATTTGCTATCAGCGAGCTATTGGCCGGGTCCGCAGCTCTCTTTTATCCCTTTCCTCGTGGACAGCCATTGCAGACAAGGACATGGCCATTGCATCATGCATTGTATGTAAAAATAACAAGACAATGCATTATAATTAACAAACAACGCGTACCTATCATCCGCCAAAACCATGCGCTCAGCTCCGGACGCCTCCTCTCTTGCTGTAACAGCCAAAAGGGGTCAAGAAGAAAAAGAAAGCAAACGCAAATTCGAGACAAAGAAGACAGCCGAATGCAGTTGCATTGAAGAACGGATCCAGTGGTCGAGAACCATTCCTCTCCCCCTCTCTGCTACCACGTTCCACAACCATACATCCGACCTTACGCACGTATCTCCAGAATCGATGCCCAGTTATTGCAGCTGATTGGAATGCAGTGTGGTCTCCGTCTCCGAGGACTAGGCAGCCGACGGAAAACCCATGCCTGGGAAAGCCCGCAGCGTCGATCAGAGAGTATTAATAGTTCCGCTTTGACGCCATGAGCCATGAACCGGCTGAACCCGATCCCCCCCCAATGGCCATGGGGTTTCTCCGTGCGCACGGCTCTGGGAACATGCCTTTTCTCGGTTCGAAGATATTTAGATTGGCGATTCGCTGGATTTCAAACAAAGAAAGGCTTTTCTACCGGACCGGCGGTTAGGTGTGGCGAGCCTTTGGCGCTGCTGACTGGTTCCTGGGCCGACAAGGAGGCTCGAGTGATGGGCAGCAGCAAGGAAGATTACATAGTTATTCCTGGTTGCTGGACCGTGAGAGGGTTTCTGGGATTTTCTTGGGTCAAGGGAGAATTGAGATTTCGTCCAGCGCTGGTCCTGGTGGTTGATGAGAACAAAGAAACTGAAAGCAGGTCGTTTCGTGGCGACTCCTGCGCACACACTCACACACACGCAGTTACATTCTCATGGAGATAGGTCATTCGTTGATTCCAACTATGTATGATGGTGGCCCCAATGCCTTGGACTAGGATTTATCATTCAACTCGGTACCATGGTCTATTGCCAAAAAAGAAAGTAGAACAAAAAGCGATGAATTCCAGTCAAGTTACCATGTCCACGGGCCCTGCTCGCTAGAACCCTCAAGAGTTTCGGCCACGGGGTCTAAAAGCGCCCGAGTGTATGAAAGATTCGAGGTCGTTCTAGTTCTCGAATAGAACACTGGGCAGTCTTTACTATCGCATTTGACTTCATCACCCCAGGGAACACCCATACAAGAACGGCAGACCTCATGCACATCGGTCACTCTTCTCTCCGCCCGTTGAATCCTATACTGCAAACGCATGAGCGCAGTCTGCGGTTGCTGTAAACAGCTGTTGCAAAGAGGCTGGTCGCTTTCCAGCTTCTCTCGACACACGGCGCAAGACGAAGACTTCATGTATGATTCCAACGTCTTGCGCAGCAGGGTTCCGTCTTTGCAGGACGGGATCATGGCTCCGTCAGTGCGCCGCATCCGCTGATACTTGGGCATTTCGTCATACCACTGTCGGACGTTCGCTCCAACAAGGTTGAAGATTCGTTCAAGCGGAGGGATGATATTCTTCGAAATATAGTATTCCGCATCCAATTCCATCTGTGGGTCTTGGAGGAGGACTTCAGGCGCCACGCAGCGGTCGATCAGCCGCGCACCCGGGGCACCTGAGATCACCACGTACGGAACCCGTTCGCCATATTGCGGTTCCAGTCTTGGGTCTTCCAACATTCGCTTCGCACTTATCAGCGCGCCTGGTGGTGGCGGACCCTTTTCGCTATAGCTACCTAGCTTTACCTCCTTTGCGAAACAGAAATCCTGGATGGACACTCTGCCCTGCATGATTTTCGCGCATTGCTTCTGGAAATACTTCTTGATTTGACTGAGATCAGCGGTCTCAAACAGGATTCTCAGCGCCTTCTCTTCAATCTTCTGCTCGGCCGGAGTGCCGTCCCGGCGGACCGTTTCTATACCTTTCGCATCGAATTCAGGCTTCTTTTGGTCACGAGTTTCGTACTTGTAGCCCACATATCTCTTTTTAGCCAAAAGGACGCACGGATGGTATACTTTCTCGAATTTGAGTTTCACGGGACGAGGGTTGCGATCGGTAATCGTCTTCGCGATTTCTTCCCCGAGATCGAAGGCTTCATCCCTGGTACGGCCCTTGAGGTAGATGAAGAGACTATCTGTATCGCCATAAACAACTTCGGCTCCCCATCTCTCAACCGAGTGGATCAGTGCAATAGCCTTCTCCAACGTCTCTCGAGCGGTTTGGACTATGCTATCGGCTATCTCGGTACAGGGCATCCTCCCCGAAAAGGACGCAGAAGTATAGCCATACGTCACATTCGCAATCAACTTTAATGCGAGCTGTCGATTATTGAGTAATCGCTGCAGCGCTCTGTCCTCCTTATTAGCTTTCATGCCTCCTTTCACCATGACACGAGTCTCAAGAATCTCCGTAAGCATTTTCGCTAACAGCGATTTGCGAACCTCTGGCTTGGTATACATGATGCCGTTCGGAGAAATGTTGATCTGGTCTTGAAGAAGCTCGAGCAAACCTTGCTGCCTTTGGTAATCAATAAAGCCCATTTTGTTTCGACCGCGCCAATCCACGATCCTACCCAAAAAAGTCGAATAGCAATAATTATATGCAATCATAATACTTGGGTAGAGTGACTGAAAATCCAAAACCAGGAGCGGACTGGTATAGAAGTCGCTTTGAGGCTCCATCACGAGTGGCAGACACTCAAGAGCATTCTGCTGGCCCACCTGTGCTTTGCTTGGAGAAATCAAAATAAAATTCTCTGGTTTGGCAATGCGGAACATCAGAGATTCAACTTTGAACTGGGATCCTCGAGAGAATACGGAAAAGAAGTCGATTCCAAGAATCCTTGCTTGCTCGCTCGTTCTTGAAATTAGCTCGTTCGCATCGAGGATTTTAAGATTTAACTTTGTCCGTGCAATAAGATAGTTGACAACTTTTACTATATTTCGAGGTTTAGTACTCTTAAACCATTTGGTTAACACATGAAAAGGGTAATGGGGTATCCTCCGGTGAAGCACATGAAATACAACGTTCTCCATGGTATACTGAAGCAGATTCAGCTCGCCTCTCATCGCTCTCCAGATATTGATCATATGTCTACCCGTGACGCGAATGGTAGATGTGTGGTTGAAACCCCACCGATCAGATTCTTTGCCGAAACGCCCATGGGAATCTGTTTTCACTCTGGATAGTTCATCACAAAGATCATAATCATACTTGAGCCTTGCACGTTCGATGAGATAACCCCACGAGCCATTATGGACTTCGTATCCTGTCAAAATATCTGGGTCATGATACCGCACAGAATCCACCAGTTTGGTAAGAAGGTCAAGTTCTGAGGGTTCCTCCTCAACTTCAGCATTTGCATCATGCCAGACCTTCCCCCTGATGTTCTCAGGGTCTGCGACGGCAAGTATGCCTGTTTGGATATCGTTTTCGCTTCCACTGGCATCAAGTGAACGTTCGCCAGATTGGATACACCAAAATATACAAGATACTTCATCCTCCTCAGGATTAGGTGCAAGTGTTCCTCTTGTGTTCACATGTATTTCAAGGCTCATAACACTCATATAGTTGGACTCGTGTTGTATATTTCGGGAATGTTTCTTCTGGGAATATTTAAAGCCATGGGAATCCTTTTGGGTAACAGCATCAATCTGAGAAAGTCCAATACGCTGGGGTTGCTTCGCAATAAACGGGCTAGCTTGAAGATCTTTAGAATCTTGCTCCTTGCACCATTCAACCACCTCTAAACGCGACGGTGGCAAGGGCGCAAATTCCCAGCAGCGGATAGAGCAGGTTTTTCGGAGCCTAACATTATCCCTTTCGAAAACACCTGGATCAATGGTTGGAGGCTTGGATCTAAGGGACTCGGATATTTTTCCGGTTGGGTCAAATTGAGGAAGATACGGTACCGTATTGCTTTCGAGTTTGAATTCTCTCCCAGCGTATTCTCGTGAGCGTTCTGGCACATCGTCATCATTGCTATAATATGCGTTTTGGTAGATGACGGAGGGCTTTGAGTCATCATTTATAGTTGCGCGAACCGTAGCTAACGGTGGACAAGGGGGAGCGAATAGATATGTTTTGCCATAAGAGGGTATATTGAAGGATTGGTGAAAATAATGGCCCAGCTCGGCCTCATTTAAGTGAGATGTTTGTGAGGCACCGAAATCGAGCGGTTTGTCTGATGCCGAACGCAAGTGAGAATCTTGTAGGGAAGCGGATTCCTGCTTTTCAGCGTTGGACTGAGTCAATTTCATTGAACCACTTTGCTGGCTAAATCTTGAAAGAGTAAGAGGATCATTCGGGTCTTTGACTATAGGGAACTGTAGCCTCTGGTTGCAGTCATTTCTGTCTGACTTTTGCGACGATTTTGCCTGTGAAGAAGGGTCTCCGGCAGTTCGATGCTGTTGAGCTTCTTGTTGGGTGGGCGGGAAGAAGTTGAGATGAGGGCGCTCTATCTTCATGCAGCTGTGAGAGAGTGTGTACCGGGGACACTGTATTTTCCAATGTGAATCTAAGTCTCTTGTTCGGCCGTTGCGCCGTCCTTTCCGGTGAAAGGGGGCTTCTTAAAGAGCCAGGCTTGAATTTACTTATAAATTCATCGTCTATTTCGAAGATGTCTTGGTTAGAATTAATGATGGCTGATGATCGCCGGATTCCCATACTCTCGAGCTCAGCATACGAAATCGGTTTTGAATTATCAATCCCATTATTTTCACCTTCAGAATTATCATTATTTTCCCTAAACGTCGAGCCGTCTGTCAGAATGTGTTCTAACTCTTGTTCTTTGATGCTGTCAGGTTGCGAGTTTCGCGAGAGAACGTTATTCCCATCCCAGTCTGGCTTAGTTGGCATCTGAAGTCCAGCCGATAGAATCCGCAACTCGTCAACTTCGACGTCGGCTTCCGCAGGTTCAGCTTCGACATTAAGAGTCTCTGAGCGAGCTGTATGAAGGTTTTCAGGAAACAAATCCTGTACGCTATCCAAAGCCGACTGTATATTCGATTCGAATGGAACTGGTTGAGCGGGATTTGTTGTTTTCAGTTTCTCGCCATGTCTAGCTCTCTCGCCCATCATTAGATTCGTTATTTGAGCTCGGAACTCTTCTTCATGAATCCAGCCACCAGAGGCAGTATTTCGAGGATCAGCGGACATAGAAACTAGATCTGCGGGAGTAAAAGGGCTGCTTTCTGGGTCCACCAAGCCCAATGCAGCCTTTCTCCTCCGCTTTTCGTCCTCCCACAAACTAGCCAAACTTGGAACCAATTTCTCGTCAAGATGAGCTGAAGGCAAGTTTTCGAAAAGATCATTATGCAAAGGGCGCTCCCTGATTTCATGACGGTTGAGGATATCTTGGACCTGAATGTCAACCTCAAGCATACAGTGGCTCTGTTTAGGGTATACCACGGCGTCGGATATCAACTCAGGTGGAATACTTCGGTCATGCCACCGGTGGTTAGGATCCTCTAACTCAGAATAAAGCGGCACCGGCCCCCGAAAGGTCGCTTTGCGACACTCGATATACGAACAGCCGTACAAATTGTAATCGCACATCCACTGAGGTACATATTGCATATGGCTTTCATATGGCTGAAGAACCCGTTTCATTACAGCACCCTGGAGTAAAAGGTCCGCCAGGCGCGTCATATGCAGGGGATTAAGCAAATATATCTTGAAGAAAAATCTATGTCCAACATGGTAGCCGTAGAAAGGAGTACCCTTAACGAGGCTTATATGGGCGACGTAGGCCGTTCCGGGATCATATGCATTCCGACGGTAGCTAGCCGCGAGGGCATGATCAATTGATACGTGGAGGCTACGAACAGCAGCTTTGACTGCAAGCACTTAGGCGAATTGTCTCAAAGGGAAAACCATCGTTTCTAACCTTGATCTGGAGCTAGGCTCCCACGGTATTCTATATAGAGGTATGGGAAGGCTCCATGTATATGCGCGCACACTTTCTGTCCCGTCTCAGTGGCACCGAATACTCGGATGACGGGGACTTTTGGCCTTGCCGCCGCTGGTATAGGATCATCGCTGCGAGGGACTTGAGGGTCAAAATATGTTGGAGTGCTTTGGTAATGGTCGACGCAATTTAGCAAAACGCGGAAGGTTTCCATCAGCTATGAAGGGTGAGTTCGAAAAACATGGGGAATGCAGAATTTCAACATTCATCCAACTGTCCAACGAAGCAGCCATCAGGCAGACGTTGAGCTTTTGGAAGTTCGAAGACGACGCGTTCTAGAACAGTTGGAACGTGAGCGCCAGCCTGAGCGCCACTCACGTGACAGATTTGGCGTTGCCATCTCCAGGCCGTCTCTTCACGAAGTTCTCTTCAAGCAGTTATTTGGGGGTCAGCAGTCTCATAATTTCTAGATACCCGAGGGGAACTTATAATAATACTTGCGCCTACTGTTTATATCACCGACAATGTCGCGAAGACCGACAGACGTAGCGTCCAAAGAGCGCAACGAATATATCCCGTCCTTTATCTCGAAAAAGCCGTTCTACGTCGATGACGAATCGTCTGCCAACGACTACCTCGAGCATCAACGTCTACAGAAGTCCAAAGAGGGCCAGTCACAATGGTACGAGAGAGGCAAGCGAGCAGGACCTGCGGCGACGAAATACCGGAAAGGAGCCTGCGAGAACTGCGGAGCGATGACCCACAAGACAAAAGATTGCTTAAGCAGACCTCGAAAGCTCGGCGCCAAGTGGACTGGGAAAGATATCCAGGCCGATGAAGTGATTCAAAAGGTAGAAATGGGCTGGGATGCAAAACGGGATCGTTGGAACGGCTACGATGCTAGAGAATATAGGAACGTCGTACACGAATATGAAGAACTGGAGACACTTAAACGACGAGCTAAAGATGCGTCAGAAGATCGAAAGTCAGATCCCGGTAATGACGAGGATGAGGATGATGTCGACGGTGTAGGTGAAGCTAAATATGCTGAGGAGTCGGATATGGGAAGGAAACAAAGCACAGCAACTCGGAATCTACGAATTCGAGAAGATACAGCGAAATACTTACTGAACTTGGATCTTGACTCTGCCAAGTATGACCCGAAGACACGCTCGATGGTCGACATGGGCGCACAGTTTGATAAAGCCGCCGCGCTCGTCGCCGAAGAAAACTTTATGCGGGCATCGGGTGATGCCGCTGAATTTGAAAAGGCGCAACGATACGCTTGGGAAACACAGGAGCGTGGCGATGCAGATAGACAACATTTGCAGGCAAACCCAACGCAGGGGGAATTCTATAGGAAGAAGCAGAAGGAAGAAACGGATGCCAAAAAAGCAGCACAAAAGAAAGCGTTACTGGATAAGTATGGCGGGGCAGAATTCTTACAACCTGGATTATTGCACCAAGCTGCTGTTACTGAAAATGAGCGATTTGTGGAATACGACGAAACTGGCGCCATCAAAGGGGAGCCAAAAACGGCTGTGAAGTCGAAATACAAGGAAGATGTACTGATCAACAATCATACCTCAGTCTGGGGCAGTTGGTGGTCTAATTTCAAATGGGGTTATGCGTGCTGCCATTCTATTGTGAAAAATAGCTACTGCACGGGAGAAGAAGGCAAGACTGCTTTCGCGGAAGCTGAGACGATGCTTTTGAAAGAGCTTGAGAACGCTGCTACCGAAGCACCTGCTATAGCGGCCACCGATAGAAAAGACGACAAGTCTATGACCACGACCTTAGGGAAGCGGACACTACATGAGCTTCAGCAAGGTGTGACCGAGGAAGAGCTTGAAAGCTATAAAAGATCTCGACATGTTGCTGACGACCCCATGGCTGCATATCTCGGAAAGGATAAACTGGTTACTTGATACGGCCATGGTGCTTTTTGTTGTTATTTTGGAGCGTTCAAGCGATTTCTGTAGATATAATGCATTTCAATAAGGATCATCAGAATCGGATTCTTCATTCTATTCCCTTGTAGAATATGCTGCCTGTCAATTCTTCCCTCTGCTGCGAGTTTGATGTTTCTTGGGGAAAAGGCGTATCACGTGACTCAGGGCTTCAACCCTCGCACAACAATTCGCTTAGCGCTTTGAGAACTTTGGATTCAACGGCCTTTTGCGACAACGACGACACGACCACCGCTTCCAACAGCAAAATCGAGGTATGTTGAATCTCATGTTCTCTTCGTGCTGAGATCCTAGATTTCTGAGAGACTAACGGATTTCTTTGCCTGGCAGTAGAGTTCCTAACCCAAGATGAGTACGAACGACCCCCAGATCCACCAAGACGTCGAATAAAACTCCGATAGCATGATTTATGTGATTACTGATGGGCTTGATTAGCGAAGGGAACATCCAGCTTTGGCAAGCGCCACAACAAGACGCACACCTTGTGCCGACGATGCGGTTAGTTTTTCCTCGAATTCTGGGAGCCGTTCGACGGGTTAAAGGGAGACGGAGCAGAAGTTTTGGAAGGGAATATTCATTCGACATGGGACTGACAACGGATATTTCTCTTGACCAGGTCGCCGCTCTTTCCACATTCAAAAGAGCACCTGTAGCTCTTGCGGTTACCCAGCAGCCAAGATGCGCAAATGTACGTTCAAAGACACCAACCCATGCTTCCTAATATCGACAACAATCAAATACAACGGGAAGAAGCTTGCAAAAGGCTGCAATTACTCACCATAAATACAGTTAACTGGGGTGAGAAGGCCCTCCGCCGAAGAACCACCGGTACCGGCCGCATGAGATACCTCAAGGTTGTCCAGAGAAAATTCAAGAACGGCTTCCAAACCGGCACTCCTAAGGGCGCTCGGGGACCTCAGACCGCATAGATGATGTTCGTTTCGCTTTCGTCGGTTTCTAGGGGTATCTAGGAAAGGGGTTTACATACCATTGTCTCTTATGAGGAGCGGAGACATTGAATCTTGCTGGGAACCAACTAGCTGTTTTTATGAGCTTAGTTCTGTTTTTTACACGGCGTGGTATCCCGACAAATTCAATATTTATGGTCGATTCCATCAAGAGAAACAAGTTCATGGACTGGAAAAATATATGTGGAAATTCACGGAGTACATGGGTCTCCTTCTCTTGTTAAATAATGACAAGAATCCTTTCGCCCGCAATGACAAGGACGATCTGGTTTCGCAAGTGTGTCTGTGTCTTGATCCAATTCAAAAATTGAGGGCGATCCTATATCTTCACTCCTTTGCGGCGGAAATGATCTCCTTTTGCGTTTACACCGTCTAGGTCTTCACTACATAATACACCCGCGCTATTCGCCTCTACCAAAGACCCGCACTGCTCCATCGCTCTGAACATAGTACAAGACTTCTTTCGGTTCTATATCATCCTCTCCCATATGTTTCGAATCAGATGTATTGGCAAACGACACGCCTTTGTTGATCTGCAACACGCCGCTGACATCTCGAGCAACACCTGTTTCTAACCCTCTTAGTTGCATTACCATTCGGGCCTGGTACGCCATGGTGACCACTAGACTCGCGTGTTCCAGTTCCAGAGGCGTTCTCTGTTCCTCGGAATGAATGAGAGGCGCATCAGCTGCCAGTGTTAGGAGTGTAGAGTGTACGTGCTGGAACAACTAGCTATTAGCCACTTTCGTATGATCTATACGAAGCTGCGAATGGGCAGAATGTACCTGTCGTAAACCCATAATCATATCCTTTACCTCTACCGCGCCGATTCCAGCTTCAGGTCCCGTCGCAGCTAGAAGCATATCTGGCTGGTCTATAACAAGGAGCACGTCCTCTGTTGATGAAACCCGATCATCTTCACCGGCATGGCTCTTTAGGCTCTCAATAGCCGAGATGATATCTCTCTCTATGGCTTCAAGTTTCCCGGCCATTGACCAATGAAGTGTCGTTGGTCCACTGGATTTTTGGTGGACGGGAGCAGGGCGACTAGCTGGAGGAGCCCGAGCCGCGGCAACGAATCGAGAGGCGTGAGGAGCCGGAGGCCTGCCATGAAGTGCTATCGGTGTCGATGTAGGATGCGCGACTTCATGAGAGAAAAGCCCAGTAAGTCCATCCACGAACGCAAATTTGCGCTCGTTGGCGAGTTTGGCCAGGTCAATTCCCTAGAAAAGAGCTAATGTCAATGCTGTATGCGAAACTATTTTAAGAAGAGCACACCGCTCTCAGACAAGTTTGCTGATATCAATCCTGTCCAGGCCAACCCCAGTCACAGGTTATCATGAAAGAAGCCTCGAGATTTTGCACCATCCGTTGCAATCACTTCTTTAACGAAAAAAACTACACTTACCAGCCTCCTGGCCTCTCCTCTCCAAAACTCCCATCCTCTTAAAAAGCTCACCAGAACGACTCTCATTGTGCCCCTCCTCCCACTTGCAGCCCCTCCCTCATCGTCAAGCCCAATCCCCACACCGGCATCCTGCTGCCATCTCCCTCTCGACGACGATGCTGAAGGTGAATAAAGTGCGTCGCATAGAAATCTCAACACGAGCCAATTGCTGGTTGTGCCCAATAGAGATGTGATGAGTGATAGTGACTGTGCTGGCGGAGGGGAGCTATAGGGAGCTAGGAGGGGGGCTGTGGCTGTTGGCATCGGGGTAACCAGTGGTTATCTTGAGTAGCTATTTCGATTTCTCCGGCCCATTTGATCAGACAGAATTTAGATCGTAAAAGCAATCTATTGATCAATATAAAATTCGGCTTCTGGAGATGTTTTGCATTGAAGTCGAAACTAACAACCTTCAAATGACATAATCCCGTCTTCATAGAATCATGCACAATTGAGGGCTGTCACTCCTAAATCAACAATTGTTTTAGAGCGAATAGCTACTTAACTCTTAGTAAATAGCATTCCGATCACCTATGTACGAATCTACTTATCAAACTCGAGAAGGGATATGTTGAGACCATAGCTAACATGACCCATAATCAACCGTCGAAATGCCGATATTCACCAGACTCCTTTCCATCGCCCAAAGAGTTACATACCGAGCAAAGCTTCCAGTTGATCGAGTGCCGATGGCTTGATATCACCTTCTTGCTCAATAATATCTCTAGTCTCATCGGCAAAGCTTTCTCCGCAAGTAGAAACAGGACTGGCGACCAATCTTTTCTCGACTGGGACTTGCCCGTTTTCATCGGCGTCCGCTTTCGTCAATGGCTCAGGCGTCGACTTTGTTTTGCCATCAGATGACTGATCGATAATGTCCATCAAATTCAATATTGAGTTAAACGAGCTGTCAACCGGGGAACTTTGGGCGGAGAACACCTCCTCAATATCGATCAACTGGCTTGACGTCTCCGAGCTGGGGTCTTTATTTTTGGCAGGAACCTCAACGTTGTCTCCAAACCCTTCTTTAAATGCTTCCGGCTTATCAAATACGTCGCCGAGGCCACTCCAAGGATCGTAATTCGGATCTTGAAACAGCTCGAGAACCTCTCCAGCATGCTGAACTCCGCCCGCTGTCTCGACATCGCGGACCCCGGCCAGATTTTCGTTGACGGCATCTCTACGTTTTTTGAACGAAGCTTGACCGGACCACAGTCCCACTTCCTCGAGGCACGCAGGGTCATAGTGCTGATTGACTATTTTACCAAGAACTGGTTGTAGCACCCACGGAAAGCTGATGAATGGTAGCTTCTCCTCATGCTTTATTGACACACTCTGAATGCCCGTTTCATCAGAATATCTAGCCTTGCTCGCCGCTAGCGCTTGCGTCATTTCGTTGCAGGTAACTTTGTACATGGCAACAGCAAGTGGTGCTAGATGCTCGAAATCTTTGCCTCCTGCTTTTTCGAAGCAGAGAACACGGAAACGTTCCCGTAAAGCAGACGCAATCTGGCCAATTTCTTCATGAAATTTATAGTCCTTGCTCATATTCGCATGACTCAGGACAAATGTCGACCATACTTCAAACTCCGTGTTAATCTCATGCTGCGCCATGATCCTACGCATATCCGCATCGTATAGCGTTTTCAGCTCCGTAGCCATAGCTAAAAGGTCATCGCTGGTTTCAATCCCACTGCTTAGGATCCGTTCATCGAAGTCAGCTTCAAGCTTAGGCCTATAATCGACGCGTTCCAATCTGTCGTAAAGCTGACCAAGGATCTTTTGGGAAATGTATTGGGCTTCCTTTGGTTTATGCTTTTTCTCCATGAAGTGCGGCCATTTTCGGGGGATCAAGTCTTTGGTCATTTTTGCTGGTATTCCCGTTTTATTATAGTCCACTGCGGCAGAGTGCAGCTCCGCGAGCTGCATACATTTTGGATCATTTACACCTCGTTCCAGGTAGTCCGCCCATGCGAGATGAGCCAGCGCAATTTGGGGAAGGCGGTCATTTTTCATGTACGTTACAAAAAAAGACGTGATGTCGTTAACGGTAACGTCGCGGGATAGACAGTGGGCCTTTGTCGATGGCACATAATCCATTGGCTGTCTAAACCAGTTCTTTGGGAGAAGGTCTTGATCCCAGATGATCAGATAGTCGTCACCATCCAAGTCGCCGCCTGAACACATACTTGGGACATCTTTGTCTCCTGTTTGTGGAAACACGACAACATCCTTAAGATGGTGTAAGGCAGGGACATTGACTGCCTTAACAACACGGATATCACCCGGATGCAGCGAAGGATTTCGGGCAACGATACATGGGCCCTCGATCACCTCATACTTTCCACCATTGTCTGCGCGGGATATCTGAACAAAAACTTCTGGAAGAGACTCCAGTTTCTCTTCATAAGACGCGTTCGCCGCAGGGATTTTGTCGTTGAAAAACCCCTTCAACGTCCCTGTCTCATCAAGACAGCCAAACAAACATGCGCCATCCTCAATAATAATTTTTGCCTTTTCCTTGAGGTATTTGATTTGCCATGCTCTCCATAACTCCAGCAAGGAGGTGACAAAAGGTTCCTTCGATGCTTGGAAACCGTCTTGAACCATCTCGGCGAGCACCAATGTCATTTGGTTAGGGTCGACGTATTTATGAAGCAGGTGAATTGCCTGAGCTTCGCTAGACATGGCTAACTCAAGGTTTTCGAGCATAACTCGGAGCTTTTCAATGAAAATCTCATCGGGAACTTCGAGGGCTGACAAAACAACAATAAGTTGGCGGTTTAGACTTGCCATTGAAAAATGTGAATGCCGAATCACTTCAAGGCCATTATGTATGGCTGGAAACTTGTATTGGGACTTTCGAATGTGGACTTCTCGACGTTGGGCTTCGGGGGAAACAGTCAAAATACCTTTGCAGCCTCCAAGTCGAAATTGAAAGACGGAAGGAGGTTCGCCGCATGGGGTTTTAATCTTGAATTCCGTCATGATCATCTGCGCCAGGAATCTGGAGATACGACCAACGCCGTCTGAGAAAGTGTGGCCATTTCTTTCAATGTCTTCTATCTCGCGAATTTGCACGGGACAACCAGTCACTGCTCGGGTTGTTGAAAAGCACTGGCCTAACCGGGCAGCATGCCGAGCGATCTCTTTGATATCGCTGAAATGCCCCATCCATGCACGGATATTCGAGGCCGTAAGATGAGGCAAGGAAGCGAAAAAGTAGGCGCCATGTTCACGGAATTGGGAATTACCAAATGCTAAGAACTCATAATGTCTGTCGCCAAGTGTGATGCCGTTCATCATAGCACGCTTGATGCGGGTAAAGACCTCGTCCATGGTATTGTTATGGCTAGGGCTAATTCTTCCTTCGAACCTCTCGTCGGTGAAGCGAACACGGAGAAAGCGGTCAGCATATTCAATGTAATGTCTGATGACGCGGTTCGATATATCGACAGAAGGCGTGTTAAAGTACACAGTCGATGGTGTCACGCGTGCTGTTCTCATGTAGCAGCAGTATTTTGGAATTCTACGACTTGTGGCCGGTTTGACAAATAAAATGTCAAATATTTTCATTGGGTCATAGTACACGAGCTTTTCGCCCGCTACGTGCTCCAGTAACTCTCTTGCATTGGTCTCACCGAGTGCCGCAAGGGTAGTTGTGAAGTCTTTGCCGATGGTATATTCGCTCAAAAGGCCATGGGACAGACAAACTTCCAGCTGGTATCTAACAGAATATGGAAGGGGTATATAATCTTCCTCTGCCAAATCCTGCAACGAAGTAGTTCGTTTGGAGCCGTGGTTTGGAGGGTCGATCCATTTCCACGCCACAGAAACTGTGGAATTCGTGTTGACTTGAAATTCTGGAGCATCTTGAACTTCAACGTTGAAGTCCCTACATATATTCTGAAGGGTCTCAAGCTTCTGAGCGGTAGTTGCATTGAGGTTATCAAATGTTAACCTAAACGTCGTCCACCGTCCTGATCGCAAGACCGTTAGCTACAAGTCAGCCTGTTTGGAAAATGCGAGTCTTACCGATATTTATCAATGAGTTTGTCTTTCGCAAGCTCAATGAAGCTTGAGCAGCTTCGTGTTGCGAATATGGGATATCAGTTTGCCGAAACCAGGAGTCAAATTCTCTCCATGTGCTTCCGGTATCGGAAAAGGTAACCGTTAAATCGTTTAGTTTCCGATGGTAGATTGGCGGCGAGTCCAAAACAATCACTAGCGACGGGTTGCCTGCACTCTTGGGCCGTAAAATACGTGACAGATGGACGAAGGGGATACGGAAGCGGTAGCTGTAAACTAGGGGAGCACGGGACAAAGGGCGTGGATCGAACAGGGACAACTGGAAGTAGACTATTATCTCACGTCGAGAAAGGTCTACCACGAAACGAATTTGGCCCATCCGGTTCGAATCGACAGTCCTGAGAGAAAGCATGACATCCTTCTCTATCAAGGTCCCAAAATCAAGTCTCCCTATCGGCAGCTCCTGCCCATTATTAGCCCGCCGCTTTCACAATGGCACTAAATGGGTCGCTTACCGTCGTCGTCGGATATAGTATGTGCGGAGATAAAGGGCTTGGAATCTGATTCAAAGGCCGCTTTGGGTCAATATTCACTCCTAAAACACAGCTCTGGCCGTTGTCCAACTCGAGAATATGCGTCCGGTTCGGGCAAAAAACATCCCGTGGTGGAGGTCTATCAAAGATCAGTTGGGCAACAGAAAGGATTCCACCAAACCAGTTAATGTACTTACCTAAATCGGATCTTGCCTCGACCCTCCCTTGCTCCCTTTGCGTTCTCAAATATCTCTACAAACTCAATTGTCCCGTAGCTCTTGAATGACCGCCAGATCGTAAAAGTGTTGATATCCTTAGGAAGCCCAGAAATAAAGACATTGAGAGAATCCCAAGTTGTCCAGGGCGCAAAGAGCTGAGATGCCCTTTGCTGGTCAGCCATGCTGGGCATGGCGATAGGTCTGCGTCGACTGGCGATTCGAGAGCGAGGATCAGCCATTGTCAAGCACTGAAGAGTCAATCGATCGGGAAGAAGAAGGGAGATGAAGTAGTAGTGATGGCTTTCAGGAGGAGTGAAGTTGAAGAAACTGGGGAATGAGAGAAAGCAGGAACTGAGAGGAACAGCAAACAGAGGTGAATGGCACAAAGTGAGACGAAGAGAAGGGAAGGAGGTGAGTCCCGCCGATGAGGGGAACCAGAGGTGCAGCCCGATGCGGAATCCGGGAGAATCACAGGGAACGACCAGAACAGGAAGTCCTGTGAGGACGGCTTGCACGCAAGCTTACCCTTCGTGGCCACTCACGCCCAGTCCGGCGATGGCGGCTGGTGAAGGCGACATAATCCCCTGAGAACTGCGGATAACAGCCCCGTGCATACCCATTTGCCGCTGTGCGCGTTGTTTTGCATTCTTCGCCGGGGCAACACTCTGCCTTTCCATCTCCAGCTTCCTTAGCTTTTTCTCTTCACTCCTCCTTTGCGAGCGGGAATTTCCTCCCCCTCGTGTTCCTCCACCGCTAGTCGGATTCTGCTTAGCAGTCGGGTGGTCCACGGTCTTATCCTAAAGGGAGCCAAAGGGATTAGCCAAAGCCCAGTTATCACCCAAGTGCATAGAGTTTGCGCACTGGACAAACAAGGCTGCATATGGGGGCATATGCACGGTTGCCACTTGTGCAATATGACCCTTGAAAACAGCCATGATGATGCATAGGGTTTAAGGAACAGTACTCACCATGTTCATCCTTTCCTAGTCTAAAATCCCCAGGAGAGTGGCTCGAAGAATAACAACTTGAACAGAGCAGAAAAAGCACTTACAAACAGTCGGAGTTTGTAAGGAGGTGGATTATGAAGGAGCAGCCAAAGTACATGATTTTAGAGACCAGAAAACCTAAACCGGCTGGACCGAGATAATCATAATGAATGGCTGCTGAGTTTCTGGAAACAAAAATTCCTAACTTTTATTGTTTGCAGCCTATGCAATGCAGGTGGACAATGAGCAAACCCCCTAGACAGTGAAGCAAAACCGGCAAAATAGCATCTGCTGCAGGTGTCCGCGGGCTGAAACGCGAGCAGGTCATTCAAACAACTGGGGATATAAAAAGGCTAATACCGGGGGGAAGTCTCATCATTTCCCTTCCTCAGTGACATACAACAGATACACAATGAATAAGTGAAAATACGAGAGTGTGAGTCGAAAGAAAAAAAAATATTATTATTACTCCAAAACGGAGTAATTCAGCCTAACTTGAAGTAATAGAAGAAAAATGCAAAGGTGTTGCAAAAAGCAATTATCCTAGATCCGCAAGCGGACTTCAGAGATGTCTCATACCTCATAAGGGGCCATCGTCCATAGTGCCTTAGACGATATTCACATCAGAAAATCAAAACGTGGAAATATCTTCCTGGACCGAGTTCTCTTCGAAGCTGAGGTGTTGCCCATCGCCATCAATTATTTTACTTGGCGAGGAACGGTTCCGGCCTTTGACTGGACTGTTGGTATTGAGCTGCAACAGCGGCTGCCTGGAAGCTGGAGGTGTTGACGAAAGATTGCTGAGCCGCTTACGAGGCCGCCCAGCTTCAGATTTCTTGTTATTCACGGAGCCGACAGGCCCCATCGACCGCCTTTGGGCATTCCTTCGGCGTTTTGGCGTGGGACTCGGTGCCGTTGAGTTAATCGGCCCAAAAGACTCGGTTGTCAAGCTCATGTTCTCTGCTTCTCTGTCAGTATACCCAGAGCGCGCGTTTCCCGACCCTTGTGGCCCATGTAAGGGTTCGAAGTGTGTTGGAACGGCCGGATGGCTGGGGTTGAAAACCGCCATTAGTCTGTTACTGTATTCCTGGGCTTTCGCCATTTCACGAGCTTTCTCGCCATATTCTTGCCTCAAAGCGCTCAACTGGTTACAAATCTCTCGTCAACCATAAGTCTTGGAGTGTATGTTTGGGTATAAACCATACCTGATACTCTAAGGATTCGATTTTCTTGCCTTTTTCTTTAACTGCGCGGCTCGCCTTGAGCTTTACGGTTTCTAACGTCGTCTCCCATGTTTGTTGTTCTTCCAAATGAGATGCTCTCATAACCGACATCTAAAGCATTCAAGTAAGCACGGGCAATTGGCTCATGCATCTCATTGTTGGCAACACGTACCTCGTCGTTCAATCGCGATACCTCCGTCTCGTGGCACTCTTTCAACGTTTCGACAGCACGTTCATACGATTCGCTGTCGACCTGGCATTTCTCCTCAAACATTAGACATTGAGAGGTCTTCTGCTTGAGCTGTATCAAGGTTAGATATCGACTCGCAAGATCTATGTCGCGTACTTACGAGGCCTTCTGCTTTCTCTAAACTCGAATTCAGTGTTAGTGCCTCCCCCTGCAAAGTGTTGATTATTGATTCTTGGTTGCGGCATAATTCCTCTTTCGCAGCAATTATGCCCTGTAGCTCTTTGGTTTCGGACTGGGCTTCTCGAGTTGAAGTCAATGCCTCCTGTCTGAGGGCTTCCAGCTTGTCATTTTCAAGATTTAATTGTTCAGTCCTCTCTCGCAACTCTTCGATCACGTCGTCCTTTGCCGCAATAATTGCGCTGTATCTAATCTCCAAATCTTGTGCCTTTTCTCGAGCTGAGTGAATCGCCTTCTGGTTGGTTTGTATTGAATCTTGGAGGTTCGCTTTAGTAGATTTCAAGTCTGTTGCTAGACGCTCCACATCAAGGCAAAGATCATCATTTTCACTCCTCAGCCTCGCAATCAATTCCGCATCTTCAGTTGTTTTATTTGTCAGCTTTTCGCATTCCAACTTGGCCGCTTCACATTTTGCGGCCAGGCCTTCCATCTCAGCGCTCATGGACCGGAGCGGGGCTTCAACATTCTCACATCGCATTTCAAAATCTTGACAGACATCCTGAACTTGGCGAACAACTTCAGAATATGAAAGATCAGACAATTGATGTAAATGTTGGGAAAGTTTTGACCTCCAGTCCCGGCTTGCATCGGGTGCGTACTGGTCTCGTGCCATTCCATGGACTGAACCGTCACCAACCTTAGGAGGAATTCGAGAGAGTGGATAAGATATTTCAAGTGAAGATTTTAAATTGATTAGAGTCTTTTCCCATAGAAACGAAAGTTGCTGTGAGGATTCCGTCGGAGGGCTGGTATTGAATAGATTTAAAACCAAAGCGCCCAATTCGAGAGACAAGTAATTCGACCTCAAAGATGCTGCAACGGGGCAGATCCTGCATTGCCCGCACTGACTATGATCCGGGGAAGGTCGTATTGCGCCGCACTGGAATTTCATCTTCTCCCTGTCGATAGCAAGAAGAGCGGCTTTGATAGACGCCTTTAGGCTGCTAGAAGACTCTGATTTTTTGGCGAGTCCAGATAGCATTGACCTCGCCATACCGACATTGACCATATGTATATCAGTACTAAACGAAAAATCATCCAAGTGCATCATAATATAAGCAATGCATCGGGAGATTGTCGGCTGGTCAAACCTAGGCTGGTATGGTATCAGTAGACGCATGGATATTCATCTGGCATGCAAAACCTACTGAAACGTTTTGGATCAAAAGCGAAAGGTAGTCAGCGGGTGTATCGTAAAGAACACGATTGCTATCTTCCGACAAAATCCTTTGTTGGACCAACTCCACAACATGATTTGGGAGCATTTCCGCAGGAACAAATGAGACAAGGAAGCCAAGGCCCTGTGATCTGTGAGCATATCAATATACAACTTCCAAGGTGCAAACGCACCATCATCTGGACTTCTAGACTGGCAGCTGACTTGATGACCTTCTCGCATAGTTTGATAATCTTTGGTTTGTTAGCGGTTAGCCAAAGAGTTTTCTGTGTGGGTTCCACAGCTTCACAAATTTCCTTCACAAGCTGGAGGTACTGAACGCTCTCAGATGAAAATAGCACACTATTCCCAGAGTAGACCAAAATTGCACGCAAGAAGGCCAGGTCTAATGTCTTCAAACCTCTTGTGGCATCAAAAAATTGACAGATAGATCGAAGCCAGCGCGGCTTCTCGGATGGGAACAATTGTGGTGCTGATGCAATTTTTGCCAAAATCGCCAGGCAGAACAGATTGCCCATATGATCATCCAAGTTGCGTAAGATCCTTGTGCACTCAACCTGGAAGTTTATCATTATCTGCTCTGGAATGATCTCCAAGATACTGCCCTGGACGCTCTTGATAACCTGGTATAGGGGCGACAGGGTGTCTTTGCACGGTCGGCAAACGGCCATTTCAATCAACTTTGAGATAAAATCGGGAAACCTGGCAGGAATTACCAAAGAATTCGGCAGTGGCGCGGACAACACCGCCAGGCAGGCCTCCAAGTACTGCCCTGACGGGGCTGATGAAGGGTCGCTCGAACCATCCTGTATGTTTTGAGCCGCATTAGACAAAATTGCCTTATCTAATAGGTAGTCAAATATCTCAGGTTTTGCGGTCAGAATCGCATCTCGACATGGCTCCACGGACGCTTCACAAGAGAAGTTAGAACCCGGCAATATAAGCCCAGTCAAACAGCATTCCCGCATCGTAAGCCACAAGCGTACCTATGGATATAAATATTCGAAGTGCATACAGTGACTGCGGAAAGACACCCAGAATAGCAGATACGAGCGGAGGCACCTGGCATGGTTTAGAATCCGCCCACAAGCGTAGGCTTTTCGCGGGGTCTTCCTCTGCACATATTATATCATGAAGATCCTGGTTCCATGCAATCAGCCACCGAACAAGCATTTTTGGAGTTCTTTTCGCCTCGTTTTTCCGGAGGTCCGGCCCTCAATGGCCTCACATACCTTTAGGCACACCAAGTATGGGGCAGCGACTATCCGGTTGATCTCAGATGTTAGCCTTTCCACCATTTTCTTTTCTGAAGCGGCCTTGGATCTTTTGTGATGGACGTTACTATTAATAAGATCCTGGATTTGAGAAGAAAGTCGTATGGAGGGTGTTGGTGTTCAAATGTCACCGTTGCCTCCGCAACCAGCTTCATCGAGAACCAGGAATCCATCCAATGCTCCATGCCAGGAACGACATCCTTGAAGCAAAGTGATTAGCCACATCCAAGCAAGCACCACCGCTCATCCCATAAAAGAGGCGGTCCATGTCTGGCTCGATAAGAGCACAAATTTGCGCCAGAAGTTTGACTAACAAAGTGCTCGAAAGCGCAGTTTCATGACAAGCCACGGATACGAAATCATTCCGTTCTCCTACGCCCCTTTCCTTTTGCTCGCATGAGCACGACAACTTGCGTGTTCGGGTGCAGGTGGCCGAAGCAAACACGTCCAGCCCGATGAAACAATGGCCCCGAAGAAATCTGAGACTCGGTTTATCCAATCAAGCTACGGAGGACTTTGTGACGAAATCTCGACCAGGTCAGAAGCATAAAATCCGGATCCGTTTGCAGCAGACGACGCTGGTTTGCAAGGGCCAGCCGGCTTCGATAGCTAGACCGCCTGGTCTCTGTGGAGGGAGATCCGGGCATCGATCGCCCAGGTGCAGTGTTGCGCGCGTGAGGCACAATGCAGGTTCTCGGACAAGGGCGAGCCGAAGACTCTTGAGAGCTTTCCGGCCAGACGCCGAACACACGCAGGGGGAGCTACCTTGGGAGAACGGATGCAACGCCTTTCAACGTCAGCCTCCTGGTACCGCACTATCTGTTGGTGGCTGAAAGTCCTAGTGCAGGATTAGTCATAGATTCTGCAGAAAGCAGAGTCCGGTGGAGTTTACCTGCCGCATGCATTAATTGGATGTCATTTAAAAGAAAGAGTTGTTTAAAGTTCGATCTCAATAAATGTAGAAAACACACAGAAACTACTGACGAGGGAGTGATATCTCTCCCGGCGAGCTCCATTGCCTTGGGTGTTTGTGTTAGGAGCTAGTTGATCAGTAAGCCAAGTTTGTGGGTATTTTATCGTGGTGCAATGACCAGGGTCTAATGACAATGGGGACATTGAAGGAGTTTGCTACCAAACGGGAACCCTTTGAGCTTCTGCTCCTACAAGTGAAGGGTGCTTCCGTACCGAGGTGTAGTCCGTATTGAAGTCCCTATTTAATCCACAGGCTCCCCGCACCATGGAGTGGAAATGAGTTCCATTGACAACAGGCTAATTCTTCTCTTTCTTGCCGGCTTTCTCACTCACTCAGAATACTATACTACAAATGAAAGTCTTTAGCCGAGCTGCTGCTCGGCTCTCACAGCGCGGAGCTAATGTCCCACGCCATCAGCAACGTTTCACTGTTCAGAAAACCCGCCTGAGATGGAATAGCAGCGCCTCGCGATCCCAGAATGCCGCGCAAGCTTCGACACCAGCATTCTGGAAAATAGGCCAACAATTGATAGCCGGTGTGGCTGCAGTTGGTTCCGCATATGCGTTGGGAAAGTACTCCTCCGGGCCTCGCGAAACTGCAACTGCGGGTGTGCCAGAATATGCGACTTTCAAAGAAATGGAAAAGGTAGAGATAGTCCAAGGTGCTTACCCGTACCGCTTGCCTTCAATGCCGTGTCTCTAACGAGTCAAACAGGCCATCGCGGAGCTGAGACAACTGTTTGGTGAAGATGCCATTAGTATAGATGACGAAGACCTGCATTTACACGGTTATTCAGAGTGGTCAACAGTCAATTGTGATCAATTGCCGGCAGCGGTCGCCTACCCCAAGAGTACGGAAGATGTATCCAAGATCGCACAAATATGTCACAAATATCGGGTGCCGATGATACCGTACTCTGGCGGTTCAAGTTTGGAGGGCAACTTCTCTGCTCCACATGGAGGAATAACAATCGACTTCTTGCATATGGACAAAATCCTCAAGTTACATGAGGATGACTTGGACGTCGTCGTACAGCCGTCTATCCAATGGATGCAGTTAAACGAGATGATCAAACATACTGGGCTTTTCTTTCCCATCGACCCTGGACCACCAGCAAAAGTTGGAGGGATGGTGGGCACAAACTGCAGTGGTACCAATGCAGTGCGTTACGGAACAATGAAAGATTGGGTCATTAACCTGACCGTTGTTCTTGCAGATGGCCGGGTTATCAAGACCCGGCAACGTCCACGGAAGAGCTCTGCTGGGTACAACCTAACGGGCATGTTTGTCGGCTCGGAAGGGACCCTGGGCATTGTCACCGAAATCACTTTGAAATTGGCGGTCCTTCCAGAGGAGACTAGAGTGGGTGTGGCCACCTTCGATACCATCCGCGATGCCGCAAACGCAGCTATGCGAGTCATGCGAAAAGGCGTTCCGATCCAATGCATGGAAATCCTTGACGAGGTTCAAATGAGTGTCATCAACAAGGCGGGTGGGACAAACCGGGTGTGGAAGGAAAGTCCAACGCTGTTTTTCAAATTCTCTGGTACCAAATCGGGCGTATTGGAGAGCATCGACATCACCAAGGTTATTGCAAAGGATAGCGGGAGTACATCATTTGAATTTGCCAAAAACGAGAAAGAATGTCGCGATATTTGGTCTGCTCGAAAAGAGTCTCTTTGGAGTATGCTTTCCTTGAGAAAAGACGGTTCTACCGATGTCTGGTCTACAGATGTTGCTGTTCCCTTGTCTCGATTACCGGACATTATCGGTCAGTTCCTTGGGCTCTTCAGTGTTTCTTCAATGCTGACCTTCTATATTAGAATTATCCAAAAAGGATCTAGACGATCTTGGAATGTTTGCCAGTATCCTCGGCCACGTTGGCGACGGCAACTTCCATGAAAGTATTATGTATGACAAAACGGACCCTGAACAACGTGCAAAGATTGAACAGGTTGTTCACGCTATGGTCGATCGCGCCATTGAGATGGAGGGGTCCTGCACGGTACCCGGCCCCTTGAAGTTAATGTTACCTGATTTAAACCTGGAATAGACTAACCAAGCCCACAGGGAGAGCACGGAATCGGAATGGGCAAGAAGTCCTCTCTAATTAAAGAACTCGGCCCAGAAACCGTCGACGTGATGCGAAGTGTCAAGCGGGCACTCGACCCGCATTGGTTACTCAACCCAGGCAAGATTTTTGATGCGCAAAGAAAGTAATAATTTGGCTGTGCTATGATACCCCTTCTCGTATTCATTGTTTCACAGCAGCACAATTAGATTTCACTTATTCGAGAGAATGAGATAATCCCTTGAAAAGAATGAGTTCTTCCCAAAATAATAACGATTTTCCACTTTGTCTCTTCTTTGGGGTAGATACTGGCTTTTTGGGTCACTCCTCAGGGATATCACATATAGGAACTTCAGCTGGGTTGGTAGAACCCTTGTTCAATGATTGTAAAATGCGTCAGGACCGACAGGGACCATCATTGACAACGTATTCCGGAGTTGACATGCTCAAAATAACGCATTTTTTTGAAACAAGCCTCGAAATATCAATCCATTTTGGCACTGGCACAAATCGAGCGTGCCATGTGACAACCCGGCATTTTGCCCCCGACCACCTTTGCAGCAATATGCGGTTGTCCGGTTTGCGATGGCCTTTTGTCGAGATTCTGTTTGCCATTCTTTGTATCATGTTACCTTTTGTCCCTGCATTGGTTAAGTAAGGGCGGGGATCAGTTAGCCGTTGACGCTCTGGCGGTGAGCTATTCTCATTTCAAGGTCACGCCTCCGATGAATTCCGGCTGACAAGGCTGCTGTGGCCGGCTTTTCTCAAAATCAGATGTTTGGTACACATGTACCCCGTAGACGGCTGCCAGCCTGCCATTGATTGCTGATCCGACAAGCTGATAATGAAACATTTGCTCTTAAAAATCCATTTCCGTTTGGCGTTGTCCGGAGTAACTAGTATCCGGACGATCCTAATTACATAATCAATTGGCCTTTCGCGCTATACCAAGAATAGCGTTCTTAGGGCTAGACCCACAAGGCCCTCCCACACCAAAAGCATTTTCTCAACTTCTGGAAATCTTTCTTGGTCTTCGACCTGCGACCAATTCGACAACCCGTGTTCAAGTCGACAATTCATTCAAAATGGGCCGTGGACCGTGAGTTATTACCCCTTTGGATTGTTGCGACGCCTCTGTTCATCGCGAATTATTCTTTTACTAACGGTTTCGCTTGCAGAAAGAAGCATCAGAAGCGCCTGAGCGCCCCCTCTCACTGGCTCTTGGACAAATTGTCTGGTGCCTATGCTCCTCGTCCATCTCCCGGTCCTCACAAGCTACGAGACTGCTTGCCCCTCATCGTCTTCATTCGTAACAGGTGAGTTGGAAATATCCAAGTTTTCACTTGAATGTACAGTTCTCTAAGACCGTGCCTCGCATCTAGATTGAAGTACGCACTCAACGGCCGTGAGACCAATGCCATCCTCATGCAGCGCCTCGTCAAGGTTGACGGCAAGGTCCGCACCGACTCCACCTTCCCAACTGGCTTCATGGATGTGATCTCCATCGAGAAGACCGGCGAGAACTTCCGTCTTGTCTACGATACCAAGGGTCGTTTCACCGTCCACCGCATCTCCGGTGAAGAAGCCGAATACAAGTTGGGCAAGGTTAAGCGTGTCCAGCTGGGCAAGGGCGGAATCCCATTCTTGGTTACGCACGATGCGAGAACGTGAGTTCTATCATATTCCGCATCATTCAGACGTTGGACCAAGCTTTGGTTGATTTTCCGGTGGAGGATTTGATGAAAGCAAGAAAGAAATCATATTCTCCAATCAGAAATCTCCATTGGACTTGGGAACAAACGATGAAAGATGAGTGAGCCTTGGAATCTGAAATGCTGATATCAAACCTCTGGGTTACTTTAGGATCCGTTACCCAGACCCAGCTATCAAGGTCAATGACACCGTGAAGATCGATATTGCTACTGGCAAGATCTCCGACTTCATCAAGTTTGATACTGGTGTTATCTGCATGGTTACTGGTGGTCGTAACATGGGTCGTGTTGGTGTCATCACTCACCGTGAGCGCCACGAGGGTGGTTTCGGTATCGTCCACATCAAGGATGCTATTGACAACTCCTTCGCTACCCGTGAATCCAACGTCTTCGTCATTGGCCATGAGAAACCATGGATCAGTCTTCCCAAGGGCAAGGGTGTCAAGGTATGTTCCATTATAATCCGCATTCATTTAACGGACAACTAACACCTTTTCTAGCTCTCCATTGCTGAAGAGCGCGACCGTCGCCGTGCCGTGGCTCTTGCTGGCCGTTAAGCCAATTTCATGCATTCCAGCGGTAGGTCGCTTGACAGCCAGGACAAGTTGGTGTGAGATGAATAAAAAAATAATACTGTGATGTCCCCTTTTTTTCCAAGGAGAATGGCGTCAGCTATGTGTCTATAAAGGTCTGCGGAGCCAATGGGATCATTCACACTGAATTCAATATCTTACGTTCTTCACCTGTAATTCTCTGTAGCCGCCACTCCTGGATTTCCACCTAACCTGTAGCATCCAATCGAGAACCTGTCTGACAAACGATGGCGGAACTTGATAACCCAGGATAGACTGGGATGGTATGATCAATTTGATATCAACTCCATGTTTCCTTGAGACAGTCGTATGTGTATATTTTGCCTCAACTTGCCTTTTCACCCTCCGAACAACCCGGTGCCACCGCTTTCCCCAGCCCCATTTCCAATGATCAAAACATCACGCCACATAAACCGGGCGCTCCGCAATCAATCGTCTTCCGGGCATCCCAACTCATTCAAAGTGCAAGTCCCGCATCCCCCGTGTCGCGAGTGCACACCGGGGCAGCGAGAAGGGGGAAATGCACCCGAATATCAAGAAGGTGACGATTCGGCCAAGCCCAAGGGTGGCGCTAGAGTTTTTGCTCGGGTACGATTAACAGAACATGCGATCGATGCTTCAAAAGCCCGGCCGATTCGACCACATGCCGAGAGACGTTTTGGCCGCTTTCTGCTCGCATGGCCGTTGGGATTTTGACTGGTGGGAAGGGCGTTTGAGGGGGAGCAAGTCCAAAGGTCCAGAATGAGAGCAAGGAAAAAGAAAGGAAATTGTTCAAACCTGTTGACTAACTTAAATCGACATGTGCAGTGCTCTCTGTATGTATGCGGGAGCTCCACGGCTTTGACCGCTCCAGGGACGGGACATCGACCTGGACGGCTTGACGCGCCGTTGTCCAAATCCCGAGCAATTGGTATTGATTTTCAACTCTAACTTATACCTAGTTACCGAATAAGTCTCGCTGTATCAGTGACCGTAATTCGATATACTGTGTATCACTACGGAGAACGCACGGATAGTTACCATGTAATTTTGGCCACCACTTGCCGGCATCAGTACTACTATTGAAAGCCATTCGCCGTTTAAATATCACCCAAGGGGCAAATGCTACTTTGCACCTTCAGGTGGAATCATAGTTGCGCTATGTGACACGGCCATATCGCCATGTTCGGGGTGTCCGTGTGAGTAGAAATATACTAGTTCGCTCAATATGTATGGTTGTACTCTAGACTCTGTACCTAGTACTCCGTATGGGTGCTGACTATTTGAAATAGAACTGACACTTCTCAAACCTGATCAGGCCCTTCAAGTGTAGCAACTAGGGCTTCACAGAACCACGACGTTTCTTTTTCTTCTGGATCTGGGTACCCGGTACGGGAAAAGAACCTAGGAGACACAAGATCGGGAGTGGGCGACTTGGATATCTCGTCATCGATCAACTGACGATCATATTGGTTGAAAACCAACATCCCATCTTGTTTGCTTTTTCCACCTTCAACTCCGTGCGCCTCATATATGAGTTTGCTAAAAGGTACAACCGGATAATGCTTTGAAAAATCCCACTGCGCTCAAAATCAAGGATGTTAACAAGTTGTGTGATATGGCACAATCGAAAAGCCCGCCTGACAAATACAAGGTAGCATGCAGGCGACATGCCCATTGGAATGATACCATGCCGAAAACTCACCTCATGCACGTGTTCCAATATGCCGTATCTGCTGTAGTTTGATATGTTCCGAAGACGGGGCCCAGAACTAGTTGAAACGATCAGCCGTGGCGACAACGGAAGAATACCTATCTGCATGTGTTTATTGGATAACGGGAGAACAAATCACAATAGGATCATCGCCATAGATGGATCTCACGTTTTCTTTGAGCTTAACTAACTCGCTCGGGTTCTTTTGCCTTGATTGGCAAAACCCCGTTTCGAGGTCTCGAGAAAAACATTTCGAAAGCTCTGAGGGGGGAGCTGGGCCTAAAACCCAGGGACATGTCGAGGGACGCCCTATCAGACCCCAAAAAGCATGCCCTGGCAAACAATTGGCTCTCAGTCACAAAATCTAAGAGACTTGAGGCAAATTTGGACATTCTTCCGTTGCACCTGGATTGGCCGACGATCCATGATACGAATATAAACTACAGGGGAATTCAGTAATCCCGACGGAAGTATGCAAGGATAGGTGCCTATCTCACCTGAAACGGGGAGGGACGAGGGTCACGAAGTTGGTATCCCTCTATTGATCTGAATACGGGTTCTCCAGCTGAACGGCAGTGGAGCTTTGAATTGTTAATCCAGAACGAGTATCAACCAAGCCCCGTTTAATACAATAAAATCTGTCCTTGATCGGTGGCGCTTGCGGCTTGTCGCTCGGGTTGAACCATAGGAGTATCGCCACTCCGAATCCTTTGCGGCAAAGTGAAGTCCACTTTTCTCGTATGAATATTGAAGAGTAATACGGAGTACGGCGAGGTTGGTTAAAGTAGTATGGCAATTTAGAAACCCCCAGGCGTAAATCATATCCACCTACAAAGTAGATAAAGGAAACAATCCAGCGATGGCCTTTTGCCCCTGAGAATGATATTCTGCAATATGGGGGTGTAAAAATGGGATTCCTGGCTTTTCCTTCATGATCTTCTTGTAGGCTGCGAAGTTTTCGGTAGAATCGAGAAGGCTGGCGTAGGAATCTACTGAATCGCCACGCAGCGTCAGGGATAAAATGTATGGCGAAGGTTGCAATTCATGGAGCCCATGGAGTATCGCGGTTGCCGAATAGTAGTTTTTCCCTTGAAATAATGCCTAGGTTCCCAGGATAGTTAGAAGCTCGTGTTTTTGAAATATCGGAGAAGTAGGCTGACTGGCTTACCTTCACGCAATCCTTGAAATAAGGTGTCATTTCAGGGAACGCTATGCAGCATTCTTCAACCGATGTGGAAAGCAAATCCCAATGATCCATCAGAGCTCGAAGTTTTTCATCTTCTTGCTCAAAGCTCTCAGGTGAAAGGCCAGTAAAATCACGCCCATCGGAATAAGTCAGTCTTCTTGCGAGCGTTGTGGCGGGGTTTGATGCAAGGAATTCATCCAGATGAGGCAAGTCCGCCACGAAAGGGTTAGTCCAGTCGATTTCTGCATTTTGATGATACTTGCGCGAGAAACGAATCGAAAGCACTGAGAGCTTTTTTAGGAACTTGACAAATGGTCTAGGAGGAGATTCGAACAGTGCATGTATAGGCTCAATGAGGAAGCTAGCAATGCGCTGGTTCGAAGTATTATTGCCGCTTGCGAAACCCTTCTCTTTCAAACACTGAAGGACTGAACGATGAGCCCAAGGGGAACGGAATCGAAGATACTGCTCACCTTTTAGTATGTATCCAAGAAGCAACGAGGCCTAGGAGACGACTCACCTTCTCGACCTCGATATAGGCATAGATTTGGTCGGGGTCCCTCTCAAGGTGCGCTGAGACAAGGTTATACAGCTCTCGGTGCTGCTCCACAAACCATATCACAGACATGGTGGGATACCCGAGGGAATAGCGAACCCAGTCTTCGAAGGGGACCGATTTGAACTGCAAAACGCTTTCAGTGTCGATTTCCAGTGCAGTAGTAATGGGATGGATGCCGTCCAGATCGCTGGGGAGCCAGTTCCATGGGAGTGGGAAGCTAAATGTTTGGCACAGACGGAGTATTTCATCGACCTTCTCGTGGTGAGCAAGGCCAGGAAGGTCTGATCGGCCCGCGGGAAATAAAGTTACAATAAATTCCGTTAAAATGGCGGTGTTCCGATTCTGCAAGATCTTCCTTGGGAAATCGACATCGTCGTACAAGCGAAATTGGAGTAGCCTTTTGATGTCGCCAATGTTAAATGCCCAAAGTATTGGCAGCGCTTCTTCCTCCCACCACCGATAAGAGGCGTGGAACTGGGGAGGTGTAAGCTCTGTATCGAACAAAGCTGCCGACTTGGACAGGTGTGAATCTGTGGCCAAACCGGGATCAGCTTCACGGAATGTAGTGGGCATTAAGCTTGACTGCTGGGGGGCAGATGAAACCAGAAAGCTTTGGGTCTGAATAGAATTATGGTCAAAAGCCAAAAGGGATGGATTCTGAAAAACAGGGGTATAGTCCCCTTCCGTCTGTGCATGAGCCATACTAAATAGCTATTAACGCTCGACAAAAATATCCGTGATGACAACGTATTGAGTGCAAAGGTCAAGTCAACCAGTTTTGCTGGTTGCCGCTGTGTGCGCTGTGTGAAGGAGTGAGAGGAAGGTTAAGGAAAAGGGCATCTGATTAGCGTCAACAATACAAGCAAATCAGCATCCGGGCCAAAAGAGTATGGTAAACGGGATTTGAGAAACGAATAACATAAGGCTATCATAATCAGTCATCAACTGCTCCGTGTGGAGTTGACGGAGATATGTACTCAGGGAAACTGGGGATGTTACCGAGATACATAGTAGTAATCCTTCAAAGGCACAAGAGTCACGGGGATGGATGTGAGGATTGAATACGGCGAACGGGCTACCGTTATTAGGTTCCATCATATGGGTCATGAGGGGAAGCTCTGTTGGTATTGGATCTTCTTTGTGGCTCAAAGGATAGCAGGCTAACCAAATAAGAGCAGTGGCGTCGGTAACTAAGCGCAGGCCGAATGCTTTCATAGTCAATGATTTGCCCGAAGACTTAAAGAGGCTGATCAGAGAGAAAAAAAATATTTCGAAGAAGTCCTCAAGGGGTCAGATATGGAAAAGTGGCCTTAGCGGCTGGTCCCAGGAATCGTCACCATGAGAGGCTATTTCGTTAGGGCCATTGAAACGGTTCCGGGAGCCGTTCGCCTGGAATTGATCCGTCCCACCGCCAAACGGCGAGTGATATTGGCTGTTTTGCCAAGAGGGATTAGAATGGTTTGCAGTTGCATGCTGTAAGAACTTCCAGTCGATCAATTGTTAAGTGTAAATACGTGTACGGAGTACTCCATACTGTCGGACGAAGGAGAGCGTGTATTCCCCGAAGCACGAGGTATCGAGTTATCTGCAAGCCATTTGACCGTCTTTTGTTCATGGCCCGGATCGAGGGGAGGCCCGTAGTTGTAATTTTCGATAATTATAACTCAGGGATGAAGTCAACTAGCGGTTAAAAATCCTGTTGGGTTTGGCTCAGTGCCAGTTCGTGGGTCTTGCGCCCGGACATTGTCGTTCGTCAACATGGTACTCCGTACGGGACGAGACACTTTGCACTCATCACCGCTATATAACTCCCGGGAAATATGTTTAATCAAGACTCATGAAGGCCTTCAAGAACCCAGTCTCAAGGAGTCAAGGGTGGCAACCGTCGAACACCACTCTGTAATACACAGGGCAATTCAAGACGGTTGCATTCAACTTCTCGAACAGATCTAAAAAGATTGTCGGTCCGTCGTCATCCTGTTTGTTTCAACTGGCGGGAAAAGGCTCGCTTGCTATCGGTATCCTAGAAGGAATAGAAAAATGGAACCTACTACGGCCCAGGGATGGTTTCCCCGCACGATGGATGCGGGTGTTGCAGATGTCGTAGCGTTGACCATTCGATAGCTGATCCTTTATTAATCTGCGGTGTCTGGTGACTGTTGGCCATGATACACCGTTCGATTTCAGAGCGTCTATCGTTGGCCTGCCATCGGCTCGACGACCTTGGTTCTCGAGTGGCGAGGATAGGCGAAGGGACGAGTTGAAAGGCTGAAGTCAGAATTGGGCTCGAACTTTTCCACGTGGTCTGGTCGGGAAATACGATTGTGTTTCATACATACCGTACGTATTGTGCATACCAGGTATTTTACAGCTGCGAGGGCTGTGACAAAACAACGGCTGCAAGGCTTCCTCGAAAAACGGTTTCAGAGCCCTGCTGGATGCTGCACTGCTCTGTTTAAAGATCCTGCATCGAAGTCATGAGGTCCTTTCAAAAGGGAAATCTTCAGTTTCTGACACTTCGGTTTATGGATCTACAGGAGTTTTACGCATTCCCTGATCCTTGTCCTTTTGGTATATTGGAGGTAACTTACTAACGTTCTGTAATTACCGAGCGACTAGTTTGGCTTGTGGAGTGCACGCAGAATCCCCAGACTCCAGTCCTCCCTTCGAAGTCGCCAGCCCGTAGGATCCATCAACCCTGACCTCAGGAGACGATTGTCAGATGGTGCATGCCGAATGCTGTTACTCAGGGAACTTGCAAAACTGATGAAACAGCAAGATTGGAATCCCAGGGCATACGGAGTACGACTCGACTATACGGAGTACTGTAGTAGATAACAATCCGTGTGTGGATTCATTCGAATGGTTTGCGCTCAACCGCGTGCCGCATTGTCAAAATTAGCTTCGATTAAAAATGCCACCGTATTTTGAATGGCCGAGATGTCATTGGCGAAATGCCTTTTCGGGACAACGCTGTCGTCTAGCAGGCCCCACTGACCCCGGGAGAGTGCCATGGTAATGGTAGTAACTAATAGCGGGTTCGACGGATCGTTCCATGGAAGCTGGATTTCAGTGCTGCTCTAGAGTCTAAAGCCCTGCATCTTTAAGTGTGAATCGCCTGAGGCTCTGGCATAGAGAAAGTAGCGGTCAAACTCCTTTCGCCGGCGGAATCCCGACTTCAGCGATTGCAGTGTGCCACCCAAGTTGCAACTACTAAAGGGGTAGTAAGTGCGCAAAGACCGTCGTCTTCCAATAATAAACTAGGCTTCCGCTGCAAGTGCCCGATAATAACTGAAATCTTTAACAGAGTACAGAGCTAACTTTTCCAAGTATCCCAGGAAAGCATGTAGCTCAATTGATCAAGCTTGAGTCTCTAGTTATCAGTCTGCACAAATTGTTTTGCATACTTATTTCAACAAAGCATCCCCCAGGATAGGCGGGCGCGGGTAAGATTGATGACTGCAGAAGAGCTAGGGCAACTAGAAAGCCCTTGAAGACTTCGACCGTTTGATATCGGGTTCCAGCTCTTCGATCAGGAGGAGAAAGAAAGGTCTAGGTAATGACCAAGAGATCGGAAAACAGCTTAACGCCTCATTGGCATTGGAAGCCGACCTACCTACCTTAAAATGAAACGTAAATGAAAAGTTTATGAATAGCATATGTTGATACGGACAGAGAGCTTCACATCCTGATATAAGTCGGGGATACACTGGAGTACTCACGAACAGCAAATGGCTAGGCGCTTGGAGCAAAGGCGGAAGATGGCCCCTTTAGGCGAATTAAACCACAGTTGAGACTCATGGACAATTCACTGCAGAATTCCCAGCCTTCTGTGATCGAAAGGGTCGCTTTTGAATATGAGCAATACTCAAACCATAGCCATCAAGTAAAACGGAATTGCTTTTTCCCATATCACGTGACAACACATTTGCCCGCTTTTTGTATGCCACACGGTTTTGATATCATCGTTGGGAATCCGGCTGGACGGAAAATGCGAAAATGCCTTGGAATGAGCTATTCGAGACGTTCCCAGGGTCCTACTCAACCTCTTCGGCCTTAGATGATCATTTCTTTCAATCGAAAGACATTCCTCGCCCTCATCTCCGTATCGCGCCTCTCCGCAACCCTATCCCTCCTGGATCACGAAAGGTCCCTTCGCCTCTTGAACCTTCGACCACCGGGATTAGGGAGCCCACGTCTTCAAAACCGCTAAAATTTCCAGCTGGCAACCCCCCCACAGAGCTTCCAACGCTTGAGGGCTTCCTAAAAGCGGCGCCGAGAGAAAATGAGCTTCCTCATATCTTAGGCGTTGTGCCGAGCTCAGAACAGCCACCGAAAAACATCCTTCCAGCTTTTATCAGTCTCAGAGCCGTTGAAAACTTGCCCTACCCAACTTTTTCCGATGAGACTCCACGAAAACGCCGCCGGTTAGACCCTGTCGGAGATGGTTTTGGAGACCTACAATTGCCAATACCAAAGGTCCAAAAAGAAACCCCAAAGCCACGCCCATTCGGGCCATTACCGGTTTTAAACGAGCTTAAAGAACCTCCCCCAAATGCTGCGTTATTCCCACCGATCGAAGCAGACAGGCGACCTGTTATTTTAAACCCTCAGGAAAGGGAACCAGTACTTTCTACGGAGCAAAGCTTCTCGGGACAGCCAACAGAACGTCGTCCCCGGAGGATAGAAGATTTGATTGAATCTAACGATGAAGGTGAGGGAACCAATTTGGAAAACCAGGAAAATAACCGCCAAAGTTCCTCTACGCAAGAGACTAGGCAGAGAGACACAACATCTCAAGTCGAACAGGCCACAGAGGGGAATGAAAAGTTATCAAATCCGCAAAAGGCTACGAAACCGAGAAAAAAACTTCGAAGATGGACAGAACAGGAAACTCACGATCTTCTTCGCGGTGTGGTGAGATGTGGGGTCGGAAATTGGACTACGATTTTGACACAACCTGATCTCAAATTTAACGAGAGAACAGCTGGGAATTTGAAGGATAGGTTTCGAGTTTGCTGCCCATGGGCGTACGACTCTGGGCAGGCGCCTAATTCTGAAGACATCCAAGCGAGACTTGCTGATAATATCAGCAATGCACAGTCGGGTTTAGTTGCAAAGATACTTCTACCCGACCCTAGGTCAAAGACTAGCTTGGACTTGAACAAAGGGTCTATGAAGTCAAATCACTTATCTGAGTCGCTAGCGCCGCACGGATCGAAGCCGAAACGTTCGTCAGGGTTAAATGGGAGCCAAAGGTTGTCCAACCTGGCCAAATCTACCCTCATGTCACTCGGTTTGTCAGACCCAGACACGACAGTCAAGTCAAGTCGGCGGCACCGTCGCGCTTTTACGCCTGCTGAAGATGAAGCCTTGCTCAAAGGCTATGCGGTCCATGGATTCCAATGGACCCTGATCCGCGAAGACAAGCACCTCAATTTAATGCATCGAAAGGCCACGGATCTACGAGACCGCTTCCGAACTAAATTCCCCCATGTCTATCGCGAAGGTGGCTTTGCGACCGCGAACAAGGTCGAGAACAATCTCAAGAGCGGGGATTCGGCTGGGCCGTCGAACTTCGTAAAACCAGGCCTTCCATCGGCAAATAGCGCCAACTTTTCTATCAAAGATGCTCAGGTTACCGCTGCGGCGACGGCGGTTCCTATTGACCCGGCGGTATCGCCCCCCGCCCCGCCATCGAGTCTCCCCGAGCCGGCCAACGTACCAGTTACGCCGGTATTTCCGTTTACAACAGATGATGGCGGAACTGTCGAGGACAACGGATATGGCTTTCGCTGGGTGGAAAATACACTTCCTCCTTTAATGTGGGATGAACTAGCCTAGGATATGTCATGCCTTATGAGATTATGAACTCCGTTACGTCCTTTTTAGGGTTCGATATACCGCGTTTGGCTCATGGCCCGTGTGTTATTGGTATACTATCAACTTAATGAATTTAATCATATTTTTCATAAAAACATTCCGCGTAAGACATGTAAATCGATCGTCATCCGAGATGGATTTGAACGGCTAGTTTTTAGATACTTTGTAGGTAAGTACAGTACATATTCATGGACTGCGAGTGAAAGCTCCCCCTGACGCCGCTTCGCTCATACACGCTCAATCAAACAGGGGTTACAAGGGATCGGAGGAAAATATAACAGCAAGCTACTTGGCAGGTTAGGCGTTACGAGTATTCGCAGTTGCACGCCACCCGCTTGTGAGCAGAAAATTCAAGGTCTCAGCAAGGGATGAAAGTCATTCCAGCTTGCAATTACTTATGAACGTGTAATGTTGAAATATTGAAAGGAACGGAAGGAATGATATATTCGTCAATCATAGCAAGTCCATGACTAGGAGACTGACCACGCGCTATTGCACGACTCAATTCTTATGCATTGCTTTGTCACCAGGCGTTGCGATCCCAAATTCGGATCTAGAACCGATATTTAGCCCCCGTCTCCGTATAAATTGAACGCCATCCTTTGGCGAATCAACATACCTTGAACAAAGCTAGCCAACACCTTGCTACCTGTTTGCAACAGTGGATGCCCCACGACTATCTGCAAGAATCGCTGGAGGCCTTCCCTCCGGTGCTCAATAACGTCATCGCTAAACCGATTTGTAAAGACCTTCCCAGGAAGCGGTGGAATGGTAACCCGCGCGCTTTCTCTCTCCAGGATATCTCTAAAGTATTCAAAGTCGGAGTAGCGACGGCGCACAACGGAGTGTTTTAGCTTGAAGGCTGGGATATTGGTGCGACAGACGATTTCATAGGACGTGTACATATTGCGGGATGTGCCATGGGTTTGAGGATTCCTCACCTGTATACCCGACAAATGATACGCGTTAGCTCATGGCGCAGGGCACGGGGGGGATGAGGGGTATCCGGGAGCACGACTTGGTTCGGGAAAAAAACAATCAGTACTAAACAGGGAGGACTGAAAACTGGGAGCGTACTTCTATTTCAAGGAAATTCTCTGGGGGACCATATATCTCCTCAAAGGTTTGCTGTCGCGCTTCTGGGAGGGCCTGCATGTTGATGCTTAGGGAAAGAACTCCAATGGCACGGACACTGATTCTGATTTAGGGAAAGCAGCGGCGTGAAATATAGGCTCGCAGAATCCGAAGAAATAGGTAAGTGAGGCAGTAATGATCGAAGTAGAGTGGTAGAATAAGTATGATGACTTTCTCCTGGTTATCATTCGGCCTGGAAGCGCATCCCAAGCGGGCAACCCAGCATGACGACCACTCACTGCATGGATTATTATTAATCCGGTCCGACCCCACATGTAAATGCAATTACATAATACGCTAAAACTGGCCAATCATAATTTCCACGATCGCCGCGATGACATAACTCACCCTGGCACCCCCGAATCGCTTCAGCGGCACTTCATGAACGTGAGTGCGATATTTCGATTATATCTTCATTGCACTCCGTAAAGATAGAGAGTGTTTATTTCCGCGTAGCCACAAGCATTGCCCATTCTTCAATCTAGCGTGATATGCTTTCACCTCAGGACTCCCTCCGCGAATCCATGGGGAAGAGGCGGTAGACCTCGGAGTTAAAGGTACCTTAAAGTCCAGACAGTTAGTCCGCTCTGCCCCTGCTGAGGCCATGGTGATTAATCAGTGCTCATTTTCAGAGGGGATACACCTTTGCCTCGCGGTGTGATGTGCGTTGCTTGAGACAATCAACCACGACATATACTTGTCCTTCTATTTCTGCTGAGCCGGTTATCGCGTCCTCCTTGACCTCGCCATGAGCTCGTCCCACCATACCCCTGGTTCACCAGATGCACTGTCAGATTCAGACATAATAGCCCACTCAGACATTTCGTACCACTTTGCGAACGAGCATATGAGCGATACATATGATGAAACCGATCAGGATGATCTTGATTTTGAGCCGGAATTGATGGGGTCTGAAGCAGGAGGCGCTGATGAGGACGACCATGAACTTCTTGCAGAAGATGCAGTGCGTGAGCTGCTGGGTATGGCATCCCAATAGTGACTGCTTCATAAAGGCTAGTTTGCTGATTTCCAAATAAGGGGCAGAGGATGGCGGAAATCTACAATTTGAGTTCACAGTGGAGGACAGCGATCAAGCCGAAGACACAGACGGCGATAACACTACACACACCGGTGCTACTCGTGGTATGCTATCACCAACAGTTTCAATTTCCATCAACAAGGCTTTCATTGACCACTGGTTGTTTGTCATAGTAACTACAGAACAGTTATTCCAGCTACTCGGAGCAACGCGCCTCAGACGCATTCTACAGACACACGGATTATGGCGAGAGCAAGTCCCCCGGGATGAAGACGACGAAGATGCATCAGTTTTTGGCTCATACGGCTTTAGAAGGCGCCGGACGCAGAGGCCGGTTGAGGAGCGATACCCCAAAATTCCCAGCGAGTTAGGTGCAGAATTAATGGCATCCGGAGCTTTCGGCAATAACCCATACCATGTTGATAGGGCGAAGAAGAGAAGACTCAATTTTGCCACAAAAATGATGTGGAGGGAGCTAGGCAGGGGACCTCGAGGAGCCGATCTGAGAGCTGCGAGAGCCATCCCGCAAGTGAGTCTTCTTGCACGCCGCCTTTCACACGATAATCCTGACCGGAATCCTATTCTAGGTCTTAATCCCAGGTTCTGCGCCCGATAAGATTATTCACTATGACTCTAGATGCTACTCAGGCCAGTTTTCCAACGATGGTAACTTTTTCTTCTGCTGCAACCAGGATTTTAAAGTGCGGATGTATGATACATCCAATCCAGGCGACTGGAAATACTACAAAACGGTCGATTGCCCATTTGGGTATTGGACCATTACAGATGCTTCATTGAGTCCAGATAATAGATTTCTGGCCTGTAGCTCTATCAATAACTTTGTGTGTCTGGCGACCACCGATCCGGCATCAGACCAGGATCCGCACGTGTTAGATTTTGCTAAATCTAGGCGGGTTAGAGCGCCCATTGGCCATCCGGGAGCATTTGGTGTAAGTACAACCTCTATATTAATTCAATAACAAGCGAGCTTATTGCGACTTAAGGTATGGTCTATTCGATTCTCAGGGGACGGTCGAGAAATTGCCGCGGGGACTTCTGACCGGTCTGTCGTTGTCTACGATATTGAATCACAGCAGCCAGTACTACGGCTTCAAAACCACGAAGACGATGTCAACGCGGTCTGTTTTGGGGACAATTCATCCCCTCATATTCTCTATTCGGGGTCCGACGATACCACCCTTAAGGTTTGGGACCGACGATCGATGGCAGATGGTCGAGAAGCCGGAGTGTTCCTAGGCCATACTGAAGGACTAACCTTCGTCGACAGCAAAGGTGACGGCAGATACGTGCTGTCAAACGGAAAGGACCAGCTGATGAAATTATGGGATCTGAGGAAGATGATGACCATCTCAAAATTCGACACCATTGACCCAAGTAAATACACAACGGGGTTCGATTATAGATTTATGACCTTTACGAATGAAGATTACCAGCCACATCCGCACGATTGCTCTGTGGTTACATACCGAGGGCATAGTGTTTTGAGGACCTTGATCCGGTGCCACTTCTCCCCGCCGGAAAGTACGAATTCCAGATTTGTCTATACTGGCAGTGAAGATGGAAAGGTATATATATACAATATCGACGCCACTATCGCCGGTGAAATTGATGTCGCCGAAGCAACATATCACAGTCGACCCACGGATGCGGAAGTTTTCAGTGCAGCATCTCACTCTAGAAGGCTTGATACTGATTGGAAGACGGTTGTTCGTGATGCCAGTTGGCATCCAAATGCCCCCATGATAGCAGGTATGGTCATTTCTTCCGATCCTAAAATATGACATCGCTAACCTGTCTTGCCATATAGCTACCTCCTGGAATGGGCGCGGTATGGCTGCAGGAACGTGCACTGTCCACTCTTGGAACGACGATGGATCCGAAGACGAAGGCGATCCGCCTCTTGGGCAAAGTTATAATGCGCAATTAGAGTATGTTGAGTCGTTCAACCGGTATAGTAAAGCAGTTCGGGAACGTGGCGAGCGCGGCGCCCGTAGGGGCCATGGATTGAGAAGCCAGCCAGTTCGTCGGGCTAGGGATACTATTGGTGGCGGAGAGTCATCAACAGGAACCTGGTAGCGCCGCTTGGATTTGAATCGCGGCAATATTCACTTTTTTTAGCTCTGTTTTGAAAAGTGTATATAAATTATGATGGTGTTTGATGAACTCAGCAAATCCCAACATCATAATGTGCGAAGCATTAGAAGGGATTCATATACAATGGTATAGTACACACAAAAGGGTAATGTGGTAAAAAAGTGAAAGCAAACAAGCAAAAACAGGATGACAATGATATCCCCACGTTGAACCATGCAATATAATATTGCGCGGAAATAACACCCTCAGGATTTCTCTATTCAAATTTATCTCTTTAGGCGCCGACTCCCAAAGCCCCTGACTTGCAAAATGCTCTGTCCTCTCGTGAACGCGCTAGCGGAAGAAGAATGGTCTCTCTCAACCGCTGTCATGATTATACAGTGGCATTGGTTTCCCAAAGCCCGCTGCACACCCCAGTCCGAAGCTGCATTTATCGTATTCTTGATCAGGCGCCTCCCACTAGAATGTTGTTGACAGGGATATGTACTACAAATCGATTCGGTCAGCAATCGGGTTCATCCGGTGTCAGTTGCGTGTCCCATCCATGAGTTGCAAATGGTCGTTATTGCGATAATCTCAATGGCTCGGGAAAGGTAGAGGGAACTGACTTAATTTGATAACGTATCCGATAGCTCCCATGATAAGGAAACCAAATCCAACCGCCTGACTGATTTTGAGGAACTCGCGCTTGTCCGCTATGATGTCAAGATATAAATATTAGCGACGTCACCAGGGCAATGCACTTGCAGCTGAAATATCATAGGCGCAGATCTGGCCATCCTAAGAACAGACTGTACTCACGTTTCGTGCAGCGGTTTACGAAGAGCATGCCATCTTTGACGAAATCCTTGGGGATATCAGCCAATTCCTGGAACGTGTCGGACATGTTGAGTGACGTTCGAAAGCGAAGATAGGAAGCTTCAATTGCAAGAAGTAGCTATGAAAAAGACGAGCAAGCTGCACTGACTCAATGAGCAAGAGGATTGCAAAAATCACCGGCCGTTCACCTTTCGTTCACTCCCTTGGGCATCTTCTGGCGAGGTGTCCTTCGTGTCAATGAGCCAAGTATCCCCTAGCTGACTAATCAAAGCCAGCAGTGTCGAGAACGGTGCACGTGATAAACACGCTAATCCAAGTTCGTCAGCTCTCGTCTCTCATCCAAAAGACTTCCAACGCCCCCTTCTCATCCTACCTCCCATGGACCGTTTCCTACTATCAGTTCCTATCTACACTTGCCATATCGTCCTTTGATCATCGAAACTTGACAGTACCTTTGTGTGTGGCTTTTTCTTTCAATCTTGCGCCGTCGCCGCTCGGCAAAAGGCAACTGTATCAAACGCGAGGCTGACAGTCCTACCTGTTGCCATCACTGACATCTGTTCATCCAGCTTGGTTTCACTGGAAACCGTCGTCAAAAAGCCCACTGTTCTCTTTTTTATTACCTGTTAATTCACAGAGAGCTGTGTCACTTGTGTCTGCTAAATCAAGCTTCTCCTTGCCCGCATTGCTTCCAGGCAACGGAAGTTTGAGATATCATATTTGTTGGCAAATTTGTCGAGGGATAAGAAGCTGGAATTACTGTGAAACATTTGAGAATTTTAGACCTGCACTTGCCATCGAAGGCAGTGAGGCGGTTTATCTCAAGTTCGAGAAAACTGGGCGCAATCCCTTCCCGCTTTTGCGAAAAGTCAATACTCTTGTTTCACATACTCTGAAGCATCATCTAAACAATCGGTCATCAGGATTTGTACGTATCTATCTTTGATTTCTCTTGTCCTGTCCCTCCGTTTCTGTTTCTTTCGTTTGTTCGTTGTGAAGCAAGCAAGAATGATTTCGAAATGACCGGGCAGCATTGAGCAAGCTATCGATTCTGTTGCAATCCGACAAGTCTTCTTCGTTACTAATTTGGACTCCATTATTGGCAGACATGTACTCTCCTTAAAACTGAACGAGACCCAAAAGCCTGTGTATAACGATTTTGAAGCAACAATCAATTATCCCACTTCAGAGATCCGTCCTATAATAGTTCGACATGGCTACTGAAGATGATAATTTTGACATTGACATTTATGGCGATGCAGGAGGATATAACGGCAATGAAAACGAAGGGGATTATAAGGCGGAAGAGCCTGAGCTCATCCTCGACGCACCGGAGACTACCCATCAAAACGGAGTAGGTGATGGTTCCGGCGGTAATAATAATGCTACTGAGAATGGCAACCATAAAATTTTCAAAACCGAAGAATCGTCTCAAACCGGTAAACCGACATCTGATAGTTTGCAAATACCACAACCGCCGCAGCAAGGGGTTAAGCGAAAAGAAAGCCCAACAGACAGACCTACAGACCCAGATGCAACCAGTGCATTGTATATTTCCGATCTTTATTGGTGGACCACTGATGATGAGATCCGTGGGTGGGTAAATGAGGCGAGCTGTGAAGACGAGCTCAAAGATGTCACATTCAGCGAACACAAAGTGAATGGTAAAAGTAAAGGGTATGCGCGCTGTCCTACTAGCTTAGTTAGTTCAACGGTGCTAATTTCTCCAAAAGGCAAGCCTTTGTTGAATTCAGGTCGCCACAAGCAGCAACAGCCGCAAAGCGTAAAATCGAATCACTCAACTCTAACCAACAAAATGCGCGAAAATACTCCGTCAATTATACTCAACCACATGCGAACCCGTTCCGCACGCTCCCCAAGGATAACCCTATGCGTGGAAAAGATGACCGGTCAAGGTCTTCATCTACAGGTTTCAACTCGCCGGTTCAAGGGATGAATTTTGGCATGGGGGCAAATACTGGTGGGTTTAGGGGCGGCCGTGGCGGTGGATTCAACCGTGGAGGCATGAACATGGGGGGTTTCAATGCCAATCGCAACTTCTCTGGCCCAATGAACACGGGTGGATTCCAGGGTGGTGCAATGACCGCTGGGTTCCAGGGAACACCTGTTGGAGGCATGCAGTCGTACGGTGGCTTCGGGAACCGCGGAGGCATGATGGGTCCCAACATGCGCGGTGGACCCAATATGCGAGGTCGAGGAGGTATGGGTGGCCCAATGGGTGGAAACATGATGCCAGTGGGTGGGATGGGAGGTGTGGGCATGGCCGGGATGGGTATGGGTGGTATGGGAATGGGAGGAATGCCCAATCAGATGGGTGGTATGATGGGTGGAATGCAGGGCGGCATGGGAATGCAAGGTATCATGGAAATCACATTTTCAACCCCATCTCTCTGTCTAAGTGATGCTGATTTATACTATAGGGCAAGGCTTCCAAGGCCAAAATCCCCACTTCAATCCAGCCTTCTTTGGCCAACATGGTGCCAGTGATGGTGCATGGAACCCCCATGGCGCAAAGCGTACTCGTCAAGAGTGATTGCTCAAGTCCTAAGTAGTGCCGTGCGGCTCACAGAACACCACCTTTTTTTTTATTTATTCGGTTCAATTCTCGATTGTATTAGGCAAATTAAAGCAATTGGCGTCCCATTCTCTTTTTTTCCGTTTTGCTCTTCTTTGTCGATGGTGCTGAGCGTGCTCCCTGTGAGATGCTACAAACTCAGTATCAATCCCCCTACTGTAGGGCTGAGGAGAAGCCTAGTTCAGATCTTTCCTTAATTACTCGTATTACATGGACCAGGTTGTGGTGCTTTTTGTTTCAATACTTCTTGAATGTCTCTTTTGTGCATTGTTTATGCTTCTTTGGTTATACATGCGTCTGGAGTTTTCCTATCTCAGTTTATAATTGTCATTCTCATCAAAATGAAGTGATTTTTCCCTACTGATGAATACTCGTTCCAATCTTACGCTTCCCTGTTAGTTAGCTAATATGTGGGTGAGAGAAGTAAGAGGTTGTTATCGACATATCTATATCTATCACCCTTTCCACTCCGGCAACCTTCGGCTTCCGCTCCGCCCGCTTGGCAATCTCGCAGAAACATTGTTCCTTCCCGGGCATCATGATTGCCGATTTGAGTTTCCGAACTCGAGTCAGTTTTGTCTCCAGATTTTCCCCGCAATTTATCCAATTATCTGAACCGCGGGGTGAGGTTTTTTGGTCGCGTTATTACCCGCCCGGGAGCATTTATTTCTTTCGCCTTCGAAAATTGGGCCCAGCCTATCGGACGATTTTCTCCAGGGCTTACCCCCATGCCGAAATGTCCAGGGGCCCGCCTGGGCCTTCGGCTCTGGAGTGTTCCCCCTTAGACGGCCCAAGCATCGGCCGAGACAGCTCTTAGGCGTACCGAAGATTGATGATGGAAAATTATAAAAGTATTTGCAATGGCCCCTCCGCGGGGGCCTGGCACGGTATACGCAATGAATTGAGCAGCTCATTTGATACGTTTGTGCGGTATGGAGAAAGTATTCAGGGTTGTTGACCACCTACCTGGGGGGCTCCCACTCGCACACCTACCACCGGATGTTAACCCGGAGACTGTCGCACTGGAATATATCACTTGCCTACAATCACTGAAAGCAGACGATTTCACTGAGGATGCCCTCTGGCGCGACACATTTGCTTTCACGGGTACCGTGAGGACGTTCCATACGCCAGCCAACATCGAAACTGCCTGGAACGATGTCGCGCAAACTCACAAACCCAGCGACTTTGCATTGATCCCAGGATCCGCTCGTATTATGCACCTTAGCGCGCGATCGTCCTGGGTTGAAGCGAGATTTACGTTTAAAACGAATGGAACACCGCAGGAAAACGGTTCTGGCTTTATATCTATCATACCGGGAAACAGTGGAAGGTGGAAGATCTGGTTGTTGAGAACGATCTTAGAAGGTATTGATGGGCTGCCAGACGTGGATGTGTTGAAACCAGTTGAGTCGGTGCCGAACGGGCATCTGAATGGAGTTGAAGAGCCCACAGATTATGAATGCGTGATTGTGGGAGCTGGCCAGGCAGGTCTTGCTCTCGGAGGGCGCCTCAAGGCGCTGGGGGTGCGATATCTGATTGTTGATAAAAACGCTACTATTGGAGATAATTGGCTGCTGAGATATGAGTCTGCGAAATGTTGGTTTCTTCGTTTCCTGAGATATACTTGTTGTCATTTGCTAACAAACGCTGTCTAGTACATACTGTCAGAAATTATGGTAGCACTCCAATGCCCATTGAGCCGTTTCAAGTAGCTAATATGTTGCCGCGTAGCACACCTTCCATTTGAGCGCACATTTACTCCAGACTGGAGAGAATTCCTGACCAAACGTGATGTTGCCAAGGGCTTTACATCATGGTTCAACAAATATGGAATCGTGAGTTTTACCAAACTCAATCCTCAAAGACCGTGCTTCTGACTGTGTTAAAGAATGCCTGGTTTTCTACTAGCTTTGAATCCGGCAAGTGGGATGATAGTAGAAAGGAATGGACTATTCGTGTTATTCGGGAGCAAAAGGAGATTATGCTCACGACGAAACACTTTGTCTTTGCTATCGGAGGAGGCGGCCAGATTCCTAAGATGCCCACGTTTCCAGGTCGAGTGCGTTGACCCTTATTGCCAACGAGGCCACCTTTTTGAAACTAATCATAAAGTCGTGAAAATAGGAGAAATTCAAAGGAGTGGTTTTACACTCGGTCGATTATAGAGATTCCAAGGACTGGGCGGGAAAGAGAGGCGTCGTGGTTGGCGCTGCAAATACAGGTACGGAATTCCAATTAAGCAGCTATTAGTTGAAATTTTTTTCTGATGACAGGCACCAGCCCACGATGTCGCGGAAGACATGCAAGCAGCAGGCGTGGATACCACCATGGTACAACGGCAAGCAACATGTATGGAGCTTCGCTAATTTAATTCCCTAATATCTCTTGCATTCTAACCTGTTGGATAGATGTTATTCCTACCGATTTCTACTTGAAGGTCACTGGAGGTAGGCTAGCCCGAAGGCGATGTTAATGCACTGTGCTCTAACAATTCATCAAGCGGTTTTTAACGATCAGATACCCATTGAGATTGCGGACCGAATACAATTCAGCAACCCCATTGCTGTTGGTCGGCAAATGGTCGCATTCCATCTGCATAAATTAATACGAGCAAATGCGGAGCGATTCGATTCTCTAGAGCGGGCTGGTTTCCTCTTAGACAGATTTGGTGATATCACCTACCACGTCAGTGAGCGCAATGGCGGGCATTACATGGATGTTGGTGGATCGGCGAAGATATCCAAAGGATTGGTAAGTTTTCGCGTCGCCCTTGCTAGCCTGAGGCGTTGAGGAAGTACTAAAACTGGGGTTTGGTAGATCAAAATGAAATCCGATGCCGTTATCACTGAGTACACAGAGAACGGACTCCTGTTCTCTGATGGGTCAGAGCTCAAGGCGGATGTAATCGTCTTCACAACCGGATTTGTCGGAACGATTCGCGACGATGTTGCAAAATACTTAGGACAGGATGTTGCCAGTCAAGTTGAAGAATACTGGGGTTTGGACCAAGAGGGAGAAATTCGCGGAGCTTATAAGCCTACCGGGCGTGAGTACCAACCGACCCGTTTGTTGAAGTTCATTTTAGAACTAACAATACGGTTATTTAGATCCCGCCCTATGGTACATGGGCGGCACACTTGGCCATACTCGATTCTTCTCACGGTTTGTAGGACTGCAGATCAAGGCTGCGCTTGACGGAACTGCACTGCCGATTTATAAAAAGATTCCAGGGCAACCTAACCTCACAGCTCGACCACTGGGCGAGATAACGAGACTGTTAGCCAATGACGAGATTAACGGGACGAAATGATGGCCCCGTGTTTAGGACATTTCTGGGGATAATACTCCGTAGTTAGACATGAGATACCAGGATAGAGCACTTTTATTGATTCACCGTCATGATAGAGCTATCCAGAGTGCATGAGACCTTCATTCCAATCTCCGTACCTCGGCCCAATTTTGCTGGACCCTTCCGGATCCCGATTTCTTCCATATCGGTCCCCATTGTGGCTGAATCACCCTGGCGGCCACGTGGAACCAAGGAGCCTTGACTCATGAGAGGGTCGCGCCAAGGCCCTCGCCACAAAGTGAGGGAGGGCTACCCGGGGCAGTAAGCGAGATCACGTGTGCCAGGCCGCCGAAGACAAAGGGGCTAATCGAGGCCCCGATGCTGGGCGGGCCCTTCCTTGACTACCATCTTGAGCGCTGAGCTTCAACCAATTTGACCCTGTCTGATGCCAACAAGCCAAACACTTCGCGAAAACCAAGATTCACGGAGTGGAACACATCCCGACATTCCGCCCCAAGCGGCTCCAAAACTCCCACCCCCTCCTCTCCCCGGAAAGAATGACATCCTACCTCCAAAACGCCGCCCTCCGAACCAACCCCCTCCGCGCCAGACTCTTCCGCTCCAAGTACCAACGCGCCAAGCTCCTCCACGGCAAACGCCTCCACGACAAGCTCCGCCGCTCCAACCTCCTCCGCCCCCGCCCCATCCCCCCCGCCGCGCCCGATCTGTACCCTCCCCCCCGCGCCAACCCCTACGCCATCGGCACCACCTTCCCCACCATGCAAGAAGCGCGCGAAGCCATCCTGCACCACACCATCTCCCAGAACCTCTCCTACTCCGTCTCCCGCGCCGACGCGACGCGCTACATCATCAAATGCCGCTGCAGCACGTGTCCGTTCCGCCTGCGCGTCACGCTGCGCAAGGGGGACGGGCAGGCGGTGGTGACGGTGTCGCGGCCGCATAATTGCTCGCCGGAGGTGCACAAGGGGTGGAGGTGGGCGTCGTCGGTGAAGTATTTGGTGGCGAAGCACAAGGAGGCGTTTAAGGATAAGGGCGGGAGGATGTTGGTGTCGGAATTGAGGGAGTTGGAGTTGAAGGCGGGGAATGATGTTAGTGAGAAGCAGGCGTGGAGGGCGCGGAAGGCGATTGCGAATGAGGTGGAATCGTGACCCGGGGGCCGCGCTGGAGGAGGCTTCGAATGGGTGCAAGAGACGCTGCGAAGGAGTGTATGCTTTGGCTGATGAACATCACTGGGGTGAATGGCGCGGTTGATTGTTTCGGATTGTTTTCAAAACGCTCCGCCTCTTGGGCGTTCGAGTTCGGGTTTCTTATTTGATTCGCATTAACAGATACCAGTTTGTTTCACATGAAGGTTGCCCTGTTTTGCTAAAGCATGACTGTGAGCAGCGTTATACTTATTTTACCAAAGATAAGTAACCAGTTACAAAAAGGTGTATGGCTAATTGTCCTCTGAAGCTTAGTTTATTGACTTCTTCACAATTGTATCTGCTAATACACGTAAATCTAGTCATATAATAGAAATTTAGGAAAGTACGACAACAAAACTAGAGAGAACTCAGGGTAGGTATAAGGATAGCATCCTTGTCTTAAGAGAGCACCGGCGAAATGACTTGAGAAGGGTAGCAGGCACCGCGCAACGACCAAAAGCAGAAGCTAACTGCCCTGATGGAAGATCAAGCCGAAGTATTGTCGAGGGCAAAATGCTAACTGCTCCCCGTAATTACGGATGAGCCCATGTCAATTTCTTTTCCAAGCCAATCCGCCTTCAATAGGATAAAAAGGAAAACAAAGACAGAGAAAAGCGACAAAATTCGGTGATAAGCGGCAAATCATGATTTCAAAAGATGTCAAGCAATGACAGGTCGTGGCTAGGCTGAAATCGAGCAGCTCCGAACAACTTCTGTCGATGAAAAACCGTCGAAAAATCATCGAACAATCGTCGAAGCTGATCAAATGTGGTCTGTGCTCCCGGGTTTAAGCTTAGATAACCATAAGACCGGTCGGTGGGTCGGGGCTAACGAGAGCCTCGGTCCGTTCCGTAGTAACTGGGTCAAGGCTGGCAGAAAGCTGCAGGTCCCTTTGACGCAGCCACATCACAGCTTAGACTTCTTCTCCCGTGGCTTTTCGTCGTTCGTGTGAATGGAAGCATAGAATAGCGCCCAAGGATCGCTTCTTGGTGACTTCTGGAGTGTACTATTGGTATTTTCGAAGCCGTTCTGACGGTGGTTTGCAGCCATGGTGGGGAGGAGAACAGGGTTCAACGACTTCTGGGGGGCGCCATCTATGCAACCATGGTACCCAGGTTCGGTTTTTCGAGGAGCTGGGGTTTGCTCCCTGCAAGACTAAACGTTAGCTTAGAGAAAATTATATGATAAATATTTTCTGCTCCGGACTAGAATGAGAGCAGAACATATTAAGGTGGAGTGGAAAAGAAGAGGGAGGAGATAGCTTGGGGTAGTTATAGAGCCGCGCATATAATTGAAGGTGATTGTATTGACACTTACAAAAACTGGTGTTGGCTGCCATACGCTGCTGGGCCCAGTTGAGCGTTTCGTTTGTTTGTTTCTGGCAGGTGTAGAACCCCCAAATCCGCCAGCTTTCCATCAAGTGACACAGGAGTAAACTGAGAGCCAACGCATCGTAACATGTCTTCTTGGTTTCCCAAATCAAACCTATGGAAACCGTACCGGGATGGACTGGTTTCGGGGTGCCGGTTTTGGTTAGACACACCGTGAGACTTGGAGCTTCTTCGCGGCATGATGTCGGTGGTGTCAAGGAGAAAGGAGAGAGCGCAGGGCAAGGTGAGGTGAAAGAAGAATTAAAAGGCAGAAGTCGTTTGACAATGTTACTCAAACTGACAACAGGAGCAAGACATATGCAGGTAAGTATAGACTGCTGTGTTGAACGAGCTGGTACAAATGCATGAAAGCAAACAAGGGCAGGAGAGGGACGGTAGATATATGAGGAGAATCCTCTTCAACTCTAAGATGTAAGCTTCCATACTTGTGTGGCTAGTGAAATTGCCATGACGAACTGCTGCCCTCATAATATGGATGCCGAAAAAAAGGCACATCCAGGACTAGTAAATTCCCCAACTGGCGGCCGCTTGACACTACTTTAGTGCATTTTCAGCACTTTTTGGGAACTGTTACGGACTGAAACCAACCCATATGCTGGGATTCACAACACCGTACAGTGTAATTACCAACACGATGCCCCTGCCCGTCGCCCATCAATGACAGGGATGCCTGACGTATTACAGAGTCTTGGAGCCTCTTTTCCCAAAGGACCGGTCAAGCAAAGCCTATTGCGTGTAGAATGCTCCATGTTTCGGAGCAGACGAAGGCGCTGAATATCGGGGATTGCCAAATCATCCTCGCCTGGGTATCTTGTAACAGAGCAGTCTGCTATATTCTATAGCGATAAGTTTTTGAAAACGCGGATATTTTAGCCCAGCCTTCCCGACATGTGTGCCTGCAGAGTGTCGACGGTGGCAATGTCTGTGTGTATAGAGTAGCGGTTGTGGTATTTGGAGCGACAATAATAGGCCGCCTGCGTCACGTCGCAAAGGCCTGTATCCCATGTTGTGTTTCGTTGATTCGCTGCACTTTGGCCCAAATGGCCAACTGTGGGTTTCCCTCTGAATAACTGTTTGTCAATGTCAAACTGAGGCTCGATGGACAAATCCAAACCCCTTGCGACAAGTTGAGGCGTCAGGAACAACATTAGAGCTCCTCGCAACAAGATTGAGGCTCAACCATTGTTAATCTTCCACATTGTTGACCCCCCATTAGCTGCTCAAGTCAACGTCTCATAACTAACTGCCGTCTACCCCGACTTGTCTCATAAATCCATTGGAGATCGCGGGTGTGTCTCAATCTAACCCCGCTGTTCGTCGGGTGAGATAAACCGGTGCGTCGGAGTATCTGCGGGAAGACACCAGCGTCCTCGGGATGGGAAATAAAAAAGGCGAGGGCTTTCTTGCAATAAACACGGCTTTTGGCCGCCTCGCGAGGGTTCACCGCCTTGGCGAGTTATGATTGTTCTCTGCATGCGCGGCCCATGACTATTTATGGTTCCTGCGGATGTTCCGACGTCAAAAGGCGACGAGCAAGCAGCCCAAGAATCCGTGATTTGTGCTTGCGGTCGTTCATTCGACGGTTTTCATCTCGACCGCCCGATGGTCTAGCCTGACTTGGCTAGCTTGTGTTGAGGTGTCAAGCCACAGTCTTAGTTTGACGCTATGCCGCTTTGGGCCGTCTGTGGCTGGTGAATGGGGCATCGAGACTGCAGAACATGATTGGCTGGCTGGAATTGCGGCTGCAGAAAAAAAGTTTCTGGAGATCTTGAATGGAAATCTTTATCAACTGAGTGAACTATTTACCACAATTGCCACTGGACTGCTAAAAACTCTCTATCACTTTTCATTCCTTATGACTGTGCATTGATTCAAAATAGAAAAGAGTTCAGTGATCTGTGAACGGACCCTATGACCATCGGAAATTCAGCACTTTCTTTGACCTTGAATTTATGATGTCGTTTCCGGCTTCGTCTGATCTCTCGCGGGGAAGCTCACGGCTCAGAGATGGCGGGCGCGAGCCGCGTCAAAGTGTCATGATCCAATCCGGGGAGACCGATGATGTCGAACTGGCTCCGGGATTGGAATCGAGCACAAAGCCTGAACCAAAGCCATGGGCACATCTACTAGCTGGAGGGTATGTCATGAATTAGCAAATCAGCGATGGCACTCAGGGAAGCAAAGAAATAGAAAATAACCTAATGGACATTTTCTTTAGGATCGGCGGCATGACTGCAGCAGCCCTCACCTCGCCGCTTGATGTTTTGAAAACGCGGCTTCAGTCTGATTTTTACCAAGCCCAACTCCGATCCCTTCGTGCCGCCCATCCCCTACCCCAATCGCACTCTATTCTCTCCCTGTCGCGCAGCGCAGGCGTCCATTTTGCCGAAACCGTTCAAATTCTACGATCGATACACGTCCACGAGGGCTGGCGCGCTCTGTTCAAAGGGTTGGGCCCCAACCTTACCGGAGTGGTGCCTGCTCGAGCGATCAATTTTTACGTATACGGCAATGGGAAAAGAATACTAAGTGATTACTTCGGCTACAATCCAGACGAGGCTCCTGCGGGTATTCATCTCGGCGCTGCCGCCATCGCTGGCATGGCCACTGGTACAGCCACGAACCCGATTTGGCTGATAAAAACCCGACTACAACTCGACAAATCAAATGCTTCAAACATACCCGGTCGTGGGAGGCAATATAAGAACAGTTTCGATTGCATCCGACAAACAGTCCGTCATGAAGGCATTCGGGGCTTATATCGTGGTTTGACGGCGTCGTACCTGGGTGTCACGGAGAGCTCTCTCCAATGGGTGATGTACGAGCAGATGAAGCGTGTACTTGCTCGACGCGCGGCGCGACGATCGGCCGATCCGGAGCACGTTTATGGCTGGCAAGATTTCATGGAAGAATGGGGTGGTAAGCTTACAGCGGCTGGCTCCGCTAAGCTGATCGCAGCAGCAGCCACATACCCGCATGAGGTAGTCCGAACGAGACTGCGGCAGGCGCCTACGGTCCCGGCCGGTGGTGGAAAGGTTGAGATGAAATACACCGGTTTGATGCAATGTTTCCGCCTGATCTTCAAGGAAGAAGGGATGGCTGGCTTATACGGCGGGTTAACACCACATCTTCTTCGGGTTGTGCCCAGTGCCGCGATCATGTTCGGAATGTAAGTTCTGATGCTCTTGTCCTTAGATCCCAAAGGCCTATCCCATGAATTCGGCTAACAGGGAATTTTAGGTATGAAATGATCCTCCGTTTATGTGGAACGACGGCCTAAACACATGTCTTTTCTATCTACTGCTTTACTACTAGATTTCATCGCTCCGTACTTAGCCCGCGATTACTCCGTTCTTATTCTGGCCCTTCGATATATTTATACGGATAAAGACCCAACAATCCCCACTTGTCTAATGGTCCCATTTTTTCTGCATTTACCAGGAGTTTTGAAAAAGGAGTTATAGCCCTACTTTTGTTCCTCAAGACTAGAACGGAAAAAGATGGCGCGAACTGTATATCGGGTTGATTTTTGTTTGGAGGTCACCGGTCTTCAGGATTCTCTTTCACTTCACTGTATAATAAACCCCTCTTGTTTTCATTTTTTGGTCTATAATATTGTCGAGCTTCAGTGTTACATTATGTACAGCTGTTTTTCTCTTGGATAGGTCCTGGCATGGGGATGCCGGATGTATGTATCATGCCTTTCACAAGAGATACTATTCGTCATTTTTAACACTGGTCTTCTGATACTCACAAAATAGATAGACTAGGTGACATGTCTTATTTGAGGCATATGTAAATAGTCTCGAGTGAGTTCTCAGACTAGAACAAGAATATGCAACTCAAGAAATACGCCTGGCCTTGGCTTTGGTGCTTTGGAGCTCTGTTGGTGTTATCCAGACATTTTACATCATGATTCCTGAGGCGTTTGAACATTTGGGAGGTCTATTGTTTGAAATATTGCGAGAGGGATTCTGGATTTCACCGTCGAAGGTTTGTTCATTATGTAAAACATAGACCTGCCATATGACATGATCAAGAGACTATTCCTTCCCAAGGTAATATGCCTTGGAACCCCATGTACCACGAAAAAAATGGAGGCCTATCTGACCCATGTATTCCATGTTTCGAGAGCCTCTATCTCCGTGTTATGCAAACATTACCCCCGACGGAAGGCATAGGGGGATAGTGATAAAATAAGGAAGAAAGATTCTCCAAAGCAAGACGCCCAGTGCCACGTAAAAACGTTTGAATTTTTTGCTTTGCCTTTAAATAGTCGTCTCATATGGAACAGGAGTGATGGTCTCAGGGAAGTTGTTCTCAGTGCTGACCGTTCGGGCTCCCCGTGGGCCAACGGGTTGTCTCTTCAAGTGCACATGGATACCCTCCTCCTTGGCCTTGCGCTTCTTGATCGCGTTCTCCTTGACTCGGTTCAAGAACTCTTCTCGGGATCGGGAGTGGATGACGTGTTCGATGCGGACGTTTACGCGCTTCTCCATGTATCTGTTGCCCACGCGCTTGTAGATAATGACGCCGACGGCGGATTTGGTGACGTTATAAACGACTCCGGTCTTGCCGTGGTAAATCTTGAAGGGCATACTATACAGGTCCAGTCCTTTAGCTTGTGATCGTTGTAGATGCGCTTCTGTGTGCGCGATAGAGGGAAATCCAACTCATCCTGATAGGAATGCGCGGGACAGAGATTTCGATTTTACTAACCCCTTCTGAACAGCACCGTTGACCTTGATATCAACAATATCACCGACCCTAATTATTCAATCAGCCGACCGGGACCACGTTTTAATTCCCCCAAAAGTCTGTCATACCGGTATGTCTTCAAATATGTCGACAGGGCAATGGTGCCATGTTTCTTGAAGTCGCGGGCAAAGGCATACTGTGAATCGTTGTGTTAGTATGTGGTCCGAGTGATTCTCAAGAGACTCCGTAAAATTGCGTACCCGAGTGCCGGATCTGAGACCGCGTGAGTGACCCATCTTTACAGTGTTGTTGGGAGAAGATGGTGGTTGTCGACGTTCAACTGGAGCGCACCGCAGACAGAGTGCTTCTGACCTCGTTCTTGGGATGGCTTTCGATTTTCGCTTAGTTTGATTTGGGGTTGTGCGGGTTCAGCCCTAAGCTTCCCGAAGCGGTAAGGTGTGGTTATCCACACGATCGATTGCCGCTAAGCGAACAAGCTCGCTTTCAACCTCGTCAATTTCGATTTCTCTTTCCTTTGAACTCTCGACAATCCACGCCGCGACGACTTGATTGCGCAGCCTATTCACAACCAACGACATGGCTCCGTATGTTATCGCTGCCCCTTTCGAAGCTACAATATGGCAACAGAAGTACTGATTGATCCATTTTTAGGCGTTCCTATTCCAAGACCTACAAGGTCCCTCGTCGACGTGAGTTTTCCCTGTACCGGAATAACATGAAGGAATGGAAGGTCGCTAACCATTGCCATAGCATACGAGTCGGCCCGTCTGTCAGTATACTCCGGCCACTGAGCAGAAGCTTGTCTCTGCTTACGTCGTGTGAAAATGTTCCTAACTTGTTCCTCCGACGTATAGTGATTCCGAATTGAAGATGGTCGGCGAATATGGCTTGCGTAACAAGCGTGAGGTCTGGCGTGTCCAGCTCACTTTGTCCAAGATCCGTCGTGCTGCTCGGTACGAATATCTTCGGCGTTATCTGCGTCGCTATCACGTTGATACGTAAAGATACAGCCACGCTAACATTGTGTTTGGCGCGTTACAGTGAACTTCTCACTCTCGACGAAAAGGATCCCAAGCGTCTCTTCGAAGGTAACGCCTTGATTCGCCGTCTTGTTCGTGTTGGTGTGCTCGACGAGTCCCGCATGAAGCTCGATTACGTCTTGGCCCTCAAGGTTGAGGATTTCTTGGAACGCCGTCTCCAGACCTGTGTCTACAGACTCGGTCTCGCCAAGTCCATTCACCACGCTCGTGTGCTCATCAAGCAGCGACACATCCGGTATGTCTAAGCGGTGTACCTACCGTCGGGGAAAGTGGCATTAACATTTTGATTGAATAGCGTTGGAAAACAAATCGTCAATGTCCCCTCGTTCATCGTCCGTCTCGACTCCCAGAAACACATTGATTTTGCTCTTACCTCGCCGTTTGGCAGTGGTCGCCCCGGACGCGTCCGAAGAAAGAAGATGAAGGCTGCCGAGAAGGGCGATGAGGAAGCTGAGGAGGAAGAGGAGTAGATGCATCACCCCAGGTGCTGAGCAAAACTTGACCAATAGGAAATGTTAGAGCCTCATGTACGATAATGATATTTGTTCATGAGCTTATTCAAATAAACAAAAATTCCTATGACATGGTATCACATATTTGCGCCCTTATATCCCGACTTGATCTTATCCCAGAGTTCGAAACCTCACGCCGAATCGCCAATCCCCTCGTCCCGTTGCCATATTCGTTAACCGTGATAATTATACCCCCACTAAGCTCTTCAACCCTTGTTCTACTCCCCTGTACCATCGTCCCATTTGTTCCACCCCATCGCTCTCCCCTTCCAACCTCCTCCTCTGAGCCTCTGTGGCTTGAGCAACAATTTCGTTTCGCTTCCTCTGCAATGCTGCAAGATCTCTTTCCATCGCTTCAGCCTCCCTAGCTTTGCGGGGCAAAGTAGGACCCAATGAACTCAGTTGGCGGTTCAAACTTTCAACCTCCGCCTCCCGCTCTGCCAGGAGAGCAAGTGTGTCTTGCAGCGGAAGCGTTTGAGACGAAGGGACATCGCCAGAGTCTGGTGATTGTGAGGAATGCGTGCGCAGTTCGGCTATCGTACGTTCAAGCTCGGCAATGGATGACGGAAGCTCAGAGAGCTGCGTGGTCTGCAGTTGGACCTTTTTGTATCGATTGGCCAGGTCCCTGCCTACTCTCTCCATTTCCTCGATTAAATCTGCAACTTCCTTCTTACGCTCCTTCAAGTCTGCTTTTACCAAGGCAAGCTGGGCCTCTAACTCCACATTATCATTATGCCCGACCACCAGTGGTGGATCTCCCACAATCGCCCGGAGAAACTTTTCTTTTGTGACCTGTTCAAGGTAGGAGAAACGGAGTTTAGAGAAAAGCTCCTAGGCATAGAATATCGCTTAGTGTGTCTTGAATCCCAATGAAGCAAAAGCGGCTGTCTAGAAAAGTGATTCACAGCCAGATACTCACCTTGTAATGCGACAAATCCGCCTCCAAGCTCGCCGGGGTGGGGTTCTCAAAAGCACTCGTAGAAACGTCGGACGTGCGCTGCTTTGGAGTTAATTCATTGACCTTATTCCCATCGATAAGATCTGCACTTGAAGCGATAGGTTCGCTGATCTTGATGATTGATAGTTCAGGGTATGCAGCATCAATCTTTTGAAGCTCGGCGCGGATGTCAGAATGGCGCTTGGTTGATGCCATCACGGACGAGGTGCTCTTAGCGCCGTCAGACTCGGAATTTAGCTATTCAATTGATCGGCATGTAAGGTTTTCGAGGAATATATGATTACTTTGCCCTGAGTTCAATCAAGTACGGACGATTTCGCCATTTTCGACGTTCTCTCCCAAAACGGTAAAACATAAACAGGTCGATGTTTGTCTTGTTTGCTAGCAAGTTTGGTCACATGACTGCTTGCCACTCTTTACCTCTAGGATCGGTGCAAATGAATGGACTGAGTATCCAACTTCTTGCTAGAAGGGAGTGAGTATGATGACATTCACTTGAGCTTTATGTTTCAGCTGGAGAGCGTTGCGACCTAGCGCTCTGGAATCGCCGCCATGCCAACCTCCGGTAACGCAGAGGACGCCTCGACCCGCCCCAAAGATGATGAATATGTTGCCCAACTCCTGGCCAAAGATGCCCGGGAGTACTCTTTGCGATATTCTGCTTTGGGGGTATATGGAACTACTCCTAAGAGGTACTGTCATTCGCTTCGTGCTCAATGAGATATCCTTCCAACCAAACGCTAATACACTACGCATTGATAGACCTACAGCTGGAGCGCCGAAGCCGAATACCCGTTTCTTAAAACACATTCTACGTGAAACGGATACTCATAACACAAATTTGAAGCGAAAAGAAGAGGAAGAAGCTAGACAAAAGGCGAAACGACTACTTCGACAAAGATTAACTTCTAGAGACGAGTCAGTGTGCGAGCGAGATGAACGAGGAAGGGAATCAAAAAGGCGACGAGTTGAATCACCAAGGGATGAAGAACGAGACAGGGAGAGAAGGCTTACATATCGTCACACAGATATAGGACAAGAGAGCGATGAGAAATCGTCGAGACGCAGGTTAGGTGAATCTAGGAAGAGCAAAGACCGCGAACGGAAGTCTAGCGTCGAGCGCCGAAAAGACTCTCGTAGGCATCGCCGTCATGAAGACAATGATTACGAACGTCACAAGAGGGGTCAGAGCAGCAGAACGTCCCATGAGCGTTCGTCTGATAAATACAAATCCTACGACAGGGAAGGCAGACACAGGAGACCCCCTGAGCATGAACATCGACGCAACAGGGCCGAAGGCACTATTACAACAGATATAAAGCGGCATACTCAGAAAAGAAGTCCCTCGATTCCATCCTTGGATTCAGACTTGGACGACGCTCGAAGTGCCAAATCGTCGGACTCGGACCCGCTAAGTAACTTAATCGGACCTCTGCCTCCTTCAGAGAACGATCTGCATACTCCACCAGCCCTTCCGCGTGGGCGTGGCGCTTTTAGAACAAAATCAAGCACCATTGACTCACATTTTGAAAAAGGCTACGATCCTGCCCTAGATGTCCACTTGGACGATGAAGACGATCCACCGACAAAGAAAAGCAGTCGTCGGCCGATTCCTGGCATGGCTACGGAAGACGACGATTGGGATATGGCCCTCGAGGCTCTCCGGGACCGCAATGCTTGGAGGAAGAGGGGCGCGGAGCGACTGCGTGAAGCTGGTTTCGAAAAGAATGTGGTTGAAAGATGGGAAAATAATACCGCATTTGCGGGCCTGAATGATATGCCTGCGTCGGACTTTAAGTGGGCAAAGAGTGGCGAGGGCAGGGAATGGGATCGTGGGAAAGTCGTAGATGAGAATGGACATGTGGATATCAAGCCTGCTTGGTGAACAAGGCTTCTCCCTAGGCGCCTTGCTCCATTACGGAAGCTAAACCTTCGGCTACATCGGAAACATATCGGTGAAGATCCAAGTGCGAGAGGTGTATCGCTCGAAAGTGTCAATTGAGGTATAAGGAAACTTCAATGTCATTCATTAACATGCAAGAGGTCTGGAAGAGACGATCATGATCCAAGGAAACAAAGTGATGGAAATATGTGATCCACGGACTACCTGAAAGAAACCCTTTTCTAACACAAAGAAGGAAGAGAAAGAATCTTCTTAACTAAAAATGATCCCTGGAATGAAAGGCAGCCAACCAAAAGTACACAACCCGCTGCGTCACCTCCCGACAAACGCCGCTTCGAAACTCTTTTGACTTTCCTCTTTAATAGCCATGGCGGCGTTGTGCATGCATGTTGCCGGGATGATAAATGGCGGCTTCCAACGTGGCACGGGCGTGAGTCTCACTTGCATACTCGGGTTCCACCATTCCAAACAGAGACGAGCCGAAATTCCCATCCTGACTACCGCGGTCCACTCTTGTCGTCTGGGCCATTCTGGAACATGCAAGATAATCCGTGGTCTGGATAGATGTGCGTCCAACTAAGGCATGGCATAACGACAGTGATATTGCTTGGGTTAGATAACTAACTAGTTGTTTAGCGCTAAAGACTGTAAAGTTTGCTCGGGAGGGGTATTCTCGATGCTTTCCGGTAAAGTAAGTGTTGATATCCGGTCGTTATCATGACTTTAGTTTGCGTAGTGTTTTCCTTCTGGGACTAGATTTGAAATGAAATGAGAAGGCGAATATTAAGCTGGTATGTGCGGAGAGTCAGTTCCGACCTTCCGACGCCAGAATCGAGTTGTATCAGGGTCAAGAGAGATATGAGCTGTTTCCATCGCGGTCAAGAGTCGAGATAGTGATCCTACCGGCTGGAGCCCAGAGAGTAGTGAAAAGGCGGAAAGCGAAGGTGGAGAGGCCGCGGAGTACGTTGAGATGTGCTGTGTATAATTCGGATTGCCAAGTCCTTCAGTGCCAGGGCCTTTATTTGGGGGAGCTGTATCGAGACGCCATTCTTCTAGGCCTAGAAACTCGATAAGAGGCTGCAAGCCTATTTTCCCTGAAAAGTCGACCAAAGCCCCAAGGAACCTTATCCAGTGAACCATCGTGTCAGGATCCAAAGTGCCTGGTTGCTGACGAAACTCGACTGTCGGGGGTTTTCGCTTTGGGCGTACATTGTTGTCGCCGATGTGATTTTCGGGCAAGATGGGAGCGTCAACAGAATCGAGGAGGGGAGTGAAGTTATATTTGAAATATAGGGGGTTAGTTGATCTGGAAATTGAGGGTAGCCGAGGATTCAGTACATCGATGATCGTTCGGATATCGGGGCAAGTGTTGAGAAGGTGGAGAGCCATAACGGGCCTTGGTGATCCGCGTGGGAGAATTGGAGGTTGGAAGTGAGGATTGTTCACTGACGTGATGCACCGCACCTAGCAAAGTCGAATCATCAGATAACTTCATCCAACACAGCAAGCAATGTAATCTAAGAAAAACCTACCGGCTCATTTAACATCCTATTCCATGACGGGGAGGTATCGAGCAATTTGTCCAGTTCTGGCTCATAGACTAGTAATATCATTGCAAGATTTCGAACTGTGTGGAAGGGAAAAACGGAGTTTGGGGTCGTTCCGTTGCCAATATGCACATGAAGGCCGGTGGTGCTGTTCTGTTCACAATACATCCGGAGCTCTCTGTAAGGTATCGGATTGTACTGCCCAGATCGTGAGGTGAAGATCCGTTGTATGTCATGCTCCCACAGTGGAGAGTATACAGGGTAAGGAGGAGATATAATCTCAATTGGCTGCGTTTCATCTTCAGTATTCGTTAGCATATCTGAAGTAGAGTCGAGGGCAACTCAAAATACTGCTGGTTTCTTACAGCACTCGAACCAATCTGGATAATTCGGGGCCACTGTCTTGTCCGTCGTTAAGTTCCAGAAGGAATAGTCAATGCTACCGTTCTGGAAACATTCATCGTCTTCTCCTTCCACCCTGATCCCAACACCAGTGCCATTAGGGCCGTGAAGGCGAACTGGGCGGAGACGATCGCCCAAAAGACTTGAAAGGGTGGTATTTGGAAAGCGATTAAACGTAGTTTCCTTCATTGCCGCAAAAAACTCGACCTCCAAGCCAAATGTAAGGGTCGAACCACGGCCATTTTGAACCGGTCCTCGCGTCATTGTTGACAAAAATCAGAGTAGTTCAACTACTTCCACAATCATTATCAACAGGAGAAAAAGTCTTGAATATCTCACAGCCTTGTCGAAGCAAGCTGTTAGACCTTGGTGGTAAAGATAAATTTGTGTGTAAACGACTGTAAAAAGGGTGTGCGTGTTGCTGATCCAGGTATACCGGCGAACCGTCTAATTGTGGCATGAGAAAGCATCGCGAGGCAACAAAGACAAAGGCATGCGGAGATGCTGGTGCACAACCAGTTGAACCAAGTTTTCCTTTCTTGTGTCAGACCACTCTTTCTGAACGCTGTCTGCTGCCACTGTTGCAATTTTGTTCTGCAGGGAACAGATATCAACCTTGGAAAACGGCACTCATAGCGGGACAAGGAATAAGGCAGTCAACAAAGGCTCGGCTGCGAAGGAAAGGAGCACGCATTAATTAGGTAAAAGGCCAAACAAGATCGTGCTTTGAAAGCAGTACGAAAGCCTGCAATACCAACCATTTAAAGCCTGGAGCAGGCAGCTGGGATGAAAAAGCAAGAGGGAAAAACAAAATTCGAAATTTTCAGCTGCGTGAATCGGTTTTCTGCAGGTCGATGCGGGAATTTGCAGGGTCTAGCCGCCTACGATCAGCCGCCTGCCATCGGCATCCGCAATGTATGTACTTGAGCGGTGTTTGTATCAAGCTGGGAGTCGAGTCGCGAAGAGGAAGCTAGGCTGGCAGTTAAGGCCGGCAACTGAATCAAAGCAGATGCAGACGCGGCAGCAAATCGAATTTCAAATTGGATTTTGGGTTTCCGGGCCCCCAGATGCAACGCGATATCTCGAGATGACAGAATAATGGGATGCGAGAGGACGGTTGCACGAGTTATGGCTGCCCACAGCAGCGAAATGCACGAAGAAAGGCTTTCGTCTCCGGGTGCAGATATGACCGATCAAATCAAAACCAATTGCTTAGACGCTAAAAGTAATTGAGAGCAATGTGGTCGGGCAAGGAAAGTCAAGTCCCACCAACACAGCACCTGCACAAGAGTTTCTTCAGATTAAGAGATCGGTTTTGCGCTGGTACCCATGAGCATTGTTGCCGTGCCTCAAGAGGAAAAAAAAATCCCACGAGAGAGGTTTTTGGGAGCGGGAATTTGAGGAAATGTTTGTGATGACCCTAGTTCGGGAACAAGAACCAAAACCTATCAAAGACTTTTTGAGTTGGCTGCGCACTGGCGAAAGTGGGGATGACGGTCTAGATCTTCGCATCGAGAGTTACTGTTTTATTCTTAGATGAGCCAAGTCAGCTAGCGTTGTCAATTCGAGCCTCCTGCATCCCGAGCACAAGAACAGGGCCAGTCAGCGTGGCGGGCACTCAGACAACTGCATGAATTGGCGCCAAAGACAGCAGATCCTTGCAGGGAGGAGAGGCGAGACCTGCCTCAGCACACTCCATTCTTCCCACATCAACGAGAATCATGTTAAACCAGGTCTCGGAAAACAGCATCGTGAGGGTACACGATCATGGAGCTGCACGGAAACAAAATGAGATGACTCCCGGTTGGGCAACGAAGGGCTTGGTGCTGCCAGTTGGGTAATCTTGCATGGGCTGACAGAGATAGTAGCCGACGGCACGGCAGACAGAAAGCCGTTCTGGTTGAGGAAGATGGACGAGATGGACGAGGCGGATGAGATGGAAGAGCGCGGGACGGCGAGGAGGTGAGGTTGGCGTCTCGCGTCTTCCCGGTTTGGGTTCCGGCCGACGTTGGGCCAGTCAGGGGTACTTCCACTGCAGCTGTGGGCACTCGCACCACGAGAAGTATGTAGTACATCAGTCACGACAGCAAGGTATGACCGTTCCATATTTATTGGCGAGGATTCTCCTCTTCTGGATTCCCTTGGATGCATCTTCACGGGCTGATCGGAATGACGGCTTCTAATCACACCGCCGCAGTTAGGTACAACGACACTCCCCGCCAAGAGACCGACATTTCCATCAAACTCCCCCAGCTCGCACCCTCTCGACATCCTTTGATACACCAATTCAGATCAGGCCTGAATACCATCACAGTTTCTGCCCCAGCATACGGAGTACTGCCTTTGTACTACTCCCTACTAAGCTTGATTGCCCAAAATCGGAATGCCGGATCAGTTTTCGTACCAATACCCCTCGCCACTCGAGGGGTACGACAATCTCCCGCCGCTCTCCAAGTGAGTCGACGTTTACGGCCACTCAACACGTAGCGGTTGATCTCTGACCTCAGGCTTAGTGAGAGGAACGAAGATGGGAAATCGCTGAAAAATCCTCAAGCCGTCGAAAGGAGTAAGGGCCTATGACACATTCCAAGCCCCGTTGGACGACCGGGACGACGTGGTGGGTTTCGATGTCCATATATACCACTACCAGGTGCGTGCCATGACGCACGAACCGCCTGACACCGAAAATTCCTTTTTTTCTGGCTTGCTTTCTTGTTGCTTGATGGCGCAACGATCCAGGACTGATGTGGCCGCAGAATAATCCCGAACAAGTCGAATTTGCAAAGGCCCTCTGGGAACGTATCAGACGCGAATGTAATGCCACTCCATCCAATCCTTCCTCGTTTAGACCCGCGAGTCAAAATCGATGAGCTCGCCCGAATTCCATCCATGAGACGGCAGCCTCAGAAAAAACACCTGGTTAAGAAGAACCCTTGTTTTGGCTTCAGAACGAGTGGTTAAAGGTGAACAAGAGCACCCGGTCAACAATTGGCTAACGATTGAACCCAGTTCCCGAACTTCGTATCTATGACTTTTTCGATCGGCCACTTGGCCCACACCCAGTTGCGATGTTTGAAGTGAACATCTTCACTCCTTCGCAATTTGGCGCTTTCATTCCCTGGCTGGTGATTAACCGTGGGCCACTCAGCGTCCTCATCCATCCCAACACGATAGACGAGGAGGAGGAGAGGAACCACACGCAGCGGGCAACATGGATGGGCGAGAGGATTCCGCTTGATCTGCGAGTTTTCAAGCTGATGAGACATGAGTAACCGAACGGTACCAGTGGTCGCCTCCCTTGAATCCTTCGTCCCTCGCTCGCTTAATTTCCTCTGATCGGCGACATCCCCAGCATCACGCAGACAGCTCCGTCAGGTTCTCTCGTATGTACAAAAAGGCTACTGATCTGTAGTTAAGCTATTGTCTCTCGAATTACCCAGCTCAAACTCATAATATTGCCACTGATTCAACCCAAAATTCGCCGATAAACCCCAAGCTTTTTTCTCCCACGCCATTCCGCCTTGTATTGTGCCACTGCATGGCTCACCAAAAAGAAAGCAAACAATCCACAGGAAGTCCACAATTTAGCATTGCGGGGGTTGAAGCATTCCACAAGGCTCAAAGTACCCTGTGCATATCTTGCTACAAATCCAACTTGAGCCTCCAAAGTGCTATCAGCGATTCCTCCGCATAAGGACGGGAACAGTCCAACACTATCGTGACACGGGCCCCGTCTGTGTGTCGGTTTGTGCCGCGCAAGATGCAACCAGCTGACCGAGCGGGCTTTGCTCGTCACTCTTGCTGTCAAACCACATCCGGCAAAGTAGGCGGCAATGATAAACCCCAGGATGTTTCTTCCACACCTCTCATCGACCGTTCCCGGTAACACCGCCACGAATAAGTGGGAGAAGTACTCCGTTCCCAGTCTGCCGTGGACCGTTCTGCGTCCAGCCTCAAGTGGAAAGCCAGATCCATGAACCCTGTCCTGCTGATCCCGCGCCAACTGGGATCTTGGGGAACCTCTCCATGCAAGCCAGTTTGATTTGTTTTGCAGGGTTCGATTTTGAACAAAAACCGCCTCAAGCGCCCCAGCTTGTGAGGCCCTTGAGTTTTGTGGGTGGAGCTGTCACTCTGTGACTCTGTCCAGCTTCCCGTGGTTGCGTGTTGTTCGTGTGACAGGAAGCAGCTGTCAGTTTTTGAACCCCTTTCGATCGAGGGTACGGAGGGCTTTGTACAAACAAGCCCTGTTTTGAGCTCTGGTAAGCTACCATTGATTGGACGTTTTTCATCCCGATTTCTAAAGAAGATTTGATGTGAAATCTTATCCGTTCACAACTCTCTGGTGCAACGCTCCTTATCGGTCCAAATGTTTGGATGGAATATGCATGATGCAGCCCCTTCCAGTCAGATCAGGCAGACTTGCCTCGTGCTTGGAAACCGTGTTGTGGTTTGCCCAGCGTTTCCCACCCTTCGTCTGGCGTGGTCGACATGGTCCCTTTCTTCGGGAGAATGGCTTCTCTGGATGGAGAACCTGTGCTCTGTTGAAAATGGTTATGTTTGCTACTTCTCACAAATCCTGTCATATCCAGGAGTCCCTCTTTGACCCGCTTTTTCGAGATTCAACGTCCCATTCGGACAATGCTGCAGCCCGGAATCTCCTGGAATGTGGCTTGACCAACTCTGATACAACCCTACAATAGCCCTGGATCTTAAGCAGCGAGAAGGCAGACTAGTTTTCGGACTTGGTCCAGGCCCATTCTGCCCTCCCACTTGAGAATCGCGGTGCCGTGGGATGGAACCTAGAGCAGAACGCTTCTTTCCCGGATCCATACTCCGGCGTCAATCAACACCTGGCTCTTCGCAACCAACTTTCAGGCCAGCCACCGTGGCTCAATCCGTTACATGGTTTACGTGGATCCATTCGTTGGAGCAATTTGCGACTTTGTGACCCATCAGCATTCCATATTCACGTTCGTTCAGTATGAGGTTTTTAATTGGTGAAAATGCGCCTCTCTACCATGGAAAACTGGTTTTGTCTCGATGCCCATGTGCGCATTTTCGAAGGGCGCAAACCCAGAGACCTGACATCTTGGCCCCCTCGACCCTTGGTGGCATGGGCTTGCAGATCTGGCCTCGTAGTGACCGCAGGCCTACCTATTCAGCTCCCTGAGGCTTCCATTGCAGAATGAATCCGGAGAGCTGACTTCAAGACCATGCTAGCCACCGCCTCACTCACCTCCAAGACACGGTTCTGCTTTTTTATTTGACTAAACCGAACTTTGTTGTGTTCACACTCTGGAATTCATTCCTTGACACGGCTTTTTGGAGTCAGCGGAACCGTTTCTAGAGCGATAACTCCATCAGTTCCCTTGGTATGGCGGGCTGAGAATATGCACTTTCCTTCTGATCACAATCTCTCACTCTACTCGGTACACTTTGTACTGTTATGGCTTTCTCAGATACCAGGCTGAAACGCTGCGCTAGTTAGCGCATATGGAAGCACTGAGTGGGAATTTTGAAAATGACTTGTGTTCTCTGGATGAGAATTATTATGATGTGTGATATTTCCGGCTTGGAATATCACAGTTTATACAGACCCGAAGCCATCGGTGCGTCTGGGCATCATTCAATCCCCCTTCTCTAAGTGCTTTTGACCCTTGATTATGGCTCTCAATTGTAAGTTGATTGTTATGCAGTTTGTTACTATAGGATATTGAGGCGCGCCTCCTGACCTTTAGGACGGTTTTCAGAATGGTTGTCAAGCTCTACATTGACTATTGAAGAACAGGACTGGAAGTTATTGTTATCCACATAACTCCACTACTGGTGATTATTATTGCATATGGCTGAAATTTATATATAAATTTTGAACAATGCTCTTGTATCTCTTCAACTCTGCTCACACTCCGTTTCGTTTCAGTTTTCATTACATTTGTGAACTTAGTTGTCCCAAATGCTATCTCTATTAGCTGCTCATGTTTGATGCAACAGAGCTTTCAACAAATCACCAACTTTTCAGTATGGAATGAATGGTGTGTTCTTTGATAACTTCACTCCCGCAATGATAGCAACTGGGTAGCTTTACAGCTCAGTTTTACCGAGTTCTACATCTGCATCTTCGTCAAATCCCAAGTTCGATGGTGAATATAAATGATATCTTTCGCACTGAATTCCCGTGGTGGCTTTCTGGGCTATAACTACGTGGAACATCTGGCCTGTAATACAATGGACAGTGAAAAAAAAAAGGAGAGAGCATATATTCCTAGGCTGTGGTCACGTCTCAAGCTCGGTGAAAATTGGATTTCAATTTTAGAATACCCCTTATCCCAGGACAAAGGCCTGAATCAAGAAACAAATTTTCTGGAAACTGATATATATGATTTTTGGGTCTGCAGCTTACTGGTCACGGGAGCTAGTTAATCCGATTCCGGACTAGTGAGGATCCATGTCAAGAGTCGCGCATGACAGCTGATTATCGGACATGCCACCAAGATCCTCCATGCTGCCTTTCCACGCAGGTATCGCCAGTTTGCTCATGTGTCCTGACTATTCGATACTCGGGAGAACGGCACACTATGCAGCCTTGAAACCTCTTCTGGGTGTGATACCGTGCCATCACTGATGAAATGATATGCAAGCTGCTTGACAGCGCTGCGACAGCATGTGATCTCAAACGGATCACGAGTGGAGGGTTGAAGACTACAAAATGACGAAGTCATGAATAGTCTTCCCCCTTCTCTTTATAAGTGGAACGGCTGACTCTCGACAAGCGCAAGGTGCGGATGAGACCACTGATAGGTTAAGAGCTTGTCGATCATATTTCCGCCCATGTGCTAGTCCTCTGATAGAGGTGCTTTCTGGAACACTTCACTCTAATCAGGGTTTGCATCGTTTTCTTGATAGATATGTATCCCAGAATACCTGTGGAGTATACACTCCAAAAAGCCCTGCCGCATCTTTCATGAATGAGAATTGGTAATGTCAGCCGAACGATCGTCAGGGCGTCAAATGCCAGGACACCTTCAAATGAATGGGTCATCGGTCTAGTTTCATTGGCTACCCCATGAACTTCAGGCCGGGAAGCAACGATCTTGGTCTGAATATATAGTTCATGATGCTCGTCTGGAGACAGTTTTGGAGAATAAATAGACGGACACCCACCTTGGAGGCTCCCACACAGCCAGAAAACGCGTTGATATCCGGTTTGGTTCCGTTCGGGTTGCTTCATTGATATGCTGGTCGAATCACAAGCAGCAATTTTCGTCTTAAGATGTGGGCAGCAAGGCAGTGGCATCGAGCGATAGCCGGTTTTGCTCTGTTTTCACTCGGGGGCAGCACGATAAGGGGAACCCATGCAGCGGTGCCTGATTATGTGGTGAAATATGGTATGAAGGGGCGATGCCCACCCGAGTTTCCGCTTCTCGCTTTATTTGGTGGCGAGTAAATGGAAAAGTATTTGAAAAGCTGATGCCGGTCTCAACGCTTTAGCACCTTTGGTTTGGACACACAGCCAAGACCCGTACCAGCCGGCAGATATCGCCGCTCAGGTCGCGCACTCAATACCGCAGGTCAAGTATAAGCCCGTAGCGGGTGCACCATCGCCATTAACCCTGAATAACTTGGATCAATTGAATGCACTAGGTGGTAAAGATATCTTTTTGACATCTTCGGAGGGTATACGTGCGCTGCCAGATTGGTTCAAGGGCGTGAGACCTAATAGCGACGGTAAAACCGAAGGAGCCATAAGCTCAACGATTGTTGTTACGGAGCGTGAAGACGGGGTGGTCGATGCCTTTTACTTTTATTTCAACGCGTTAGTAAAGCAAGGATTCCTACGGCTCATTCGCTGATGCGTGGTCAGGTACAACGAAGGAAATACTGTTTTTGGTATCCAGTTTGGCAACCATGTCGGAGACTGGTAAAATGCCCCTTATTCGCGAATAGGTCCAATCCTGAGAAATGGCACAGGGAACATAATATGATCCGTTTCAAGAATGGCCAGCCTCAGGCCATCTGGTATAGCCAGCATGCCGGCGGGCGTGCGTTTGCATGGGATGCCGTGAACAAACGCGGACTGCGGCCTGTTGCGTTCAGCGCGAATGGTAGTCATGCCCTCTACACAACGGAAGGGTGGGTACAATATTTGATTTTGCCGTTTTGTCCTCGAATGCTGTATAGGGTTCACACTGACATCAACTCAGAACCCACGACCACACCATCCCGGGAGTCAGCCTCCCAATCGGACTTTTAACCGACAAGTGTAATGAAGGCTTTCTGTGGGATCCGACCTTGAGTACATATTCATTCCGGTACGATCGAGCCTCGCAGGAATTCAGCGCATACGATGCAGACACTCCGGTCAACTGGCTCAATTTCGACGGGCAGTGGGGCGATGAGCAGCTCCCTGATGACGCAGAAGGACAGGTTATCTTGTTCGGGCAACGAAAGTATGCGTCCGGGCCCAATGGCCCCAAGTTCAAAGAGCTTGATCGCAAAAATGTTTGCCCGTCGAAGATCGGACCTTGTTTTATTCGACGAAGTTTGAATCTGCAAGAAGAGGAGGAACAAGAGCTGAAGCGCGTGGTGGAGCTATTGTAGAGGTCTCAGTCGAACTTTTCATTTTCGTTGCTGTTTCCTAGTGTTCAATGTTCGAATTCCGAGGATTGTATATTCCTCGCCAATGTGATAGATGTTCTTCAGTGTGCCTGAATGTTCGAGATAGTTCCAGCTTGGTCCAAGTATCTCGAAACCTGTGACAGCTGGCATCATCAAATTCAAGACGGAGTTGCAAATGTTTACCAGGCGTTTGGAATGCCCCTTGTGACAACTTTCATCTCCCGCCCAGGCAAGGGTCCATGTCGCAGCATGCATGAACTGGGTTGCGTGCACGGATTCTTAGCAAAATTATCAGTCAGCAACGGTTATCTTTGGGGAGTTCCAGCAATTGTTTTCTTGCCTTGGTTACTGAGGACACAGGCCTTCTGGGAATGTCGACATCTGCCTGTGTGGGAGAGTTGGGGATGGGTCTGGAGAAGGGGTCCATCTCGAACAGATGCCGTGGTGTAACGACAATACAGCATGTGTTCAACCCGTACCAGACTTACAAAGCTGCCTCCCAAAAGCGGTTTGGCCTGCTTGGCCTGCAAGCTTGCCCACCAATCAGAGCCCGCTGTTAAGCTCCAATCCACCCCTGCCAAGCGATTACGGCTTGCTTTAGGGCGGACATGGCTGTTTCCTCCACGCGTACTGGTATTACCGATCCGCCTGGCCCCAGAATTCGCCCTGAAACGAAACCGTGGTAACTCGGGAAATAAGCGTAATTTTGACGTCGATGGGTCACCCCTGAAGCAGTGCTAGGAGGCCTGTCCTTCTGGGACGCAGGATGCAAGGTGCGTGATCGGATCTGAGATATCGGGCACGACGGAGGAGTGATACTCATGGGGATAAAGTGCATCGGACTATGTAGTTGTTTTCCGGCTGGAAATGAAGCATGGCTCTTGCTGGGTAATTAACGCGACCTCTGGAGGCCTTCGGATGGAGGAAATTTAAAGTTACCGCGTACGGGGCCCGTATGAGAGGCATGCTGACCCTTTTTCCTCCCAATCGAGCATTCATTTCGTTCTTCTCTTCGTTTCGTTTCTCTCAGCAAGAATCGTCGAGAATCCAAGACTGCTGGCCTCAGCACCTGGGGAATATCAACAAGAAGCCGCTGGCCCCGTGAAGAATTGGAGATCGAGCAAGTTCGCTTGGAGTAACTTTCCTCCCCCAGAGCGTGCCTCAGTTGCTGCTCCCCTGCTCCCCTGATACTTCGGTTTCGTTGCCCCCCCCTATCCTCTCTTTTTCCCTTGAGAACTTTATATTTTGTGATCTTGTCATAACACATTCCTTCGTCCCTTTCTCTCATCGTATATTTGGCCTCTTAACTGCCGGGCAGGGTGTTCACTTCCTCGTCGCTCAAGATTGAAGGCGGACTTGCGATTGGAAGCTTAGCAGGTCTCCGAACCTGGGATTCCTACCTCGTTAATCCTGGCACTCTTCTTGCTGGGCTCGCGTGCAGCTGGATTGATCGAACGTGCCGCCGTCCCCATCGATGCGATAGCAGTTTTCTTTTAATTCCTAGTCCAGAATACGCTCCTTTTCTAATCCCCATTCCAGCTCGCAATTTGCTGGCTCCTTCGTATCGATCGCCGTCGTGACTCCAGGCTCCTTGCGAGGAGACCAAAAACCCCCGATACTGACCCGTTGCCGCAATCTCACCTGCATCCCGTCCTTGCCATCGCGTGGCTCGAATAGTTGGGACTGATTTCGACCTCAGACGCCAAGAGGCGGTGGACGATAAGAGGGTCAAAAGTGCTGCCAACAGAAAGAATTGACACTTCTCTGCTTCGCATCTCTTTCCCCTGCAAACAGCTGTTCTAGAAATGTAAGCTCAGTCTTCCGCATTTGTGTGAAGTGTTGGTTCCTGGTTTGTGTTGAAGCTCCCGGACTGACATATTCATGGCCCTCAGAACCCTTAGTCTTCAATGAGGTGAAACGCATCACAGTCATCGCATCGCTCAAATTACACTCTCCTGCTATTTGGTCAATCATCCCATTCGCGCACGCACGCACGCCTTTCTCGGCTGAATCAACACACCGTCGCGTGAACTTCTGATTAAATCATGTCGTCAGCCCCTGCTGCGCCCCGCACCCCCGGTTCGTCGCCGCCCCCTGACGCCATCCCGGCTATCAGTGAGAATGGAAATCCATCCCATCCTCAGGCCAACGCAACGCGTCGCTCTTCCCGTGGCTTTCTTCGTCGTGCAAAATCTACCGAGAAACTTGGCGAACGCAAATTGTCCGGCAAAATGAGTAAGAAGTTACTAAAAGAGCAGGCCAAGGAAGAGCAGCTACGTCGCCAACGGGAGGCTGCTGCTATCTCAAAATATGCTCCTCAATTGCCGGACATCTCTCCCCCTCCCCAGCTCAACACGTTTGGCGGAGAAAATGTTCATCCCGGCAATAGTGCAACCATTTCAAGCCGAGCAGCATACGAACCCAGCTCACCCCAAAACTACCCTCCTGTTCCGCCAATTCCATATGACATACTCGCAAGAACAGAAAGTATGGCGCATCGTGGCCGCTATAGCTATGCTAGTAGTGCAGTGAGTACGATCAATAGTCCGAGAAGAGTAAGGAGACGAAAGGACCCGACGCCCTACAAGTAAGAGCACTGAATATTCCCTGATTGCTTATCTGTACCGTTGAATCTCATTCTCATTCTTTCTATTAGCATCCTCGTGATTGGCGCGAAAAACTCCGGCAAGACCTCCCTCGTTAATTTTCTACGACAAGCTCTTGCCCTCCCGCCTACGAAGCGCCCAACACGCAGTCTCGAAGAAATGGATGATCTGCCACAGGCACCTCCAAACGGCTACTTCACCTGCCATTATCTCGAAACAGAAATCGATAGCGAACGAGTTGGTCTAACATTGTGGGATTCACAAGGGCTTGAGAGAAGTATTGTGGACCTTCAGCTTCGCGAAATCACTAGCTTTTTAGAAAGCAAGTTCGAGGATAGCTTCACTGAGGAGATGAAGGTTATCCGGTCGCCCGGCGTGCGCGACACACATATCCACTGTGCATTCCTTATCCTGGATCCAGCCCGACTTGACGCTAATATTGCTGCTGCTGAAAAGGCCGCCGAAGGGGATCCTAGCAGTGCTGCTGCACGTGTAATTGGCGGATTGGATGAAGACCTCGATCTGCAAGTCCTACGTACTATGCAAGGGAAAACAACGGTCGTGCCTGTAATCAGCAAAGCTGATACCGTTACCAGCGCTCACATGTTGCATTTGAAAAAGACCGTTTGGGACAGCTTGAAAAAGGCCAACATCGACCCCCTGGAGGTACTGACGCTTGAGGAACCTGAAGACGACTACTCCAGCTCTCTTGACAGATTTGACGAAAGGGATGAAGATGAACTGAGCGAAGACGGGAGACGCCGTACTCCGGACTCCGAAACCGTTCCGGACGACCCGAACAACCCAGTCCCACCTCCAGCGGCTCCATCAGCCCTGGAGAAGTCATTGGAGAAGCAACGAAAGCGCAGTTCATCGTCTAGCATGTTGAGCGGAGGGCCGAATAACGAACCTTTCATCCCACTCTCAATTCTCTCGCCTGATCCACACACCCTGGACTCTAAGGACGGACCAATTGGTCGCAAATTTCCTTGGGGATTTGCGGATCCGTATAACCCCGAGCACTGCGATTTTCTGAAGTTGAAGGATACAGTATTTGGCGAGTGGCGTGCTGAACTCCGTGAAGCCAGCCGTGAGGTTTGGTATGAGAGATGGAGAACTCTTCGGCTGAAGCGTAACGGGAGTCTTGGAAACGGTCAGATCTAACACCTCCAACAGTGGTTTGAACAGCCCTAAACGAGAAGTGACTTGCCGAGCACCTTCACCGGTCTATTGCCAAGCACTATGACGCTAGGCGTCTTGCTTGATGTATGCATTTGTCTGTGGTACGGGGATGTGAGAGCATGAAGCCTTTTCTTCTTTCATTTCGCTTCGGCTTATGTCTTACTTTTGATCCTTTCGCTGTGATTTCTGCGGACATGGCTTTGCTCTGCCCAAACTGGCGGCCTATTCTGTGTGTGGAACTTGATGTTGTAAAAAGAAACATTCTGTTGAAGATTATTGTCCTGTTCGTTTGCTGTCAGCTATGAATGGTCTGGCTTCTTTTCCTTGTCTTCATGACTCAATTCTCATGTTCTTGCTCATTTCATTTTTTTCACTACTGAAGATTGCTTCTCCTTCTTCTCATACCCCCTTCTGTCTTCCTCTTCCATGTTCTATTTTTTGCCCCTCTTCTATTTACACTTGATTCAAATGGTCCGCATTGAACAAGCTACTGCTGCAGGAAGATTATCACGTCGTCAGCCAATCCAA